TTGCTTCACAGGTAGTCACAGGTGGGACCCTCTTTGTTCACGGACATCAGCTGGATGTCGCTGTTTTCCTGCAGCATTATCAGGGTTGGAAACAAAGCTTGAAGTATGGGGTCTTTCTCAGAACCCTCATGTTAAGAATCACAGCTTAAAGGGAGACTCCACTCCACGTTCTAGAGCCCATGTTTAATTTATTTTATACATTGTAATCAGTGTCATGTGTGTATTTAGGCTTTGTCTCTGTGTAATTAGCACTGTCACAGTGATGTGCATCCAGGCCTCAATGTAGCTATTGCAACCTATTATTGAAAAATGCAACCTTTATTTATGTCTACATGCACCAAGTGCATAAAAAAGTAATTCAAATTTTTGTCAGATTTGTTTTACCTTCACTTGTCCACACAAAATCGATTTTTGAAGCCATTCAGTATATTATATTAACCATGCTACATCATTCATCCCCAGGGTATGTGTAATTCAAGACACATGCAGTTATCAGACAGCTCAGATTTTATTTGTTTAGACGAGTTTGTTTCAATTTTGATAGTTTTATGGGACTCAATTTATGGGATTTATGTGTTCAACCTGGTTTTGTCTGGTGCAACTAGGATTATTGTATCAACATGCCCCTGTGCAAGTGAAATCAGATTCCTTAAATCTAGCGTTAGAAACTGAAAGCATGAGTGGAGGGGGCCTCGACTCGTTATATTGTTCCATGAATAAACATTAGCTGGCATTAGCAATCAGCTGTACCAAAGTGCTATATTTACAATTCTTCCGATCATTGCAACAAAATTCTTTAAAGTTATGTTATTGGGTATTGAACCAAAACAGCAGTAGATTGTGAGAAAACATGTACAGCTGATTGCTGTTTCTGGGTGAGTGTACAAGAAAATACACACGATAATTTAATCTCTGCATATAATGCAATGCCTAGTACTAGAAATACAATATAAATGGTAAACCATCATGTCTGGTGATGTTTTATCCCATATTTGCATTGACCAAGTTTATCACCTGTTCGTTTATCTGACTTTGCTGAAGGGATACGATGTAAATTTTCTCTTCTCATAATACTCAAATGCACGTAAAAAATGTAATCCAAGATTAATCCAATGAATTCCGTTCAGAACTCTTAAGTATGCTCTACGTTACAATAAGCTAGATGTTGCCCTTTGTTTGCAATATGCACTGCAGTAGACTTCAAATATACATGATGCCTGCATTTGATCAGGAAATAAAGATCTGTTTTATTTTGTTTGATTGTTAGGGGCAGTCGGGTAGCCTAGTGGTTAAAGCGTTGGCTCGTCACGCCGAAGACCCAGGTTCGATTCCCGACATGGGTACAAAGTTTGAAGCCCATTTCTGGTGTCCCCTGCCGTGATATTGCTGGAATATTGCTAAAAGTGGCGTAAACCGTACTCACTCACTCACTCACCTACTGTTTGTTGTTTAATGCCACACTCAGCAATATTCCAGCTATACGATGGCAGTCTGTTAATAATCGAGTCTGGACCAGACAATCCAGTGATTGATATGAGCATCAATCCACTCAATAGGGATATGATGCTATTCATCAACCAAGTCAGCGAGTCTGACCACCCGATCCCGTTAGACGCCTCTTACGACAAGCATTGGTTGCTGAAGACCTATTCTACCCCGGATCTTCATGGGTGCAATATGCACTGCAGTTGAATTCAAATATACACAATGCCTGCATTTGATCAGGAAATTATTATCTGTAAACACATACAGGTATGCAATTTGAAATGGCTACATTGGGTAATTATGCAAAGTGTTGTTATAACTGAGTTTTGTAACTCTATTCATGTGTATTTGTAGCAAGCAACTCAAAATTAAAAATGTTATGGTGATTTGTTGTGTATCTTTTGCAAATACACAGCTTAGCTGCAGCTCTCCTTCCCTACATTTATATTGTCCTCGGGCAAGTAGAACAGGCCCAGATTTCATGGTTTACCACAGCAGTGTTTTATGACTGTTTCACCTACCGGTCCACATGACCGACAGTTTTTCATATGACCCAGTTTCAAAATGCTGATGACTGAATCAAGAACATGATGTGCCCGCCTTACACTCTTAGCATCCATAGAAAGGACCCCTTGACTTTCATGCTTAATTTTGAACACTGTACAGTCAGTCATCTTCCTATTTGCGTTTTATAATTTCATCTATACTTTTGGAGAATGTTTCAAATATTTTTGAGACATATACCAAAATACCCTGGTAATAAAAGAGTTTTATAGTCATATAAATACTCTGCAAATAGCTCTGCCAAACCTATTAAGTCTTTTAAGCTGGAATTTGTCCTGACCAACCTCTCATCCATCCCCCCACTCCACTCATACACTCTCTCAACTTGAAACTCTAAATATGTATTTGTTCATTATCTGATAGCAAGCTTCATGCCACAATTGTGACCTGTGAGAATAATGTTGAGTCTGTTGAAAACTGTTGACAAGAATAGCTTGGTGAATTGTGCCAGAGCTTCGGAATGAAAGTCCAGCTGTACTTTGCATTGGATGCCGTGCATGCTTACCCAGTAAACACAAACTGAAACACTGCTTTTCTGACCCATGTCATCCAGGTCAGATGAACGTAAACAAAGTGCAATTCCTGTTTGAGTTTTGCAGTATTTGAAGATTATATACAGACTTCAAAATATCCTCAGATTCTTGGACTGAGCTCCTGCTGTCTCCTTGACATTGTGGCCTTGACATTGTGGCCTTGGCCTCTGAAAAAAATGCCCCTCTATTTGTGGGTGAATCCCGTTGCCCTACATGTCGGATGCCTGGCCCATCACTTCCTTACTGTTCCATCCAGTATTTTATCACAAGTATTCACATCAGTCTGAATATCTGGAAGCTAGGTATGCTGTGCTATTTTTTCTCTTTGGAATGAGTTTGTTAGTGGTAAATACATAATGCACCTTGACCAGGACTACCAATGTGAAGCAGTGTTTAGCAATGTCAACATTCGAGATGTGGCGTGAATTTGCACCTGGCAGCTAGTAGTGGGATGATATACCGATGCATCAGTGGATCGCGATTTTCTTTATTCTCGATACAAGTATCGATCGCCAAGGCTCAAAGTTTAAATTTTCACTACTTACTGATTTTACCAATGGCTACCTGGAAAAAAATACTTGTAGCCATTTGTAAAATCAGGAAGTCAAGCCTATACTGTAGATAGCCAAAAGCATTTGAAATTATCTGTTATCAAATAACTATTATAATAACACTTGTGTTGGAATTGTATATTAGCATTATATATACTTTTCTTATCCAATAAGCACTATCAACTGAAATATAATACCAATTACATTAATATTTATCATGTTTATATATTTCTGTTCATTGTCGACTATAGGAGGTATAATACGCGAGTACAATTATTAGCAGACATGTTTTCCACAATCAGCTGTTATTTATTTTCCTGTATTAAAGTGTGAAGCAATAGAATTTAGTCGCCATGACAAAGTAGTCATTTGGCTAGCTCTGAATTTTAGACAGTGGACAAATTGAAATTTAGGTCAAATTGGCGACCATTTTTGTCGCAACTTTGAGGCCTGATCGCAGTTGCACACTAAGTTAAAAATGATTATCAATCATGAGTCAATTTAACTGCTCCCTCACTTTGTGGCCTTCACCATCTAGTTGTAGGCCTGTTAGTTTAGACAGAACCAGTAACTCTTAAAAGGAGCAAGCCCATCTGGGTACCTCCAAATTTGTTGTTAAATCTACCCCTGTCGATTCTTACCTTAAATGTTGGCTTACAGTACATGCACATATAGCAGTACATGAGTTGATAACCATGCTATCAGGAAACAATGTGAAGAGCCAAATGAACTTCAAAGTCATGTCAGTTTAGCTTTGTTTGTTGTTTAACGCAGCACTCAGCAATATTCCAGCTATATGACAGAGGTCTGTAAATAATCAAGTCTGGACCAGACATTCCAGTGATTGACACCATGAGATACAATGACATGCATCAACCAAGTCAGCAAGCCTGATCACCAGATATCGTCAGTCGCCTCTTACGACAGGAATTGTTGCCTTTTATGGCAAGAATGGGTTGCTGAAGACCTATTCTACCCCAGATCTTCACAGGTCACGACAATCTTTTGTTAGCTGGGTCACATGGAACATTGAAATGTACTTGAAAAAATAGTGCAAATTAAATATTGCAATGTTTGTGGAAGCATGAAGCAAGTATTGCATGATAAGTGAGGTATGTGTTTTGTGACTCGGCTCAGAGTTAGTATCTGAGTGGGGTATCCACAGATGCACATCTCAATAATGTATAACGTTTTCAACTCCCTTAAAACAACTTGGTGAAGATGGGTCACCTCTTTTGGTTTCCCTGGCTGGGAAAGCCAGCGAACATGAGAGGGTAGATACACTGTATGAGTGACTTCCTGCATGTACTGTGTGTCATTGTGTCTTTATGGTGTGGATCAGGCTATCAACCACTGGTTTGCCTAACGTAACCAGATTATTCCTGGCTCCTTTGATTTAGCTGCAATATTGCTGACTGACGTAAAACAACACTCGCTCACTTGCTCTAGCTCCAAGATTTTCCATAAACATGTTTTGTCACAGTTTCAAATAAAAACCATTTTAATACTCTTCTTTGGAAGATGGTGTACTGTTAATGTTGAATGTATTTTTGTATAGTGTATTCACATAGATTTAGTTATACCTGAACATGCAAATGAGTATACATGTACTGTGCATGACACCACCATAAAAAAGTTAACATTCAGAAAAAACAACCATTATTTATATTTTATGATATTTTTTACAACTGCTGTAAGTCATACATATTAGCATTGATGCAAATTATGTGTGGGTGAGTTGGATTTTTCTCATGGTCTGTCCTGATTACATCATGACATGACTACAACAAATGTTTCATGTTCTCTTGAAAGAATGATACGAGTGTTAGTTGTGGCAGGTCCTCCATGTGAATGTTCTTTGTTTCAGTACGTTCTTGTACTTGAAGTTCCTGCTGGTGTGGGCGCTGGTCTTGATGGCAGATTTCATTCTGGAGTTCCGTTTTGAATACCTCTGGCCTTTCTGGCTCCTCCTCCGAAGCGTTTACGACTCATTCAAGTACCAAGGACTGGTGAGTAGTGCTGGCCGGCCGTCAGTCAGCTTCGGCATTTGGACATATTCCAGTTTGAGACATTTTGAGAATTGCACTGAGTTATCTATAAACAGAGTGGTAGATTATATGCCAGTCATGTCAGGATACATCTGTTCATCTATAACCATGATAACATTCTCAGATGATACTATTCGCAATATACACTTTCCTGGATCGATCATATTTGAATTCTGTATCTCATTTCACACATGGACCGATTCATTCATATTTAATATATGCAACCTATACTGAACACCAACAATGCAGGGGTGAGAGTCTTCTGCGGAGCACGTGAATTTTAGTGACCACAAATTTGTGGGGGAAAAAACACCCCCAAAATTCTGGACCACTCTCCATTGCAAAGAGGTTTCAGCTGAAAAGGAAAATATCCATTCTCACCCCTGCAAATGTATCGGGTGGTCAGACTCTGTTATTTGGTTCATCCGTGTCACCCTACCCTGACATTGTGAACCGTTGCTCACAATATCAATCACTGGATGGTCTGGTTGCGATTCAATTATTTACAGGCTGCCATCATATGGCTGGAATATTGCTGACTGCAAAAAAACAACAAACTTAATTATCGATATAGGACAATTCATTTGGTCGTGAAGATACCTTGCTGGAAAGTTCATGTAAAATTATTACGTGTTTCAGTAAAAGTTTGAGGCAGAGCAGGGTTTTTGTAATGAGGGTACTGTGAGAAATTAATTGACTGTTGTTTTGTTTCAGGCTTTCTCTGTCTTCTTCGTTTGCATCGCTATCACATCAGACGTCATCTGCTATCTTTTCATACCAGTGCAGTGGTTATTTTTTGCGGCCAGTACCTATGTTTGGGTTCAATATGTTTGGCACACAGGTAATACATTCTCATATTTCTCAGTATCTGTCAGTGACAATCGTAGTAGGAAACTAGTTACAAAGGAGGAATTATGTGTATGAAGTTAACATGGCTAAGGAGACGGTCGGGTAGCCTAGTGGTTTAAGCGTTCGCTCGTCATGCCGAAGACCCGGGTTCGATTCCCGACATGGGTACAATGTGTGAAGCCCATTTATGGTGTCCCTGCCGTGATATTGCTGGAATATTGCTAAAAGCGGCGTAAAACCATACTCACTCACTCACGAACATGGCTAAGAGAGCAATGACCTGTGGTTCTCATGTAAATGACTTGATCGATGTACATAGACTTAATCGTCCATTTCTAATGAAGTCTTATTACCAATAGTTGCCATGATTACTGAGAAATTTAGATAATAGAATGATAAATGAATGACTTGAATATAAGTACAGTTTGTGGAGAATATTTTGTTTCTCATGATGTGAGACAAATGTAACATCTTGTGTAAGTCTTTACATTAAAATTTTTCATCAGTAAAACTTCCTTAACTAGATCAGTGATGAAGTCTACTGGTTTGTTTCAGAGAGGGGGATATGTCTGCCGACAGTGTCACTGTGGTTGCTGTTTGTATACATAGAAGCCTCAGTGCGACTTCGAGAACTCAAGAGCCTTCCTTTTAATTTAGACCTTTGCAGGCCATTTGCTGCGCACTGGTGAGTTACCTCCCTTGGATTACTGTACCAGTGATTGGCTAATCTTTTTGCATGTACATTAAACTTCTCCTTAGTTTATGTAAATATTTCAGTGATAAAATAACAGATTTCAACGTTGTTGTAATGCATTACATTTCAAGGCTACTTATGCCATGAACATCTGGGTTAGAATTGGTCTTCAGCAACCCATGCTTGTCATAAGAGGTCACTGACTGAATCAGGGGGCCAGACTCGCCAACCTCGTTGATGGATGTCATTATATTCCAAATGCTCATGATGTCAATCAATGGATTGTCTTATCCTGATTTGATTATTTATAGACCATGATCATACAGCTGGAATATTGCTGAGTGTGGCGTTAAACAAACAAAAAGAAAATAAATACATTAGAGGCTACTTTCTTCCCTATTGTCAAGTGACAATTATTTAATCTTGAGTTCCTGTGTGGTTTCAGGGTTAAAATAGGTCATCAATAAGCTAATAAGCTCTGCTTTTCATATCAGGTGCTTTGGTGCCATTGTACCCTGAAGGCATGGGATGTCGCTCATAATATCAATCGGGTGGTCAGGCTCGCTGATTTGTTTGATGCATGTCATCGATCTCAATTTTGTGGATCGATGCTCATGATGTCAATAAATGGATTGTCTGGTTCAGACTCGATTATTAACAGACGGCCACCATGTAGCTGGAATATTGCTGAGAGTGGCGTTAAACAACAAACAAACAAAGTTAAATAACAAGCTAAAACTGAATCTGTGTGCCTTTTATAGGTGTCACTGTCATGGTTTTGACTGTTCTTATGTTTCTGTATTGCAGTATTGGTTATCCAGTGGTGACACTAGGATTTGGTTTTAAAAGTTACATATCTTACAGAATGAGATTGGTGAGTTTGTTTTATTACACAATGTCTAGTTTTGTAACAATATCTCTTTATGCCTTTAGGCCCTACAGTGTTGAAAATTAAGTCCAAAAATCAAGAGGTCAGTTCCATGTCAAAACCCTAATGTTGAATGTCAGAGATTGAAGGTGTCCCTTGGTTCAGATACTAGAAGAGAAACCTCAGGGTCAAGGATACATGACACCCCCTGAGTTTCAGCCACTGCTTTACTAAATTAAAACCGTATTCAACGTAATAAGCGCCCCACACTAATAAGCGCCCACGACGATATTTGCTGATTTATTGGCACGTGAACCATCCCAATTAGCACCCTTCCGATTGATCAATGTACACAAGACTTATTTATTTGTGTATAATACGCACTCGTGTGTTATATGCACCCTTAATTATGGGCAATTAAATTCTGGAAAATATATCTGTCTTATTTAAACAGTTCAGGCCGTCAGTATGAACCACGAAATTTATCTTTCAACTCTGTTTTTTCCACAAGAATAATATTCTAATAAGAGCCCCCCATTTCTAATTTTGAGAGCGCCCTGGGCGCTTATTACGTCGAATACGGTAATTTGATTTTCATCACCTCCTACCTTACTATCAAACATATCCATTTTTGTTGTTGTCCCCAACTACAGACTGTTTGGCTCCAAATGAGAATGGCAAAATAATTCAAAATTGGGAATAGTCCATTAAATGTCAGTATGGTACATTGCAATGAATACCCTGTACCCAACAATATGTGCTGCTTGTTTTTTCATTCCCATCACTGGAAAAAGTTGTTTAAGAAACACTCATGTTGTTATTTGTACAAGTTGACATCTTGAACTGTAGGGGGCAGAATGGTAGGAAGAACAGTGCAAACACATACAGCATGCGGTACATAGTTGTTGTACCTACAGATGAGACTAGCCCAGGGGACGTGTGTCAACCTTATTTCTCTAGTCATTAGCCCAGGGGACGTGTGTCAACCTTATTTCACTAGTCATCAGCCCAGGGGACATGTGTCAACCTTATTTCACTAGTCATCAGCCCAGGGGACGTGTGTCAACCTTATTTCACTAGTCATCAGCCCAGGGGACATGTGTCAACCTTATTTCACTAGTCATCAGCCGAGGGGACGTGTGTCAACCTTATTTCACTAGTCATCAGCCCAGGGGACCTGTGTCAGCCTTATTTCACTAGTCATCAGCCCAGGGGACGTGTGTCAACCTTATTTCACTAGTCATCAGCCCAGGGGACGTGTGTCAACCTTATTTCACTAGTCATCAGCCCAGGGGACATGTGTCAACCTTATTTCACTAGTCATCAGCCCAGGGGATGTGTGTCAACCTTATTTCACGAATCATCAGCCCAGGGGACCTGTGTCAGCCTTATTTCACTAGTCATCAGCCCAGGGGACGTGTGTCAACCTTATTTCACTAGTCATCAGCCCAGGGGACGTGTGTCAACCTTATTTCACTAGTCATCAGCCCAGGGGACGTGTGTCAGCCTTATTTCACTAGTCATCAGCTCAGGGGACTTGTGTCAACCTTATTTCACGAATCATCAGCCCAGGGGACGTGTGTCAGCCTTATTTCACTAGTCATCAGCCCAGGGGACGTGTGTCAACCTTATTTCACTAGTCATCAGCCCAGGGGACGTGTGTCAACCTTATTTCACTAGTCATCAGCCCAGGGGACGTGTGTCAACCTTATTTCACTAGTCATCAGCCCAGGGGACGTGTGTCAACCTTATTTCACTAGTCATCAGCCCAGGGGACGTGTGTCAACCTTATTTCACTAGTCATCAGCCCAGGGGACGTGTGTCAACCTTATTTCACTAGTCATCAGCCCAGGGGACGTGTGTCAACCTTATTTCACTAGTCATCAGCCCAGGGGACGTGTGTCAACCTTATTTCACTAGTCATCAGCCCAGGGGACGTGTGTCAACCTTATTTCACTAGTCATCAGCCCAGGGGATGTGTGTCAGCCTTATTTCACTAGTCATCAGCCCAGGGGACGTGTGTCAACCTTATTTCACGAATCATCAGAGTTAAGCCTGTCCTGCTTGAATGAAACAAAGATGTTTACTGTGTTCCGGTGTCCGGTATAATGTTAGTGTACCCTGAAATAATTATCCCGTTTTTCATTTTTTTACAGAGAAGACAGAAAGTTGTACAAAAAGAAAATGATTTTTACATGCAGCTATTACATCAGGCCCTTCCTGCGGAGGTCCAGTATGCTGATAAACAAAAAGGTAGTGTACATATTATGTCATGTTAACATTCATTCCCAGTACTAATATGAATCTTGGGGCACCAACTTTTACAATTTGAGAATTATATCTTGTGTACATCACAAAAAAATTTTTTACTTTGTATTTCACCTGGAATGTGTTCTAGAATCAGTGGTCAACATCTCAGACCTACATTACTTCAGGCTTTCCTCCCACATCTGTGATATTACAGAAACACTGTTCAAAGCAGTGTTAATCCAACTCATTCACGTTTTTACAATAATTACATTGCATTTTGTCAATCAGCCAGGCAATGTTTTGTGTTATGGATCTTGTATTTCTATTTCTTATTTAGCACTGAAAGCTTTTTCTGCGAGACTACAGAACATATCAATATCATACTCACATTTTACCGTATTATGTCCTAAGCTACAGGAAGTAAGGTATTTTTCAGACAGTAAATTTGATGAAGAATTCAGCTTCTACACCAACATGTTATATCTGAACCAATGGTCACATTGTTTTGGAGTTCTAGACCAGTGTTTATATTTACCGATAATTGCCAGGAATGTACTGGTAAAATAGGCCATATATCGGTTACAAATTAGCCTATTGAGTGTCCGGGTATTTTTATGTGCTGCCGGTCCAGTGAATCGGTGACTTTATTACAGAATGGAAACATTCAGGACAATGTCCATTTCCCATGACATACACTTTTGAGTAACTGACCAATTATGTTTTCTTGCAGCTTTGCCATCCAAACCGGAGGAGGAGGTAATCTCAAATGGGGTGGCAGGAAAGAAAATAGTGAAAGTAGAAGAAGAAAAAGATGGCAAGAAGTCCACCAAGAGTTCAGACATTAATGAAGATGATGAGATAGAGTATATAGAGAAAAGCTTGCCAAAGAAAACTAATGTGAATCAGTTTGATGAAAGTGCAGACAATTTTGTCAACGATCAACAAGCTAAATCTTTCAAAACAGCATCCAGCTCAGTGGGTGGAAAATCCCAGGGCAGCAAGTTAAATAGCAGTAAGGAAAATAGTACGAAAAAAGGGAAGACATACAGTAAAGATATACCACCTCCAGCTACTTTCAGCAACAATAAAGATGAAGTTATAGCAAGGTGAGTTTGAGACAGTTGTGTTTTGTGTGTTTATGGGCAGTTTGTGAACATTTTGCGCAAAGGGTACTTTTCACTTTTCTTTGAAATCTGCGACCGTGGTCCCATTCCTCAATACTAGGGGCGGTCGGGTAGCCTAGTGGTTAAAGCGTTGGCTCGTCACGCCGAAGACCCAGGTTCGAATCCCCACATGGGTACAATGTGTGAAGCCCATTTCTGGTGTCCCCCGCCGTGATATTGCTGGAATATTGCTAAAAGCGGCATCAAACCAAACTCACTCACTCACTCACTCAATACAATCTTAGCACTACCACTGTCGTAAATCTGTGTTAAGGTATGGGAGTTACGATCACCTTTGAACTAAGATTACCTTTTGAAACGAGGGCCGGATCTCTGAAGGTGTTGTGGCACACTGTTGTATAAAGTGTCTTGTTGGAGGACATTATTGGAAAACAACCGTATTACACATTACCCAATGACAAGCTCTCAGGGCCCTGTTCCACAAAGCGATCATAGCGCAATGACAGTCTTATGTCTGTTAAAGTTTGGGAGTTATGATCACCTTAGCACTATGATAGCTTCATTGAATGGACGGGGCGGTCGGGTATCCTAGTGGTTAAAGCGTTTGCTCGTCACGCCGAAGACCCGGTTCGATTCCCGACATGGGTACAATGTGTGATGCCAATGTCTGGTGTCCCCCGCCGTGATGTTGCTGGAATATTGCTAAAAGTGGTGTTAAACCAAACTCACTCACTCACTCACTCACTCACTGAATGGACCCCAGAGCCTCCAGATGCTCCATCACTAAAAAGTGTAGACATTCATTACAACATTTCCATCTTTGAATTCCCAGTACTCAGGAATTTTATAGGAATACCTATTTTGGTATGAAACAACTTTTACTTCCATTGCAAGGAAATTTTCACATTTGTATGTGCTTTTGCATCCATGATACCATGACAAGACAAGAAGGTAGAAACTAGTGTTGCGAATTGACCTCTAAATTTGTGTTCAATAATCGCATCACCAATCGATCGAAAATCAATAATTTATCGACAGTGATGCATTTAATTGTGATGTGTTGATGATGTTTTACAAATGTGTATTCAGGTTCTGTTACCTCAGCTCTATGCGTGTACCTTTTCCTGTGCCACAAACACATCAAGACTTTTGCGGTAATATTAGTTTGTTTATGGATGTACTCATGTATATTTGTTGACTATTTCAGGTTAGAGACGGATGTTAAGAAGTTAAAGGTGGACCTTCAGTCTAGTCGAAACTGTGAGCAAGAGTTACGATCTCAGATAAATAACTTCAGTATAGGGGACAAGTCCCTGCGGTCCGAGCTGTATCAACTCCAGCAAGATAATGAAAATTTACAGAATAAGTAAGTATTCCTATTATTTGCAAGAATTTGATATTAGAATAGTGGTTTCCCAGGGTTTTACCTTGACTTGAAAACAAATGGCAGTCCAGGGGACCCCAAATAATTTATTTTAAGGGTCCTTGCAGGCTATATGAAGGTCCTGTAAAATATTGGAATGGTGTAGTGTACTGCACGTTTTGATAGCTGTTTTAGAGCCTGGAAGGAATCACTGATGAAGGAGCTGTAGGTAAAATGAATATCATTGTGCATCCCTCAGGACGCAGTGTATTTCTTTTCTGCATCCATGATCATGTAAAACCCTGGTGTCCATTTTATGTAAATATGGTGTCATATACTACTATAAAGAAGTTAAAGAGCGGCTGATTTGATTTTCAACTTCTTTTGATTAGTATATATTGTGAAAGTAAAACCGGGTGGGGGGGGAGGGGGGACTTTGTGTGCCATCTCTTGGACAAACCAGTTGAGTGTTCCTTTCCTAGAATTTTTCTAAAGCAGAGGCAGAATGGGTGGCACTGTCTTCTAAGGCCCCGCAAATCGCTGTGGATTCGACCTGATTATATTTCTTGGTTTGATAGCACCATACCTGTGTTCATGGGTTTGGGCAAAGTGGTAAACATTTCAGATCTGGAGCTTTCCTCTCACATGGGGGCATGGGTGGCCCAATCGTCTAAGGCGCCGCGATTCACTGTGCAGAGTGGGCACGTCAGAAACCTATAATTGTGGGTTCAAATCCAGGTTTGCCCCAATTATGTTTCTGGGTTTGTCAGGACCATACCCGTGCTCGTTGGTTTCACCGAAGTGGTAAACGTCAGTGGCCTGCATCACTTCGGGCTTTCTTCCCACATATATATCTTCCCGTGATATAACTGGAATACTGTTAAAAGCAGTGTTAAACCAAACTCACTCACTCACTCCTCCCACATGTCATGATATGAAACAATTTTCAAAGCTGCATTAAACCCAACTCACTCACTCTAAATCAGAGTGCCCATTTACATGTTCTGTCTTGTATTGAGAATTATTATTGTCAACTAGACCCTAGTTTAGTATTTCATACAGACATGACATGCTATCACAGCTATTACTGAATCAATACAGTAATCCTATTAAGTGCAAAGCCAGTCCTGCCTGTTTGCCCACATTACATTCAGACTGTGCCAGACATATGAGTCTGCCAGCAGGAAATCCACTTATAGCATTACTTTCAATGGATACTGTGGTTCATGCCATTTCACTGATTTTACTAGACCATCAGCCATTTTACGTGACACTTTTCAGACTAGTGGCTAAAAAACCTCTTTGATCCAGGGCTAGAAACTAACAATTTTTGCCCACTAGTACTTATAATGATAACATATATAGCAAAACCCTTAAAATGGGCCAATTTCTACTAGTCCTTAGGATACCTTTACTATTGGGCTGTTGGTAAGGACTACAGGACGCTGGTGATCAAGTGGTAGAGCGTCCGCTCAGAGAGCAGAAGGTCCTGGATTCGAACCCCAGCCGCATCATACCAAACAGCATTAAAAGATGGTTCTTGTTGTTACCCTGCCTTGCGCTCAGCATTAAGGGGCCAAAACAAGGACTGGTCGGCTCTGAGTCAGTATACTGTGTCTGAGTTAGATATGCATGTTAAACTGCGGCATGATATCTCAGTGGGCTAGCAGTGTTAACATAAGTGCAATAATCTTGAACATGATGTTAAACCCCTTTTCATCTCACCTCACTAGTGGCTTAAAAAGCAGACTGATGATTATATTGGTATGATTGGGAATTCTATTTCCTTTTCAGTCTAAAGGTTGTCATGTGTTTTTGAACCATGTGTAAATGACTAACTGCATTTTTCTTTCAGAGTCACTGAGTTTACCTTTTAGTCTACAAGATATTGATATCAAGAAATGTCATGAGCCTTGTGATGATTAAAACAATGTTATAAATTAAAAAAATTAAATGTTTTTTGTAGGAACTAGTACTGACAAATACAATATGTTAGAGTTCATGAAAAATATGGTTAGGAGTTTTTTGGAGGATACTCAGAAAGACACAGAGTTCCTAGGCCCTGTAAAAGCCTGTGTTATTGTCATACAGGGTTTGTACAGGCTAGAAAAAGCCTTGAATTTTAAGCTCCCTCTTGAAAAGCCTTGATTTTAGTGTCAACCTTAAGGTTGTAGAAACTTGTCATGGCTGTCCATGTTGTCTTACCATTGGTGCTGTCTTCCCAGATTACACAACCTTGTGACCAGCAAGCAGCAAGATAAACAGAACATAGCTATGCTGGAAAAGAAGGTGCAGGAGGAACGCAAGCTACGAGCATCACTTGAGGCACAGCTCGCCTCGGAGCGCAAAGCAAGAAAAGCAGACGAGGCAGCTGCTGCCGCTAGAGCAGTTGCTATGGCAACAGCAGCAAGGTGGGTTAAACTGAATATGTCAACATCTGTTGCATTGGCTTGGGGACAGTGCTAGACATTACAGGGGTGTTAGGTCTTTGTGGGTTCCGGATTAGAAGAGATCCCCAGAAGCCTATGCTGGTCGTAAGAAGTGACTTAATGGATTGAGTGGTCAGATGCAGTGATTTTGTGTCATTGTACCCTGATGAAAGTTGCTCAAAGCATCAGTCACTGGATTATGAGGTCCAGACTTGATTATTAATAGACTGCTGTAATTAAGCTAGAAAATTTATGATTTACAAACAGTGCTTAGATCTTTGAGGTTTTGGGATATGGTATTTTAATTTGGACTTTGATTTGCAATTTTGATTTATGAACTGCCTGAAAATTATTGAAATTGATATGATCAGAAAGAAAACATTGCTGCAATTGCTGTTAAAGCACCACTGAATGTACTCACTTGCATTGGAAATGTCACATGATTGTGTTGATGATGACTTGAATGTGAGTATGGAGATGTCTTGTTTTCAGGGTGGAGTGCACAGAGAGTTGTAAGGCTAGGAGAAGAGACAGTGAAAATGATATAAAACAGCTCCGCAGGGATCTGAAAATAAGAGAAGAGCAAGTTCGACAGTTTGAAAGAGAAGTACAAGTAAGTGTTTATGGCATCACTTCGGGCTTTCCTCCCGCATCAAGCTGACCTGCCGTGATATGACTGGAAAACTCACTCACTCACCCTGACTTCATTATTTACTGACAGGCACAATATAGCTGATCTATTGCTACGGTTTTATGCAAAATTCACTCATTCATTAAGTCTGGGACTTCAGCTAAACCCAACTCTAGAAAAAATTTGTTTGGTCTAGTTTGCTCAACTACAATTAGTCCTCATATTAAAAAGACTGAAATGACATGTCAACTGCAGGAATTTCACAGTCGTTGGAGCCTTACACATTACACTAAAATGATACCAAGAGAGGAGGTGCTAAAAGACTTGGGCACAGACTGTAATTAGAGAAACAGATTAGAAAGAATCTAGTGGACTCTATCACAACACTTGTTTCTGCTGCTTTTGGTTCTTTGAGAGGGTAAAGAATTATGATTACAACCATGTTTCCACCATAGTCAAAACATGTTCAGTGATCTCGCATCAGATGTCCGAACACACCTTATGATCTTCATCACGCATGGGGATGCTGGGAGAAGAATATACCTCCCCAGCAACCTATCCTTGTCATTAGAGGCGACTAAATAAATTTGGTGGTCAGGCACTGACTTATTGATTGCATGTCATCGAATACCTTTTGTGTAGGTCAATACTCATGTCAAAGTCAATGGATTGTCACTTCCTGACTTGATGGTTTACAAACTGTCGTCACATAGTTCCAATATTACCAAGAACGGCGTTAAACATAAAAAAAATAATTTTTAAATACAATCATCAGCAATAATGAAAATTGTTTGTTTGTAGGCTCTGCGGCAATATAAGGATGCCCAGAAGGAAACAGAGGTTCTGATGGCGGCACTGGGGGCCATGCAAGACAAGAACACGGAACTGGAAAATAACCTGAGTGCAGAGACAAGATTCAAGCAGGATCTGTTTTCAGCTCTCGCCGAGGAAAGGCGCCAAATTAAAATATTACAGAGTGAGGACTCTTTATATCTTGAAATTATTGTTGAGTACAGGAAGATGAATGGGAATTGCATGTGAGTTAGGAGTGATTTTGGGTGCGGGATACCAGTGCACTTCATGTAATTTAGGTATGTGGGACCAACCCGAAGGAGGTATAGGTGGCCCATGGGTGTTAAGTTCCACATCTCACTGCCGAGTTGCATCCCTAGGCTACCAAAATCTGCTGACCCTGGGTTTGAAACTCACAGTCGCCCTGACTTTTGATCCATGGTTTGTCAGCACCCTACCCATACTTGTGGGTGTCACCAAGACGTTGCTTGTCCATGACCAACTTCTCTTGGACTCTTTCAGCCAATATAGACCTGATATGTTGTAATATATAACTGAAATACTGTTTAACAATTACTGACATGCTCAAACCTGAGTGTGGTTTCGTGATGAGCAAACACACCTCCTGCTGGACCATCACCAGCCTGTGAAGTAGGGGGAAGCCAGTTCTGCAATGTGTACATATGAAGCATAATTACGATTATACTACTCAAAACAAGTTAAGAACTCACTCAATTGGAAGACTTATGTGTTCCAATTCCCACCAGTCATGACACGTAACTTATTTTGAGAGGTATATGTTATCAGCTATAGAAGCTAACAGTTTTAGTCCGCTCGTCTTTATAATGATAACATATAGAGCAAAACCCTTAAAACCGGCAAATTTCTACAAGTCCTTATGATACCTTAACTATTGGGAAGTGTGACAAGAACCAAAGGACTCATGCCAATTTCTATCGCTGAGTATTCTTAACTATTGGGAAGTGTGACAAGAACCAAAGGACTCATGCCCATTTCTATCACTGAGTATTCTTAACTATTGACCTTTTTCACACTTTCGCCATCTTGGATCGAAAACGAGGCTTGGAGAGCATAGCTCCATGCAGTGAGAGTCGCATCAGCTCATAGGGAATAGACAGCATGTTGTGCATTTCACTGATGGACATTTCAAACAAACAAAAAATGGTATCCTCTGTATATAATACAGAAGATATTTCACATTAAATCATGAGGTCCAACTAAAATATGCCTGTTATACACTGGAATTAGCATTTTGCTGTCAGGATCCCGGAAGTGAATCGAAAGGTGCATTTCGAGATACGTATTTCAGAAATAGATTGTTTTATCATAACCTCGTCGGCATATAGGTACAATGTGACAGTACATTCAATGACAGAGGGTTTCTATCGTAAATAAACCGCATAACATGAAACACGTCAGTGTACTTTTGCAAAATTGCTCAGTCAATGCGTGGCTTGGCGAACTCTAGATCAAGATTGAGATCATGTTTATTTCACGTTTCATAGTGGTGTTTGCTGCACAACGCACTATCGTTTTGCCATGAGTCCAGTTGACAAAAGACACTTTTTCGGCTATGATTTTCATTTTAACATATTACAATGTTTATTTTGAAAATAATTCGTGTGTCAAAATATATATTCAGAAGGGGCATAACTCTATTCAGTGTGTACAATGACAGATGATACTTTACTTGTTCTTCAAACATCACTTACTTAACTGATTATTGCCGATTGAGATTGCACCGTGCACTACAAAAGTAATAATGTGTGAACTGTTTAAAATAAGTTAAAAGGAAACTAAAAATTGATAAATATAAATAATGCATGAAATTGAAGAAATATAAGAATTGATACAACTACCAACTTCTTGAACACCCTCACCTAATCCTGTATGATGAAAGGTAATTGTATATCAAAAGGAAGCTACTAATACATTTATCCTGAATAGTTTGAAAATGTCTTGATCAGATATGAGTACAGTTAAAATAACAAAAGATAAAAAGGAATCAACTTCAATTGGTAATCAAGCCAAGATAAAATATGTATCGGTACAAAATATGTTGATGGAACAATCTGGATTTCTCATATTTAACAAAGAAAAACAAACCAAAATTTTCATATCTTTATTTCTCACAATATAAGTTTTCAAAACTTAACATGGACTGGGTGTCTTTGTCAGTCAAAAGCACCTAATTAAATTCCAGGAGAAAATAATTTTCTTGCTTGTAAACAAATGGTACAATGTGCTTTTCAGTGTCCGATAAATATTGGCCATGTTGATTTGTGAGTGAATAAGGCTTTTCAGTTCCTCGTCCTATTTAAGTGAAATGTGACAGGAACCACATTTGTTGATTGAATGAATATGGCTTTTCACTTCCTCGTCCTTTGACAGGACACACATTGTAACCATTGTGTTACTGTCAGCAGAAAGCTCCTCCAGACATCCGTCACCGGATACTAGTACTTCATTGTGTTGACTCGCTGGCCTGAAAAGAATAATTCTATAATATTGTAATAATATTCCTACTTCAATAACATTTTTTATAAACAATGCATATTCACCTTCTCTCAAAATATTGCTTATTTAGAAAACAACATTCTTCTGAAATAGAGAAGTTTAAGGAAAATTAATCACAGTGTGTAACATTACATGCTACATGTACTTTAGAACAATCTTGAAGGCATGAATTCATCTGATATGTCGAAAACTCAAACAGTATATTCTGTGTAAAGGGTAAACTCAACAGATGCATCAATTTAATGACAGTGTACTACAGCTCTTTATATCAGTGTCACACAGAAATTCACTCTTGTTTTAATGAAACACGTTTTGATATTTGTATTACCGGTATGTATTTAATCATGACCATGCTGAAAACATACTTTCGCTAGAGTGAAAAAAATAAGATTTTTATTAAAATCAGGTGAAATATCACGTTTTGTCACACCTACAGTCAGTCTGCCTCATGGACACTATGGTTTTCTGAGTAAGGTCATGAAGATCACAAAGAAAATATAAGACTTGAATTTATTTTGTCAAATGCAATATTTATCTCTTCATGTGGTTTACTAAAGTTGAAATCTTGACTTGAAAATATTAACTTTGTCAGATCACAAGATGAAATATTATTAAACATATTTTATTGTCCAAAAAGACAAAGGGCAGCACTTATTACCGCCGTCTCCCTATATACAGTTATACATAATATTGCATAATGAAAATGAACAATTTACAGTTGAAGCTTCACATTGTGGAAACATAGTGCGCAATATATATACAGTGCTCATATGAAGGATATGTACAATGTGCTGGAAAGTGAAGACAGTGTGCATCTCATACATATCCTAATATTATACATTTTAGTGTTAAATATAGATTTAACAATATTAATGATTAACAGTTTGGAAACAATAATATGCTAGCTACTGAATCTGTTAGTCGTTTCTATAAATTTGTGTACAGACAAGAATATTTTTGTATTCAGGAAAACATCTAAGTTTGAATCACCAAAAAGAATACTATGTAGAGTTTTTTGTCCTCCAAGATTATCGATAGCTGTCAGTAATGTCTTCCTAAAATCATCATATAAGGTACATTCGAAGAAGAAATGGAATGAATTTTCACAAGGAGCATGCTATACAAGGAGCATGAGATAAATTCATGCTATCATCGTTATTTGACAAGGAAAACAAATTTCTTCTATGTATTTATATTTTTTTATTTTTCTCTTTTTGATTGAATTATAAAAAAATATCAAAATGATCACACCACTTGACTTGATTGAAATAAACTAAAGTTCTAAAGATTGTTAACAATAGTAAAATATTACATCATAACAATATAATTATTGCAAAATAACACAGTAAGCACAACTATATTCTTATATATAAATTGATATGATTAATAATCAATAATACATGGCAATTGCTTGCACAAAAAAATATCTTTTTGTTTTAAAAGTTTCAAAACATGTTTGTGGACATAAAACCAGATGGGTTTCACAATTAAACAAAGGGAATAAATGAGTTATGATTGCAATACGCATGGGAATTAAAAATAATTCTTTTTATACTTTAAGTTTTTAGTAATGTCAATATCAATTTATGCATTTTGGTCGAAATATTAATTGTTACCAAAATTGCAGATCAAACTGTACTTTACTTTAAATATTTACACACCCTTTATGTAATAATTCAGTTGAAATATTACACCTCATGCTATCTAATCTGTCAACATTGACAATCAAAATAACAACTGTTCACAATCACAACAGCACAAGTAGATCTAGAGGTCTAATATTTTATTGGAATGCATTTGAGTCCATTACAATTTACATCAAATACACAACTGATGCAAACTTCTGATTTGTTACGATTGTAAATTCTCAGTAGGTTACAATTTGATACATTATATCAACATATCAATTTAGTTAGTTTCTGACATATATCTAGATATGGTCAAAAGGTCAATATTTCGACTTCAAATACAACCCGCAAAGTTATTTAAACTCACAATAAATAGTTTGGCTTAATGGTGTGTAAACAATGAATTATTTTTTACAAGATTTCAGTTGAATTTGTATTAAGTCTGTTCAGCTACCATAAACTGCACTGGGAGTTACCAGGTGGTCATGGATATTTTAAATTGAAATCACAACTGAACGGCCAGACTCAAATTTATATCGGTAAGGAGACCAGATAACAGTAGAATAGTTTGTCAATAAGAATAATGTTCAATACTTACGATAAATGTACCGGGATGGTTAAATTGTCACAGTTTGTCCCGATTGCATGCCTTGTTTACATCTCCATGTGTTTCATGTGCTATCCAGCCTTCACCTTCTGCTCTCCAAGCCTCGCTTTCAAACCGGAAGTAGCGAAGTGTGTAAAAGGTCAATTGGTCATAGTTATGTGCCACAATTCCCACAAACCTTTTCTTCTGTTCACAGACACAGTACATGAGAAAGACAGTGAGATTGCAGAGCTGAAATCAAAAATAGCTGAGGTGATGGCTCTAATCCCCAGCACAAGCTCTTATCAGACTCTCAACTCCGAGAGGACGTCCTCTCCACTCTTCTCCTCCAAATACTGCAAGGATGATGTGACAGTGTCCTCGGACCTGAACCCGAACGCCACAGACTACACCCCCAAGAACTCTATTTAAACTCCAGCCAGCAGCCCTCACATCCGATCCTCCTCCTCCTCTTCTCCCTCCCACCCCATCCCTGCAAGTAACATGACATTGTTCACCATTGAACCACCACCACCACCACCCTACATGAACGTTTTTGCCTTGTGGACAGCCCCACTTCATATCTGTACAACGGTGGACACATTGTTTTAGTCCAATCTTATAGACTCGTCCATTGGTGCTACAATTTGTTTTCAGTTCCGTTGGAGCTGCAGGTCTGGGGACTGCCATCTCCCGCTACCAGTAGTCGACCAGCCGACAGTGTTCACATAATCTAAGTATGCAGCTGCACCACTGGTTAACATAGATTACTTAATAGAGCAACGCCAACTTCTTTCTTGTTTCACAAATGAGTCTACCCAGAGTCAAAGGTCAAAACGTCCACTACTGTTCTGTTGAAAATATGCTTATTTGAAACACCTAACGTAACATTTCAAAAAGGAAGATAAAAGGCTGATTGATTGAAACTGTGTTTTGTTTTGTTTTTTAAAGGTCGGCTATTCTAACAGTTTTACCATTTATACAAGAATCTTTTTGAAAAGAATAGAAACAAATATCCTTATGATCAACAGTCATTTTTTATATTAATTTGAGTAATTTGTATACGTGTCATTGACCTCCAGTGAATCTTGACCCAATTTGTTTGAATCCAATTGGTCTGGGAAATCAAGAAATAAAGTTGGTCTGGCTTTAGGCTGAAAAAAATGTGTTGTTGGTTCTCAGGCATTAGGTGACCCATGTCAGTGAATAAACAGCACAGCTGGAGAGGAAAGTGCGATGAAAGTACAGAAAGTCCTCTTTAACTCTTGACAAGCCTCCATCATACGTCTTCAATAATTTCGAGGGCACATCATTCCAAGTGGTTGAAAGTGCTGCAGCTAGCTGTGCAGAGTTGCATCTTTTTTGTCAGCACCATGCCCATCTACCAATGTAAGCATTCACAAACTGCATCCCTTTGGGGTGACTAGCCATGATGTGATGAAATACTTGGTTGACATCAAACCCAAAATTAAACCCATTAGATACAGCAATGTTTTGTGAATTTACTGAATTGATTATAGCTAAAGGAGAGAACATCTCGCCTTGGAGGTATCATTTTCACCCTAAACAACCGTCTACCATTTGTAACTGCCTGAGAACCAACTGAGATTCTGCCTGTGTCTACTTATCGGACTTTTACTATCAGTTTCAGTGAGGGCATTTAATTGGTGCGTGACTGTACAACTTTTCTTTAGGGTCTAACATTCACTAGGTAACTACTCACAATAAGTTAAAGAACACCTGATTTTTTCATGACTATAGTTATTTTGTCATGATATGACAGATTAACTATAGCCATATGAAAAAAATCAGGTGTGTTCTCTTACTTCCTTTGAGTAGTATAATTACCGGTTTCAGTAATGTAACAATCAGAAACTTGTTCCTGTTGATTGTTGATGTAAGCACTGAGTTGGCTGAAATAATGCCAATATGGTATATTGTAAGGGTATCCAGTGAGGTTTAGGGTAAATGTAATACCGTATTCGACGTAATAAGCACCCACGATGATATTTGATAATATATTGGCTAGTGAACAATCTCAATTAGCACCCCTTCCAATTGATCAATGTACACAAGACTTATTTATTCGTGTATAATATGCACTCATGTGTTATATGCACCCTTAATTATGGGCAATTAAATTCTAGAAAATATATCTGTCGTGTATAATACGCACAGACTTTTCTTTTGTGTCATTTCAGGCTCTCAGCATAAACCACGAAATTTACAATCTTTCAACGCTGTTTTTTTTGTCTCACCAAAATTATATTCTAATAAGAGCCCCCTATTTTTAATTTTGAGTGCTCCCTGGGCGTTTATTACGTCAAATACGGTAAAGTGTTTAAACTTGATTTTTTTCATACTGCAATGGATGCTTGAAGAAAGTTTCATATTAACAAATTGGCCAATATTAATGTGCTTTTTAGGTATCATATCAGAGGGTGTTTTTACAGTTTCTTCGCCTCGTGTATAAACCTGTAATATTTTTTAAGATATATACCTATTGATATTACAACTTCACTAAATCTTGTCAATTTTCATGATATGTACTTCTCAGAAAAGTTAAGGACTTCCCGATTCTTTTGTATTACTATAGTTAATCAGTCATGCCACGACCTATTAACTATAGTAATATGAAAGAATCGATTGGTCTTTAAGTTTTTTTTAGTGGCGTGTATCATATATAGTATAATTAAAATATGTGTAGAATGGTTAGTTGGTTTTGGGCCAATAGGAGCATGCAAGTTACTAGGGTCAGGGTTCAGATGTCAAAAGGAGAGATTCAGGTTCCAGAATGTTTTTATATATCTACTTTATGTGGATTTGCTTCCAGATTCTAAGTAAGGTAATATATTGCTTGTTAATGAGCCTGTGCCACTGAGTAGAACTTGCAGCTGGTCAGTGTACAGGGCAAACTAGGCTTCCATAGACTTACTGATGGCCAAAGAAACAGGCATTATTTCTGTAGCGGTAAATTCTAGAGATGTTTTTTCTTTTGGCTCAAATTTCATTTTGTCATGTTTGATTTTTTTCTTAACTTACCAGGTACATCAGAGCAGAAACAAACACGAGTGCAGATTTGCATGTATATCAAATCGTTAGGAAAGAGTTTTTGCAAAACTTTCGGGACCGATTTGTTTATTCTTATTTGAAGGTAACATGTACTAGAGCTGAAATTTCAGGTTTAAAAACTAACATTTGTTAATGAGGGAATGGTGTTCTTCTGGGATGCTAAGGAACTCATTGTAAGCACAATAGCGGTCTCAGTAAGACAAGGACCCATTTCTCCGTAGGAACATCAAGGTTACCGTTTCAGAACTTTACCATTGATAGGGTTGCAATGTATCTGCAATTTATTTCCAAAGTTTCACTTACCAACTGCCAAACAGTTTACGACAGTCTTCATTCTGTGGTACGAGTGTCTCTTTAGAATTTGTATCCATAATTTATATTGTGCGTTGTTCATGTTGATTGTTAGTTCTTCTGTAAATGGTAAGAAACTGTAAATGTCATGTTGTGTACCTTGATACAGAGTATATTTGGTTTGTTTCAGATATTTTATAAGGATATTTTTGAACTCGAAATAACCCTCAAATAAATTTTGCTACACCGGATTTTGATGGTGGCAAAATTCAGCAGCATTTGTCTTGGGTATTTGACCGTACAGTCACTGCCAAGAGATGGACGACATTTAGTTGAAATGGTTGGTTGATGTTGTGTCAGCACTTCAGTATTTAAAGGGGCTCTTTGGGGCGTAATGAAACACTGCCCTTGTACCTTTCCTTTTACTTTTTTTCCAGCAATATGACACTCCTATTATTAAAAATGACCTTTTATCTTATTCTGTAAATTATGTCAGCAAAGAGATGTTATTAACATTAAGCTATTATTATGTACAGTATTTAGTTATGAGTCAGGAAGCATTCAGATCACCGAAGAGAGCTCTCGAAGCCTTGAATATTTTTGTTGGACCAGGAGTTTTATAGCAGTTCATTTGAGTTTGAACAAAAAAGATGTTTACTTTAGCCTTGCATTTAAGTGAAACAGAATTATCATTGTCGGTCAATAATGTGATTTGATGTGATTTGAAATTATGGCACTAACGACATAATCACCAACACCTTGTTAAAATTGTGTGAGATATTTTGGACTGAAATTCCTGTGGCCATGTCTGACAGTCTCATTTTGAGCACCATATAGCATCTGTGTATGGCTGTCTTGTCAGTCACCAGTCACACTGTGTGATAATATGTCATGTGATCATGATAACTGATACAGTATATTACAGGGCCCTTTCCATCATACTGTTTCATGTTTGTTCGATTGTTGTTTAACACCACACTCAGCAATATTCCAGCTTTATGACAGTGGTCTGTAAATAATCGGGTCTGGACCAGACAATCCATTGAATGGCATCATGAGCATCGATCCATGCAATCTGGATACGATGACATGCATCAACCAAGTCAGCAAGCCTGACCAACTGATCCTGTTAGTCGCCTCTTACGACAAACATGGGTTGCTGAAGACCTATTCTAACCCGGATCTTCGAACCCGGGTTTCCCACTGTTTTAATGGTGATGTATTATGTACTGTAGCCTGGTGTGACATTATGGATGGAGGTCTCCCTCTTGCAGCAATGTCTCTGCCACAGAACTAGAGTTTGTTGCTAGACCATAATGATCCCATCTATGCTGGTCGTAAGAGGCGACCCAATGGATCTGGTGATCAGCCTCAGTTTCTTGGTTGTTTGTTAGTACCCCCTCCGTGTGGATTGTTGCTCGGAATATCAGTCACTAGCAGGGATAGACCTGTTAACCTGAGACCAGTGTTTCCTCCAAAATCCAGCTATTTTAAATAAACCAGGAGTCTGATATTTTCTGCTGAATAGCCAGATTTGAAAAATATTGTCTTGTCGTTTCCAGACTCTATTATTTACAGGCCACAATCATTTAGCTTCAATATTGCTGAATGCCTTGTTACAAACAACAATGAAACAAAATAATTAGACCTTAAAAATGTATGTCTGTCTATAACCTTTCTCGATTCTGTAAAGATATTCAAGGCTTATATGCTCCTGTTGTGATTTTGAGGTTTTATCTTTGAATTGGTTTATTCAATTAATAAGTGCTACTGTGACCAATAATGCAGAGGCAAACAAACTTTCTACAGGATTCATTGACTTCCCAGTGAGAGGGAACTGTTTTTCCAGCTGTTTAAGAATTATCATTCAAGGGTCCCAAGGTGGTATTACAAATTATATTTTCTGGCAGAATGGTTGGACTTCAGTTGGAATGTTTTTTTCACATTTGCTGTCCTGGGTTTCAAGACAACTGGTTAATGTAGTGATGTAAGCAAGGCATCCTTTACAAAATATTTTTTAAAACAATTTGCTGAAACATATCGTCAGAATGACATCTATATTTTCTTTGATCCAATTACCAGTCTACACATTATATATTGTTTGTTTTATTCTTGGTTTGTTAAAAAGTATCTTCACTGTTATAAATTTATTTTAGTTGACTACTTCTTTTGAAGCAGCGTCTAGTTTACACAATGGTCTGTAGTTTGAACTGTCTGTTTATTTTGCTTGAGTGTAAAGATAGTTCAGTGGAACGAAGCTGAATATATCTTAACCTGAGGTTTACCACCAGCGACGGTCTCTGTTGAAGGTTCGCATATGACCCATACCAACTTTTATTAATGATATTGAAATCAACTTTGGAACATTACACTGAAAAGATAAAAACAAGGGTCGTTAGTATCCACGCTGGTCATAGAAGCCAGGGAAGGAGAGGTATGTGGTCTGGCTTTGCGGTCAACTTGGCATCACCCTGATGCCTTCAGCTGTGTCCATGCTGTCCGTCATTGATCTGGTCCAGATGATAGCAGTGATACAGCTAGAGTATTGTGGACTGTTACACTTGACTGGGAGATATTTGATGCTGTGTGGAAATTGTAGTCCTCAAATGTAGATGGTTCATGCATCTTTTGTATCAGTTGTCTCATTGTGAACAGAAAAACAAGCAGCGCACTTTCTTTGCAGTTACTGAAACGTGTAACATCTCTGTTTAGTTTGCTTTTTGAACAGGAACTCTTTCATAAGTAAACTGTGAATGTGCTTGTTTTTGCAATGCAGCTTTTATTTGTTTATTAATACATTAAAAAATATCAATATTAAACCATGAATAATTATAAGATTTTTGTTTGTATAAGTTTCAACATTATTAATGAAATTTGCATTGTTTACTGAAAGCATTCAGATGAAGGAAGGCCATGTCTAATTACATCCAGTGAGGCAGAGGGCACAGAAAATCTTTTTAGTTTCTCATCATCCTATACATAATAGTCTTTTTCATGAGATTGAAAAGTATGAATATTTTGATTTTATCATCTTAGGATAAAACCAGACCTCATGATGCTGTATTTTATTTTCATTCATAAAGACGTTACAGATTTCATTTCAATTTCTTGCCAGCAAATGTCAGGATGTATTGGTCAGAATAGGATTAGTTTGATAATTATTCCATTTTATGAATATTCAAACAATTCATGTGTTGTATTTGATGTTTCATTCAACTTCAGTAAATTCAAATCTTTTATGCGTTTCATTATATATCTACATGCGGAGATCGTCTATTAAAGATGTGCTTGCTTACTAACAGGATTAGGATACCTGAAGTTGTTGTACATCAAAGACAGCATATGCTTGTCCGAGTCAAAAGTTGACCTGAATGTGAAGATTGCTGTTGAAGTAAAATGTCCGAGAATGTAGTAACTGTGAGTCAGTGGTGCAGGTGCTTGTTTTAGTTCTGTTTCTGCATTTCCAGAATCTGTAACCATGGCAACTGGCATAATGTGCCCGTTTCACATCATATTTATTTTGGCCACTGTATAACATTGATGCTCCATTTCATTGGGAGTATGATTAAATTAGTCTAGAAAAAACTGCACGATATTAGCAAGATGCTAAGTTGTAAGTATTTTAATTTTATAAATAGACTGCCTTCTGATTGATTGTGGATCCAAGACAAAAGTTTGAAATAGGACATTACTTAATTCAGAATTGAGATGGGGTGGGAAAATGTGCCATGTATCCTTCACATATCATCCAGTACATCTGACGAGGCACGGAGTGGGAGAGGTTTCTGGTCAGGAACAGGACTAAGGCACTCTACTATAGTACCAGAGTGGAGATTGCCTGCCTTAGTAGTGTTATCTGTTTTGTGATACTCGTTATATGCTTCTACTATTGTTTCGTGTGTTGCTGCCGTCACCGCCGTTTTCCTTTAAGTGGTCCTGATATCCGAAAGTGGGCGTGGCACAGTGAGGGTGTATCAGCTGCCTATGCTCTTATGTACGCCCAGGCCCAAACAGTCAAAATAAAGGGCTTTGTGCTCAGGTGCAAAAAATTATTCCATCTTTGTTTTTCTTTCTTTTAGGCAAGATTATTGCATTTATAAAGCACATGCACATGTATGTGTGTGTGCATCTGCTTGTACTAGTCTGGAATAATGTCAGTCTCATAGTGCTAGCCCACTTAGATACAATTTCACATGGATACCCCATTCAAGACAAAGTATATGATATAGACTCCAAGCCGACCAGTCCTTGTTTTACCCCTATAATGCCGAGCATAAAGCAGGGTAACAAAAAGTACCATCTATTAGTCATTTGGTATGACCAGGTCAGGGGTCGAACCACCCACCTTCTGCTCTCTGGGAACATGCTCCATCCAATAGTCCACAGAGGTGACCTTCTTTCTGTTAGAGACAGGGCTGTTGAAAATCCTTGTCAATGTACACCATGTTCCTCCATCATAGGTATTGTAATAGTGACACGTGTGTATATTTAGGCAGGCAATACGATGAGTGTGTAAAACTCAGGTAAGTTAAATGGGTCCTATCCCATGCATGAACTATAGTGAACCTACCACTGCCTGATAATGAAGAAATGTGTGGAGCACATGGCTGCAAGAGTGATCATTCACGAAAAATAATGCCAATCAAGCTGAACATTCATTGTTCTGAGTATTCGCTGGACGCCCTCACTGGAACGGCCGTGGCTTGGTTCCTTGGTTATAATAGTGACTACACTGCAAAGTGGACGTATGTTTTCATGGGTGATGTAGGAACACAGTATATACAAAAAGAGGAACTTCAAGAAGCCTTTGAAATCAATAGAAAGAAGTAGGCCAGGGACGGGTAACTCAGGTACTCGGGTTGGGTGGGTCCTGAGTTGAACCCGGTACCCACTACATGTCGCTAATGATTGCATTTCTTTCTGATGATGCACACATTTTCTTTGACTTTTATATGTTTGAGTAAATATTAAGCTTCAGTCAATTTCAGTGTACGCATGATCTGATTGTTTGATACATGTATCTAAATAGTTTTGGACAGGGCTGCGGTAAAACAATTCCCAATCAGACATTTTGTTCTTAACTCTTGAGACCTGCAGTGGATACCAGGATAGGGTCAGGTAATAGGGAGTCAGGTACCTGGGTAGTAAATTTGGACTCATCCCAGCCCTAGAAAGAAGCCAGCCATTAACAGAGAGCAAGTGATCTACCTACCTACCCAGCATGTTCTCCACTGTGCTTTGATCGAACAAATGTACATCTTGATTGCCTTATTCACAGTCAGATCCCTGTTATTACACCCAGACCAATCACCACACCTTCCTTGCACTAAATTGTATTGTTATCGTTGTACGTTAATCCTACCTTGTGTAAACACAACATATATATATATGTGCTCAGTATTCACCTGATGAAGTTGCGTCCCTTGAGCACGCCAGAAACCTATGGTTGTGGGTTGAATCCCGGTTCGCCCCAATTATGTTTCTTGGTTTGTCAGCACCATACCCGTGCTCATGGGTTTCACAGAAGTGGTAAATGTCTGAGACCTGCATCACTTCAGGCTTTCCTCCCACATTAACCTGACACGTCGCGATGTAACTGGAATACTGTTTAAAGCGGCGTTAAACCCAACCCAACTCACTCACTCACTCACCTGATGAAGGACATTGTTACAAAAGAAAAATGTCATATTCAAATCCGTGAAGTACTGATGATAGTTGCAATGTCTATCAATTACCAATTCTCACTCAACATTTTAATTAATGGGGCCCAGTGGTGTAAAGCCTGCAACTCACAGTGCAGAGCTATAGCTGCCATGGATTGTCTGGTCAAGGGTTCAAATCCCAGGCTTACCCAAGTGATCCTTGGTCTGTCTACACCATTCAGTGCTTGTAGGTTTTCAACGGAGTGGAAAAGATTCTACACCTGCATCTCTTTGTGATTTCCTCTCATGTGAGCTGACATACCATCATGTAAATGTTTAGCCAGGAATATTCCTAGGTAGGATATGCAGGAATTTGGCCTGAAGTCTCCAAATGTGAATAGTAAGATCATAGTAGAGAGAAAATGCAGCCGCAGCAAAACAAAAGGTAAGGTGAAATGGGTTATGTTGTATTCAAGATTATTGCGCTTTAATATATATAGGGATAGGCATGCATGTGTCAGTCTGTGTGAGTGTTGTCCGAAATATGTCAGCTTCATAGAACCAGTCCGCTGAGATACCAACCACAGGTTAACGTGGATACTCACTCGGACACATAGCACTGACTCTGAGACAACCATTACCTGTTGTGTCCCCTTAAAGCCAAGCATCTTTTAACGTCTTTCAAAGCCAAACCCAGGGGTCTGTTTAATTACCTGACACAACACAACAGAACAGAGGATTACATCTGGAGTTTTTTTAATTATGAACATACATTAAGAAAGCCCATCCACCTGGGACTTACACAACAAGAAAGCAAGAGACTGCAAAGCTATAATAAGTTGTCATCAGATCCTTTAAGACATTCCGTGAAGCAATGTTTACAAAGTAAGGTTAGTGAACAATGTCACCACATCTAACTATGTCCTTGAAACTGCAGAAATGATCTTCTTTCTCCTTGTGATGATGTAGAACCAATGATACTGAGAAATGGGTTCTCAATATTCACATTCTGGAATGTTATGTGACTGATGAAATGAAGCAAGGCCTCTTCATGACCTGTCCAAAACTACAGTGCTACATTTATATTGATTTAAATAACATCAGCCTGCTGTACAGTAACCTCCCATTTTGGCATACTGGAAGCGGCAAATTACAAAGTTTCCTAAAACTTAAGATATTGTTAAGAAACGAATTATTGTAGAGCTGTTTGTTCTATTTGTATAAATGTACCTGGCACTGTAGATAGTTTGAATATAGTAATAAACAAAGAAAAAAGTTAAAGTGACACAAACAATTTCCGTAAGATGAGTACCTGGTTTAAGATATTTTAAACTGTGACGTCCCTGAGCTCATTAAGTCATTTTTAATTGCTCTTGTGGTTATCCCTTAGAAGATATACTGCATTATTTTTTCACATGCCCTAGCTACAATATTTTAAGAAACGATTTGTTTTTCTATTTACAGTTTAAATTCAGTGCTCTATGGGAATTGAAATAAAACAAAATCTGTCAATTTAGATATTCTGAATTCAGTCCATATGTCCATCCTGCGTTCTGGTAGACTTGCACTAATGTACTAACCTAAGATTTAATTCACACTTTAAGAAAAATTAGAATATTAAATAACTAATGACTTGCTTTTCTTAATAATTGAACATTTCTCAGCTCACTGATATATTGTACGAACAACAATTCTTGATGGTGCATAAATAGCTAATGAGTTATTCAACTATTGCTCAACACAACCTAATATTTTGTCTTTGAACTTTCGGTAAACTGTGGTCAAGCAAAAACGATGATAATTAATAATTACACAAAATGATATTACCATGTGAGATGAGCTAAGTCTGCATCTGTATCTTGACTCACCCGACATCGTGAACGTGAAGGGTTATTACCTCCAGGTTCCAAGATAGAAATCTACTGTAACTTATATACAGCGGAATCTCTCCAATTTGGAATTGGTTAGGACCAGTAAAAAAGTCTGGTTTGCGTCGAGGTGCAGATTACACAGAGTACAAAAAGTTAATCAGTCATGTTTTTTTGCTGCTGCTGTTGGTATTCTTCACTACGTTTAAGAACGGTCTGCTTACAGATGCCACACCTCATGGCTAAATTTTTCTGCTTTGCTTTTGACAATGACTTAAATTCCTCAAATAAAGCAACTTTGTCAGCAAGTGTAATTTCAATACGCCTAGTTGATATGGTGGTCGCTCAGCCATTATGATTGATAATGACAAGCTGTGTTTACCATTATTTCATGGGATACTCATGACACTCAAGCTGAGTCATCTCTAATTAAGCTCAGTATCATCTGATTAACAGCTGAGTAAAATATAATTAACTTAGCTGACAACAAGTTAAGATCAATAGGATTACGTGCAGGCCTAGCATTGTTGTTTTAGCTGACAATGACAGAGCTTCCTTCAATGAGAGAGAACATCCGGACTAGTCTGGTCCGGTCCGAGTTAGACAGCTTCTTTTCAACAGTAAATTGGTTGTTGGGATGTAATATAGTTATATAATAACGTAATTAGTTGAGGTGAAATTGGGTTTAACGTCACGTCCAAGATTATTGCACTTATATAGCGACGTGCATGTACGTGTGTGTTTGTGTGGCTGCTTGTACTAGTCCGGACTGATGCCGATTTATAGTGCTAACTCACTGAGATACCATGCCGCAGTTTAACATGAATACCCCACTCAGACAAAGTATACTGACTCCGAGCCGACCAGTCCTTGTTTTAGCCCCTTTATGCTGAGCGTCAGACAGGGTAACAACAAGTACCGTCTTTTAACGTCTTTTGGTATGACGCGGCCGGGGATCAAACCCCGGACCTTCCTCTCTCTGGGCGGACGCTCTACCACTAGACCACGGAGGCGGTCAATATAACGTAATTAAGTCCAAAGTGTAAAAAGTCTGAATCAGAGAGTTGTAGGTCAGTTTGAGTAATCATAATTTGTTAAGGAACTGAGACGACCAGAAAAAGTCTGGTTTTCACCAAAATCCAAATTTGTCGGATTTGGAGAGATTCCACTGTACTTCATTGACAATACTCATAAGGCAATAATGAGAGAAAACAGATGCAATATGGTTGGGATGAATTTCTACGGTTCTACAAGCACTAACAACACAACATCTAATACAATCTGCAAAGCTGTAACAAGAACAGTATTATCATCTCACTTGATATTAAACTCATAGAACATGGGTTTCCTCAAGCTTAAGCTGCCATTACATAAGCCATGCTCTCACTGACAAGTCAACAAGATCAACGGAGACAAAATTGCTGATAATGGGTAACATGGCATGTTTAACTTGAAAGCACTGGATAAGGTTGGAATCAGCTGTTTGTTTCTAAAACACATCAAAGAGGGGAAACTCTGCTGACTCGGGCTGGGTCAAGTCGGCCAGGAAGCAGACCGTGCCAGCCCATCCTTCGTACAAACTGTAGGGGCTGTCCGGAACCCTGGCCCCAGACTGGAACTCTGGGGTGTGCAGGAACTCGGCAAACTGCTGGGCTCGGTGAAGGTACTTCTTGTGGCCTGTGAGGCGGTACAGCAGCAAGAAGACGTAGCCACTTCCGGCCACGCCGTGACAGATTCCCGGACCTTTCCGCAGCAGCCCTCGCTGCCATGTGACCTCCCCACACCTGACACACGCCTGCAGGTACTTCTCATCACCCCACACCTTGAACGCTCGCACAAATAGGTAGATTATACCTGCAACAAGACATCAAAAGTTCTTAATCTGGTCTGCATGATATCATGTGATTTGAGGATTTTGTATTCACTCTGTCGTTTCTGAGCACTACTTCTTCTCTCAAATGGTACAGTAAACTACGGTTATAACGAACCCAAAGGGACGACTAATTTTTGTTCATTATAACTGTAGTTCATTACAAACATATATACAGCATTTATACAGCAAATGGTCGGGACCAAAAAAACAGTTCGTTATAATTGCCATTTCTTTATAAGCGTTTTCATTATAAACGTAGTTTACTGTAGTTAATTCAAAGGAATAACTATGTTCTGTGTGTTTTTTCTTTTGTTAAAATTTAAATTTCAAAATCAATGTGGTAACGAAATGATGAATTGTTTTAGAAAGCTGACATGTGATTCGCTCAAGAACCCATGCATAATTTATTTGAATTGGGTGGCCAAAGTTCACAGGTTTTACCTGACGTGACCTTCTGTGGAGGTGTCATCAGATCTTCACGCAGATGTATCATATCCGAGAAGATCTGATTTAAATGAGATTGGTACTGTCCCAAACACATCCTACAATGACATCCTCACCTGGTGCTCCATGACACCAATGCACAAGCTCGTCAGAGTCCGAACGAGATCTCCTCTGAACTTCGTCCATGGCAGGAGGGAAGTTGAAGTTGGGCTGCTCAAGACTCAACATGAAGTCCACGGCCTGTCGAATGTCTCGCTCGGCATCTGGGTTGGAGAGAACAAACTTGGGGAAGCTCAGCAGCATCTGCAGGATGGAGGACAGGCCGTGGGCAGCACCTACACCGGAGCAACACAAGGCACACACAAGGTTTAGGGAGCAGCTCAATAGTTTCCTGTCAGATCTCAAATTTAATTTCATAAATTTGGGGGAAGGGGGAATACCTTCAAATTTGTTTGTTGTTTTATGCCGCACTCAGCAGTATTCCAGCTATATGACGGCGATCTGTAAATAATCGAGTCCGGACCAGACAATCCAGTGATTGACATCATGAGCATCGATCCACGCAATTGGGATACAATGACATGCATCAACCAAGTCAGCGAGCCTGACCACCTGATCCTGTTAGTCGCCTCTTACGACAAGCATAGTCATCTTTTATGGCAAGCATGGGTTGCTGAAGACCTATTCATGCTTGCCATAAAAGGTGACTATGCTTGTCGTAAGAGGCAACTACCTTCAAAGGAATTTACAGTTAAAGTACAAAGATTTACATCTCTAAACTTCCTATTTGTACTCTGAGACTGAACAAAGACATCACACACAGCCAATGAAAAGTCCAGATTTAATCAGAAAATAGCAAGTCAACAAATCCGTATGGAGGTTTGCAAGCTAACCCTGGTATTACACTATCTGGTAATCTATTGTTTTAACTCTATACAAGATTTCATTCAATATTTTTCAACTTAATTTTGGTGTGAACTGATAAAGTCTGGATAAACAAATGGTTGACAGCATGAGCAAACCCCATGCTCTTGAAGTAATATTTACTACCAACGGTATCGTAACAGTACCGTAATATAACATAAGATAAGACTTTATTATCCCAAGGGAAATTCATACTGCATAGTTATTAGCACTAAAATATGGAGAGAAAAAAAATACATGTATTCAAATATGTACCTAAGAAAATAAGACACTTATGAACATAACCACGAATAAAAACATGTAGAAAATTGAACACTGGGAATTTTCCCTCAATGTGGAATTCTAGTATTCATTTAAATGATTACAAAACCTAACACAACCAAAATGTTGCTGCAAAACAATCAAGTTTTCAACAAACCAGTGGTTAATAACATGAGCAATGATTATCACCATTGGGCTACAATGGCCCATTCAGCGGGGTCACATACATATGATCATTCATCCTTTGTATGGTGTTATTTCAAGGAGCTACTCTACCTAGATACTCGGTGTTGTAGTAGGCGTACATGAGGGGGGAGCCGGACCGGTGTCTGCGGGCGTACTGCCTCCCAGACTCCACCACTGCACTACAGATGGCGTTAACATCAGCGTCACTCAACACCTGAAACATGCAGCATAAAACTATCAAACTTCAACAGGCCATCGGCTTGGTGAGTCAGGTAGTGAGTGCATAAGAGATTTAATGTTTGAGAGGGTGAGTGATGGAGTGGGTGGGCATGAGAGAGGGTGAGTGAGTTGGTGTGCCTTGAGAGTGTGAGTGAGTGGGTGGGTATAAGAGAGGTGAGTGATGGAGTGGGTGGGCATGAGATAGAGTGAGTGGGTAGGTGGGCATGAGAGGGCGAGTGATGGAGTGGGTGGGCATGAGAGAGTGTGAGTTAGTGGGTGTGCCTTGAGAGTGTGAGTGAGTGGGTGGACATGGGAGTGTGAGTGAGTGGGTGGGCATGAGAGTGTGAGTGGGTGGGCATCAGAGAGTGAGCATGGTGAGTGAGTGGGTGGGCATCGGAGAGTGAGCATGGTGAGTGAGTGGGTGGGCATCAGAGACTGAGCATGGTGAGTGAGTGGGTTGGCATCAGAGAGTGAGCATGGTGAGTGAGTGGGTGGGCATCAGAGAGTGAGCATGGTGAGTGAGTGGGTGGGCATCAGAGAGTGAGCATGGTGAGTGAGTGGGTGGGCATCAGAGAGTGAGCATGGTGAGTGAGTGGGTGGGCATCAGAGAGTGAGCATGGTGAGTGAGTGGGTGGGCATCAGAGAGTGAGCATGGTGAGTGATAGGGTGGGCATCAGAGAGTGAGCATGGTGAGTGAGTGGGTGGGCATCAGAGAGTGAGCATGGGGAGTGATAGGGTGGGCATCAGAGAGTGAGCATGGTGAGTGGGCGGGTGGGCGTCAGAGAGTGAGCATGGTGAGTGGGTGGGTGGGCATCAGAGAGTGAGCATGGTGAGTTAGTGTGTGCCCATGAAAGGGTGAGTGGTTGAAAGAAGGAGTGGGCCGATGGGAGGTGAGATTGTTGCCATAGTAAGCAATATTGTAGCCATATCACAGAAACCTGAAAGTATTCACGTCTTGACTGACTGATGGGTGGTTTCTGAGTGAGCAGGCAAGTTGGGTAATGTGCTCTTTTAGCAATATTCATGTCAAATGCTGTATTCCAGCATGTCAGGGAACACTAGATATGGGCTTCACATGGTACCCATGGGAAATTGATCCCAGACCTTCACCTTGACGAGCAAACACTTAACCACTAGGCTACCTTTTGAGTGAGTGAGTGGTGTTCACAATTAAAGGGAACATATTTAGCTAAACCATGTGATTATAGTCTGTGACTTTAGCTACTTGTCTCAAGTCTGAGTCAAATACATGTATAATGTACTGTTGTCCAGTCAGCTCGGCTAAACATAGACCATATATTAAGGAAAAATACTGGAAATGTACCCAAATTATCACTGGTTATTTTGTAGACTGAAAGGTTTTTGTCTTAGATTGGATGTGAGGAGAGGTGAGATGGGGTTTAATGTCATATTTAAGATTAGTCCTGGCCCACTGAGATTCCATGCTGCAGTTTTACATGGATACCCCACTCACACAGAGTCTACAGACTCTGAGCCGCCCAGTCCTTGTTGTGTCCCCTAATGCCAAGCACCAGGCAAGGCAACAACAAGTACCATCTTTCAACGACTGACGTGGACGGAGATCGACTACCAACCTACCACTTCTCGGGCAGAGGGTCTAGCTGTTACACTATGGAGGCGGTCTACCGCAGATTGGATGTAGATGTTTAGAATTAAAATAAGATCTAACACAATAATATCATTACATGATATCTTTGATCAACATTGTATCCTGTATGACATTGTGTATGACTTAACGAAATGTTAATATTTCCCTCATTCCAATTGGTCTTACAAGTGTCAATGAAAGTTAAACAACCTTTTGCCCCAACTTTTTATGAAGATTCAACACTCCACATAGATAGCCAGCTCTTCCCACAAACAGTTCATCTGAGCCACAGGATAGGAAATTAAGCTTCTGCACTTCCTTTGCATAAGATGCATATTTTGTCGCATATTCGCCACAGAGTTTTTCATTGCCCATTGACTTTGCAATGAGGCTGCCAACGGCATAGACGCCACTTGTGCCCAGAATAAACGAGGTGCCAGAATCTCTGTTGCTTTTTCCAATGGCATACTTCAAAGACACTCCAAAATATTCAAACGCCTGTTCTAACAGATGTTTCCTCTTGCCATCAAATGCTGCACATGATGCTAGATACCAAAACATATATGCCACTCCGGCATTTCCTACATAGAGGCCACCATCACAGTTATCCAAGTTTGGTGCCATCTTTTCTGAGATTGTCTTTGCATGCGATTCTGACATTTCTTTCCATTTTGACGTAGTTAACACAACTTCAGAGCCTTCCTTAAAGTCTTTTAACCTATTCACGAAATATCTGGCTCGGGACATTCTGTCTGCCTATCACTTCGCGGCCGATAGGCTATAATACCAGTGCTTTGTTCATCGATTTCAGTATGACAGGTGCTTTAATGTGGTTACATCCAAAAGTTGGATCGTAAAGCGAAATTGTCGATATGGACTTCGATTGAAATGTGCCAAGCAGATGGTTGTTGTGGGGAAGGTTATAAAGCTATATATTAATAACCATCCCTGGTTGTTGTGTATTCTTATGTTGCCACCTCTAGAAGCTCCAATACACTGTTCCATGAACTATCCACCTTCTTTTTTTCAGTTTGTTTTCAATAATGTATCAGTCTCTTGTTTGAGTGACTCTAGTATTCATTAATATATATATCCACTCGCAATATTTAATCTACTCGAGTGGGTGTATGGCAGCTGCTATATGACCACATTGAAGGATATGCACTCTGTCATTGCCTGGTTGCCTTTGTGTGTCATCGTACCCCAACGTCGGCCGATGCTGCTCCCACTGCACATTGCAGTCTTGCAGTTTTGGACGGCGTCGCTTGTATTATACACACTATTGAGACACCGATTGGTTTATATACACACTATTGAGACACCGATTGGTTTATATACATACTATTGAGATACCGATTGGTTTATATACACACTATTGAGATAACGATTGGTTTATATACACACTATTGGGACACCGATTGGTTGGATATATACCCGCTATTGGGACACCGAGGTTGGATATGTATCCGCTATTGGGACACTGATTGATTGGATATATACCCACTATTTGGACACCCATTGGTTTATATACACACTACTGGGACACTTATTGGTTTGTAGGCACAATATTAGGACACCGATTTGTTGGATATATACCCACTATTTGGACACCGATTCGTTGTATATATATCCACTATTGGGACACCGAATGGTTGCATATATATACACTATATAGAAACACTGGTTAGTTGCATTTTTACCCACTATTGAGCGAGTGTGTGAGTTGGGTTTAACGCCGCTTTTAACAATGTTCCAGTTATATCACGGCGTGTCAGCTTAATGTGGGAGGAAAGCCCGAGGTGATGCAAGTCTCAGACGTTTACCACTTCGGTGAAACCCATGAGCAAGGGTATGGTGCTGACAAACCTAGAAACATAATCAGGGCGAACCGGGATTCGAACCCACAATCATAGGTTTCTGGCGTGCCCAAGGGACGCAACTCTGCACAGCGAATCGCAGCGCCTTAGACGACTGGGCCACCCGTGCCCCCACACACTATTGAGACACCGATTGGTTTGATATATACCCAGTATTGGGACACCGATTGGTTGGATCTATACACAATATTGGGACACTGATTGGTTGGATATACACCCAAAGTACCCCTGAAAAACCTTCCCAGTTCCACATGTGTTTGCAAAGTGTTTTCAGCCATAATACAGACTACGTATCCAGTGTTGGATGCAGTGATTAATGACAGACACATGAATAGGAAGACCATTTCCTATGTAGTTAAAACGACACTGATAAGTTATCAAGCTGTTGGTATATACGGAAAGTAGATATCTATATAGTGTTATCCTTGTGCGCAAACATGGCAGAGCTGATAACGAATCACTAACAGCAATTATTTTGGAGGGAGGAAAATTTAAATACGAACTGTTGTTTTATAGCAATAACGTAATCAATATTTCTATTAATTTAGATAAATTACTTGTAGATCTACTCCCTACAGAGCAAAAGGTGAATGAAAATATGAAGTATTCTTTTGCATATTTTTTTACGTTTTACTTTAGTTTGATAGATGAAATGTGCTATAATCTGTTTTTCTTCGAAACACGAAACAAGTTGTATTGCATGTTTAACATGAACAGAATCATTTTTCGTTATTGAATCCCCTCATTCGACTTTTATTTCTGTCACCGGAAGTGGCATGTTAGAGCAGACAGCAATGGCTTCGATTGTGTTGCGGGTCATGTCTCTGACTTTGGGACTCTTCTTTGTTTTTGTGGGCACGATTAAGCTCACACCGTCGGTTAATGGAGAAATATACAAAGAAATGGTACTTTTATATTTGTAGTAGAAATATATTTACTTGATTGCCTCCGTTAGTGGCAAGGCAAAGCCAGCTGAATACGACATATAAATGATCATTTGATTTGTGTTAGGCTAGTAACTTTGTGTAGCCAAGTGGTTCTATGTTTGTGCTTGTGAGTTCTTACAAGTAAAGTCTTATCGAATCTGCTTGAAGAAATTTGTTAGAATGAAAACATTTTTCAGTCGTTTGTGCGACCATGCAGCGAAATAATAGTAAATCTATGCCACTAATTGTTCCAAACAAACAACAATGATTAAGGTTATTCAGATAATCATTTAACACGCCATTGACTATGCTACGCTGAGCAAATGTTGAGATTCATTACTGAATTGCAGTTTACCTGATGCATTAGTTTCACCCTAACTGATTCTTTTAGAGCTGGTTCCTAGCAACCTATGATTGTTGTAAGGAGTGACCAAATGGATCAATCGGTGATTTGGTTGATCTTGTGTCGTGGTACCCTCAGGGTGTTGATTGTTGCTAACTATATCAATTAATAATTGTCTGATCTAGACTTGATTATTTACAGGCCGCTGTCACATAGCTGGAATATTACTGAGTGTGTTGTTAACTAAAACATAATGAAGTTAACTGTATGGTTAGGGTGCCTTATAGTGTAGATGAAGTGTTGAGTATTAATTATACAGATTATGACTACTGGCCACCAACCTGTTCTCACCATTTTCTATTTCTGAAATATTTGAAAATGAAAGATTACTGCACTAACTTTGTTTTTCAGCATTAGAAATTGGCACTAGTCCTATAGTCCTTGCCAAACTGCCCAAAAGTTAAGGTATCGTAAGGACTAGTAGAGATTTTCCATTTTTAAGTGTTTTGCTGTGTTCTCATTATAAGGACTAGTTGACTAAAACTATTTTTATCGTGAAACTGTGGAAGCTTACCAGTGCACTCATTTCGACTATGAAGACAGAAAGTACATTTTGGATGATGCCTACTGATGATCTAAACAAATCTTCTCCCATCATTAACCAAAGGCTTAATTGTCAGTTTCTTTCCTGATTCTACTATACATGTTTGATGCTCTTTAAAAGTCTGCTATCAGTTATAGTGTAATGAAAACTGCTTTATGTAATCATGACTTTATTGTGTTTCAGAGGAAAACATACATTCGAAACTCAAAAGTTTTTCCGCTTGTAAAACAAACTGGATGGAAACCAAATCCTCACACTTACCGGAAAGCTGTGGGAACAGCCGAGGTTGTATGTGGCATTCTTTTGGCATTTGTACCAGGTACGTACAGAGTCAATACCTTTTAGTGCACCTCCCATGTAGCAGTGACAATGCCGGAACATGTGACTGAGTAGTAAGGGATACATTGTTGAGAATAAATGATCAGAGCTCCAGATAACCTTTTGAGCAATTGAGTTTTTACTCTTGGGTTTCTATTTTAATTGTGTTATTACATTTTTCATTGGATAACCAATATTTTTTCACTCATCTCTTCATCACTCAGTTGGGGTTTTCCAAAAATTAGTGAACATTTTAAGATTGAAAAAAAATTGAAATAATGTTTTAGATGTACATAACTGTTCTAAATATATAGGCTTGACTTGGAAAGTAAATTAGCTCGTAATTGTGTTTCAGAAATTAGCTCATTTGTACGCATGCTGAAAATGCTTCATTGCGTATTTATGGTTGCTGTTTTTATACATTTGAGTTTTTCATTTAATGCATGTGTTTCTGTGCGCAAGTTAATTGAAAGTTATTGGGTTCTGAATATTTCTGGTAGGTATTTTACACAAATAGCTGCTTATCTGTAGCTCTGAATGATACAAAATCATATAACTGACAAGGTTTCAGGTCTTTCTGAGTTGATATGTTTGTGTGAGACTTCCTTAGAAATCCTGGCTACTGTTTTGTCATTTTTCAAGGATACTGAGAAAGAGAGCTTCAATGTATGGTATTTCTGTTCTCCTTCATGCTTGTCATTAATGAATTATTGAATGCCTAAAATATGGCTTTTTTTTCAAAACAGGCACATTTTTCTAAAATGAATTATTTATTGTGCAGAGTTGTGTCCTCAAGGTGTGCCAGAAAAATATGATTTTGGGTTTTATTCCTTATTATGTTTCTAGTTTTGTCAACACCATACCCATACACTTAGGTATCACCACGACGAATAGGTCTTCAGCTACCCATGCTTGTCGTAAAAGGCGACTATGCTTGTCGTATGAAGCAACTAACGGGGTCAGGTGGCCAGGCTCGCTGACTTGGTTGATGCATGTCATCATATCCTAGTTGTGTGGATCGATGCTCATAATATTTACATTCATTTACTTTACATTCATCTTTCTTCCATATCAAGCTGACATGCCATACTGTTCAAAGCAGTGTTAGACCAAACTCACTCACTCTATAAAATTGAGTTTTTTGTTAACCTTGATATAAATGAAATACTGGGCCACCTCTGTGGTCTAGTGGTAGAGCGTCTGCCTGAAGAGTGTGGAAGGTCCAGGGTTCGATCCTTGGTCACATCATACCAAGAGACGTTATCAGATGGTACTTGTTGTTACCCTGTCTGGTGCTCGGCATTTAAGGGCTAAAACAAGGACTGGTCGGCTCGGAGTCAGTATACTATGTCTGAGTGGGGTATTAATGTTAAACTGGGGCATGCACAACGGTAGTCCACTAGTCCTTATAATGATAACATATAGCAAACCCCTTAAAAATGGCAAATTTCTACTAGTCCTTAGGATACCTTTACTATTGGGCAGTTTGGCAAGGACTTTAGGACTAGTGCCAATTTCTAACACTGAAGTATCTCAGTGGACTAGCACTATAAAATCGGCATTAGTCCGGACTTGTACAAGCAGCCACACACACACGTGGATGCACATCGCTATATAACGCGTCATTAAACCCCATTTCACCTCCCCTCATTGAAATACTGTACAAAGTGGCGTTAACCACGCACTCATTCTTTTCAAACCAATAATTAAGCTTGTTTTATATATTTACCAATTTCCTACTTTTTTAATCATTAATTTCTTTCACATGGAAAACTTTGTTCAAAATAAATCTGTAAATTGTTTCAGGTATAGATTTAACAACAAATTTGTATGTAGCCAGCAGGGCTTGTTCATTTTAAGAATTACTGACCCTTCGCCTAACTAACTGGCGAATCTGTGGTCGCATAGCCACCTAGCAGGGCTCTCAAAATTTTAGAACTCGTCACCCCTTGAACATTCTACCTGCACTCTTAGATTAAATCTTGGCTTCTGTTTGCCTCATAACATTGTGATTTATGAGCAAATGAAGATGTTGTACACAATGTTACAAAATGGGGGCTGGTTGTCATTCTACCGTGATGACCACTTAAAAAAATTAAGCATCCACAGAGAAGGGATGAAATTTTCACTATCGAGACTGTTGTGTTTCAGCAAGCCCTTTGTAATTTTAACTGGACACAGGCCAACGGACCAGCAGTTAAATCAACCCTGCTGTTTTGACTACACATTACCTTTTGTTGTCCTCACGCCGCTGGAATATTGCTAAAAGCGGCGTAAAACCATACTCACTCACTCACTTTTGTTGTTGACAGGTGCACTGAAGGAAGCAAGCAATGTTGTGCTCTTAACAATCACAGTCAACGACATCTATGCCCACTTTGCTCTTGATGAAGGATTGGAGAAAATGAGCCCAGCTATCGTGTTTGCGCTACTATTGACCTGTCGACTTATCATCTTCCTGCAATCTTTGACAGCAGAGCCCAAATCTGTGTTTTCCAAGAAAGTACGCCCTGAACAACCTGTAGCTCCACCAGAAGAAAAGAAAGACCAGTGAAGGAATTATTTAGCCAGTTTTTGTTTGATCTCAAGGTGACATGTTTAAAATCACCAAAACATCTAAGTAATGCTACTTTTTTTTATATATCCAGGACTCCAATAATCAATAACATCTTTGAAAGTATTGATCTGTATGTAAATTGATATAAACCTGATAAAAGACTTTTACTGTAGGAGTTTCATATTACATTTTGTATATTTGTAGTCCTGAGGTCCTTTTGCAACCAGGCCAGAAAATACACTATTTCATTTTCCAAATATATCTTTGGTGATCTGAATGTGGAAAGTATCCTCCTATACAAGAACTTGAATGTATAAGAGCTGTAAAACTAACTCTGTTTTCAGAGACTACTGCCAACTTAGTGAAAAGGGGAGTATATATATATACGGTATAAACGTTGTTTCAGTCTGAATGTTTGACTCATTGATATGTTTGGTAATTCAACATGCAACAATGATCTGTAATCATTGAAAAATAGTCTGTAAGAATTAGGATTGAAATCCTAGAGCGAGAGAGGTTAGATTTGTAGCTCCATATTGTGTACTTCTCAATTATATGATTATGATAAGTCTGCTAAATGATACAGTGGATAAGTATCCCGATCAGCATTTGTTATTACATGAAAAACAATTTATTTTTCTTAGCACTCATCCCAAACATTATTACATTTTGGCAAAATTTTAGTTGCAAAGTTTTCATTCATCCTTGAATACCTGAAACAATTACCTTACCCTACCTTTGGGCAATTGGTGGAGTGCCTAACACTTTCAAGGAATTATAAAATCATATGATGAAATATTTTGGTTGAATATATGTCAATTTTTTTTATCATTTTGAATCCTGTCTTTGGTTTATCTTTTTAAGAAAAGACTTAAGTTAAATATTGCAACAAGGTTATGCTCAGGAATTGGGACAAATTTTGTTTAAATGCCTGCAAATTGACTAGTATTTGCCTACAGCATTATGACAGTGTCCAATTTCTTGCTAGTAGTTGTCTGGAGCTACCTCAGATCTGATGTGAAAAGGAATTACTGATAAAGTGAAAGAATAAACACAATTCTATTTGTTTTGTATGTCAAACATTTTTTGATAATTTGGGCTGTTGAAAAACAAAACAAATCAACTTATCAGCTTCATTTTGTCAATTTTGTCAGTCTGCGACTTTAGCCACTAAAGTAATTTTTTGTTGGGTCTTTTAACCTAAGCTGGTAATAGTCACTCTGAAATCTACTCAAAATGATGCCAAGAGACAATATTGGTCTGGTAGATTTAAAGGTTTTTGCACAGCCTGTTTTGTACATTAGTTTGGAGTCATGCTGTTTTCATGAAATCTTCAAAGATATTTTGTTATGAAGGCTGGACCAAACTACATTGGCTAAAATCATGACTTTCTTTCAGTGTTATGTTTTATTTCTAATATTCTACATTGTTTTCTGTTTTGTTTGATCTCACTGGAAATTAAGTTCTCCACCAATTTGTTAGAATATGTTTTACTTCAAGTTGAAAGTAAAACCTGTTTGCTTAAAAAAGAGACTTTTTCTTGTCTACCATGCTTTTAATTAACCATTTTTTCACACTTTATTACTGAAAAATCCGAAGATGGTGCATGCCACCTTGCATTTTGTAGATACAATGATGCTTTCTTATCCATGAAATACCTTTTTCCTACCGTTCATGAGAATTATTTTTGCAAATGGTTCCTCAATGAAATCCTTCTAGCATGTAAATTGCAGTTATTGCTTTCCTTCAATGCCAGGGTTTGTACAGTCTTGACAAGGCCTTGACTTTTAGTGTTAACCTTGAAGAGCCTTGAAAATCACCAACATAGCTTGAAAAGCCGTGCATTTGTACAAAATGACAGTTTTGTTAATAAAAGTATTAAAGCACACAAAAATGTGAACCAAGTTTATGTGAGATTTATCAGTGATAGATTTGTGTGCAAAGACAATGAAGAATTCATGACAAACTTAATTTAATCTTTTATTGGGTGTGAAAATAAATCTTTTTGGAAAATGTCTGATTGTCATACTGCTTTTGAAAGTATGATATAATATTATAGTATTTAATACAATATTTACTGACTGAGGTTAATAACCCAACTAAAAAGCCTTGAAAATGACAGTTGACAGCCTTGAATGTTTATTTTCCATCTCTGTATGAACCTTAAATGTATATTAAGCACAATGTAAGACACAACACCAAAACCTTTGTATATGTTGCTGTTTGTAAGTTATTGATACAAGACAGCCATTAAATGGTTCATAATTACTGCAACGTTTTGTTCACAAGCCTTCAACTGTATTGATGAAAGATGATGCAAATGTCAACCTCAGTTGTCAGGGATGCATTCAAGACAAAGCAGTGCGGGGTAGTTTTGTGGTTAGGTGTGCATCCAATCATGAAACAGAATGTGGTGTATACGTTTAGGTTTTTAAATTTATTAAATTCCACTTGCATCATTTTCCACCTCAGATATTTATTTACCATATTTGACGTAATAAGCGCCCCGCTCTAATAAACGCCCATGGCGATATTTGCAAAACAATTGGCTAATGAACAATCTCAATTAGCATTTCTTTCGATTGATCAATGTATCACAATGATCACAATTGATCAATGTAATACGTGTGTTATATGCACCCTTAAATATGGGACATTAAATTCTGGAAAAAATATATCTGTCGTATATAAAAATTTCAGGCTGTAAACATAAACCACAAAATTTACGATCTTTCAACTCTGTTGTTTTTCAACAAAATAATATTCTAATAAGAGACCCCTATTTCTAATTTTGAGAGCGCCCTGGGCGCTTATTATGTCGAATACGGTACCTTAGATTTGTGTACACAGCAAGGGCAGGTAACTCATGCTTACGTGCCCTCTTTTGGCACTGTAATAGATTATGACTTCAGATTCATAATAGCACCATGTATGTGCAGATGGCTTGTAGTAAATATGTTTTGTCAAGATTTATGATTCTTTAGGGATGACAAAACAGTTTATAAGCATATTGATAATATTGTTAGTTACATTGCCATGCATTGATCTGATAATGACAATATAGCATGTTGCATTGAATGTTTGAATCTTGACATGGATTTTTTATCACAGTGAGGATGTTTTTTCTGATTGGAGGTGAATAACTAACGATGTCCTTGAATGCATCCTTGGTGTACATTCCAGATACAAGCATGTGCATGCTTTGCTTTGTAAATTGTAGATGTGATCAGGGTGATCATGCCCATTGCCACACAAAAGACACATAGCACCAGATTTTCTTATAAGCACTTCATCTGACAGGACACTGCAAGCCATCACAAGTCAGAGCCTGCTAAATGCAGCTTGTTTACTGACTGCTACAACATGTTTTAAGGATGTCTATCATGCAGCTGTAGTTTCTTGTATTGGAGAGCACAACGCACTTTATGTCTGTCTGTCGCTGACATGAAAAATTGCAGCTGAAAATCTTAGAGTAGGAGTCATCCTTTAAAGTGCAGTGTTTTTCAAACCATAAGTAAATCAAGTTTTGATTTTGTCGTTTGTTAACACGTATGCCCAGCAGTAGAATGCATACTGGCCACGTTCAGTTCCATTTGCCATTATGGATTGCCATGACATGGGTTCTGTTCCGGTAGGCACCCCAACCAACCTCTAGACCAATCTGTAAGTAAACTTTATAAGCGTCACCGCACAATTCCGAAAATGCACATGACAGCCACATTTAATTGTGTATTTTCCACATCATGTTACCAAAAAAAGCACAGTCAATTTTTTAAGCGTTCAGGGCACTTATTGCGGTGAATACGAGAATACAGACCCATTGGACATCCTCAAAAAGGTGGATACAGCAGTTGCAATAGGACAAAATAGATACAGTATAATTGTGACATATTGTGATGCACATAAGTGAATGCTTGGTTAAAATAGTTCTATTACATTACAGCAGTCCTGGGCATGTTTCCAATACAACGTATTGCTAGTATCATGATACAGCCCTGTTAGCAATGGCTATTGAAGTTATCCTACTGCAGTCAGCATGATCAAACAGCATTATGATGTGGTTTGTGTCCACATCTGACTAAGATATCTATTAATATTTTATGATTTTCATGGACATTTATTGAGATGAGACATTTTGTCAGACATTGCCTTGTATAGTGTATATTGAAAATTGCACTCTTTGATATATCATTGTGGTATTAGATTTTGTGAATTTTATTTACTCTGCACATGGCATTACATTGTGTAGTGTTGCCTGTGTCCATCTCTTCACATCTTCACAAGGCAAGAGAGTTAACTGACTTTAAAAGTCCAGTTTCCACCCTTGCCGAACTAGGCTGGAATTCCTTGGCTCAATTGTAGCGCCACCAGTGGCTATTACCAGCTATGTCCCTTCTAAGCCTTTCCTATGGACGAATCATATTCCACCTCTCATATCACTTGCATTTGCTTCAAACAAAATTGTGGTGCCCGGTCAGGACGTTCTGATCGATAATCAAGATCTATTTTGTGATAAAACAGGTCTTACATCACGAAATGCATCAGATCACGTGAGCACCTTGATTAAAAACATGAAAACATTTGGAAAATATCTGCTGACAAGTTGGCGGTGCACATGCTTTGCAAATCCTGCAATCGACCGAAATCTGCACGACAGTTTACGAACCGGAATTTTGATTGGACTATGCATAGACTCGTTAGTCCAGCCAAAATGTAACTCCATAATACCAGCCTAGTTCGGCAAGGGTGGAAACTGAACTTTGATAGTCGGTTAACTCTCTAGCCTCAGGAAGATGATCTCTTCAGTGCATAAGTTCTAAATCTACAGCTGATAAAAAGGCAAGAATAGCAGAGATGTTTGTTTTTGGAATGTCAGTTAATGTTTGGGAATGCTCAAGTACATGTAGTCAGGTGCTGGTAAAAATGGCCCAAATTATTTAGTCTTTGCCACTTTTTTGACTGTTTAATAAAAGAATATGTGAGAAGTTATACATGACAAGGTTACACTGTTCTGATGTCAAGGCTTTTGATAACCTTGATTAAAAAAGACCATGTATGCATGTGAAAACATTTACCAGTATTTATATTTTTGTTTTTTGAATTGTCTCAAGTCTATACAACTTATGTGAGTATTTTGTTGCTTATGTTGTAGTGTCTCTCTTCAATACTCCTAGTTTGTGCAATACTGCATGTGTATACCTTTACATTTATACTTGTATGACAACTGTATTAAGTCTATTTGCTCAATGTTATGTATTTACAACTGTTTGTAAAACAAGATCTGTTAATGACTGACAGTGTTACATTGTCCTTGGTGACATGTCTGTTACAATAACAGATCTTCCGTATCATGCAATCACATTAAAATCAGATCTGTTACTATGATACGACTCCTTCATAGGTCACATCAGGTGCAAACCTTGACCGCCATATTTGGATGGAGGATGCATGGGTTCTTGACCCAATCATATGTCAGCTTTCTAAAACAATTTGTTATATTTCTCTACAACCTCATTTTGGAAATTTTGATTTTAACTAAGAAAAACCCACAAAATATGTTTTCCTGAGTATTCAATTTTGAGGTCTGTCTGCTATCAGGATAACCTAGTTGCAAGGCAACGGGGTGAGTCAAGTACTTGTGATATCGCCCCTTGTTTGAATCATGAAAAAACAGTGTATTTTGATTTGATGGCTAATATGAGCATTGTGTCATTTGGAGTGGACTCAGGACAGGGGTAGCCTTGTGGATAAAGCGTTCGCTTGTCACGCCGAAGGCCTGGGTTCGATGCCCCCATGGATACAATGTGTGAAGCCCACTTCTGTGTCCCCTGCTGTGATATTGCTTTAGTATTGCTAAAAGTGGTGTAAAGCTCACTCACTGGAGCGGACACAAAACGAAAACATGGTTGCAGATGTGTCCAGGGTATTTTTCATAATAGAATAGAATAGAATACTCTGGATAATCGAGGCTAACTACTAATATGCCCTTCGCCAAATGCAATGTAAAAGTAGAATGTTTTGCTCCTATTTACCTTTGTGTCATTATGTAGGCACTGTTACTTTAGCATTTACTCTATGATGTCATGTTAGCTGTTGAGATGTTACCTGTCTATGTTCGTCTTGTGTAATTGCATTATATTAAACCAAAGATTAGTTTAGTTGTTCGTGACCTTTGGTTGTATTATTTTGGGCAGATATTCATTTTGAAAACAAACTTTCATAGTATGGTTATTTCAATGAAGCATAGTGCTGGTTCCTGCTGTCATCATAGTTGAATAGCCCTGTTGGGAAAAAGGGCCTGTGGGGCAGCCTAGTGGTTAAGGCGTTCGCTCGTCATGCTGAAGGCCCTGGTTTGATTCCCCACATGGGTACAATGTGTGAAGCCCATTTTCTGGTGTCCCCTGCCATGATATTGCTGGAATATTGCTAAAAGTGGCGTAAAACCAAAATCAATCACTCAGTCACTGTGTGTTTCAGCGTTTCTGCCATATATTGTCACATTGTAAAGGCATTTAGTGATTTTGAGGAATATAGATTTCTACATTTCTGTATTGTTTTGGACTCCTCCAAGAGGAATTCTTTGACTCAGCAAAAAGGAAAATGTGACCTACTGCTCTTCATACTATGTATGTTTATCACAAGTCGTGTTTTGTCAACACTGGGCCTCATGGCCAATTTCAAACTATATTTTAGGAACACTTTGATATATATTTAATGCTTTTCAGTGTTTGAATAGAAGCATGATTGATTGTTCAGGATCAGTAATCTCTCAAATCTTCTATCATCTTTACCTAATAATGTATTTACAATTTATTGTATTCAATGTATTAGACAGTTTCCAAGGTTATAGGCTCATCAAAGACCACTTATTCAGCTTTTTAATTAGGTTAATCTTCTAAATACATCATCTTGATGAAAATATATTGAAAACTACAGATTGTTAAAGAACACATGAATGTTTTCAAGAAATGTAGGCCAACTTTTGGAGCATGGTGCCTAACAGGTCAAATATATACATTATTAATGACCAGACTTGCAAATTATTATAGCCACTTCTGATGCTCAAATCAAAAAGCTCATATAACCCAGTCAACCAGGACACTGCATGGAGACAAAGTTAAAGAACACCCACAGTTGGAAGGCCCAGTCATCTAAGGTGCCGTGATTCGCTGTGCAGAGTTGCGTCCCTTAGGCACGCCAGAAACCTATGATTGTGGGTTCGAATCCCGGTTAACCCCGATTATGTTTCTAGGTTTGTCAGCACCATACCCGTGCTCGTGGGTTTCACAGAAGTGGTAAACGTTTGAGATCTGCATCACTTTGGGCTTTCCTCCCACATTAAGCTGGCACACCGCGATATAACTGGAAAACTGTTAAAAGCCGCGTTAAACCAAACTCACTCACTCACTGGAAGGCTGTGTGTTGCCATACCCACCAGCCATGACTGATTAACGAAGGTCATAGGGAAAACCTATGCAGTGCTTTCACTGTTGGCTGATGATCTTTGCTAGGACATGTGTGATGGAAAGTTCATCTGAATCTATTGTGACCCTTTATTTGGAATTGAAAAAATGATTGATATTGTATATGTATTGTATGTTGCTATACATTAACTGCACTTTTTCTCAAATGTCTTTTGCAATGTATTTGTTTGCATGTTATCTCTCAACATCATGGAAACCATTCATCCACTTGGACTCATCCAACACTTGTGATACTTCCCAGCATGTGTACATTGCCATCCATACATCACCTTATTTATTGGATCATGTCGAGACTTGATCAGGATTGTAACGGATGACATGGCTGCCAGGTACGACTGTAACACTGAAATCCGATGTTATGTACTCACACCACATGATGTAATATGTCTGAACTGTTTTAAGATAGTCTTGATTTTACATCCTTTGTGAGAAATGTAAACACTATTCAATCTTAATTTATCTAAACACACCTCTTTACTTTCAATTCTTTTCCAATGTGACTATTTTCATGACAGGAGAATCCTATTTCTTTCAAGCATGTCTTTATTCTGATAATTCACCACAATGACTGAGCACTCATTTACAATCATGTTTACAAGTGGGACATTTTCTGGAATTAATGCTAATAATTTTCATTATTTATGTTTCTACTCCGGACCTCTAACTGCAACTGATTACCCTGAATTTGTGGGAAAACAGCAAATATATTAATGTATGCTTGAAAATGGAAGACATCAATTACTTCAGCAGACCTGAATTAAATTGTTTCACTGCCTAGGAGCAGAATTGTGTTCAGCATTCCAGGGTTCTATGTTGTATCATACAGCAAGTCAGTACAAGTGTATTGATTCTCTGCGAAGTGGTAGAGGGTTGACAGAACTGACAATTTCGAAAGCAGGGTTTGCACGGGCTTGATAGGTCCCATTTCAACTAAATTACCTTATACATGTTATCAGAGATGTAAACCTTTTCATAATCTGAAAGAAGAACTTGTTGAAATTGTTCTCTAACTTTGAAGAAACAATTTGTGTACAATCTACCAATAGTCAGTAATCTCAGAAGTATGTCCATTCCAGTGATGGCTGCTTAAATTTCAGAGTTGAATATGTCTGAATCTGTGACAAACTGAACCAAAAGTTCCGAAGCATACCACATTTTTACATGCACATAATGGGAGTGGTGTCTTTTAGGTCAAGCGTGATGCGATTTTAGAAAAAAAATCTTTGAATGTCAGGGAGGGAGTCTTGAAAAAAACCTTGTTTCATTGCTCATATTCTGAACGCAGCCTGATAAAGGGAATCTTAGTGATACAATTGCATTACATAACAAATGTCTTGTAGGTCTGAGGGAGTTTAGACAGTCGTAGCGTTATGATCGCCATGGCTTGCCAAGCATTTACATGGTTCAGATACTAACAGTTATCATTTAGGAAGCATCTGTTTGATTTGATATTTACTATTTACAAAACACCCACAATTGGAAGTCTGTGTGCTGCATCAGCCATGACAGATTAACTACAGTCATATGAAAAAATCAGGTGTTCTTTACTTCTTTTGAGTAGTATATTATTTAGTGCTGATGTAAAACATATGTCACATTTATTATGAATTGCTCCAAAGTTCTTGATACTGATGGATCAATTTAAGCATTTGTTGCTCACGTTTGTGTTGTGAAGTATTGAATGAATGTTATCGAAAGTCATTGCTTTGTTGTAGGTTGTGTTTTTTGCTATGTAACTTTCCATCCTCATTTGTACTGCTGTGTAGGCTCAATGTGATTAGGGCTGGGACGGGTGACTCGGGGGCTCAGGTCGGGTGGGTCCTGAGTATGACCCGGGTACTCACAGGACTACCCGGACCCGTGGTTAGACATGTTGGTTGGTTTGTTGTTTAACCCCGCATTCAGCAATATTCCAGCTATAGGCGGTCTGTAAATAATCAAGTCTGGACCAGACAATCCAGTGATTGATATCATGAGCATCGATCCACGCAATTGGGATCGATAATGTGCATCAACCAAGTCAGTATGCCTGACCACCTGATCCTGTTAATCGCCCCTTACGACAAGCATAGTCGCCTTTTACGGCAATCATGGGTTGCTGAAGACCTGTTCTACCCTGGATCTTCACAGGTCTGTTAGTCATGTGATATATTGTTTAATGATGATACAGTATAACTCCTGTTACACAACGAGTCACTATATGTTCGCATTTCTTGCTGACAATGGATGCATTCCATCTGAGTTATATTTGTTTAAGAAAAGAAAAAGCTTCTGTCAACTTCAGTGTATGCATGATCAGATCATTTTGTGCATGTATCTAAGCAGCTTTTGACAGGACTTGGGTAAATCTTAACACCAACAGCAAGTCCTCAGGTAGGGTCGAGTAATAGGGGATGGGTACCCGGGTAGTAAGTTTGGACTCGTCCCAGCCCTAAATGTGATTTTTTCGAGTGTAACGACACATGATCTGAACATCATCCTTCCAGTCACTCTTCATCCTGCCATCATACATCTTTTATAAGTGTGTATCTGATGTGTCTTTTCAATAAAACCTATAAATGGCATATAAAGTGTTGTCTTTGATTTAGAGATGATTATAAAATCAGTGTGAGTGTCTGCTGTAATCTGATTGGTAAAAAAATGTTAAATGGGATTGGAAATCTTTTGTACTTTTCACTGCTTATGGATACATTTCTTGTTGTGCATCTTTTTTTTCTCAATCCAAAATTTAAAACCCCCGTACCTTTCAGCTTGGCAAATTGGATACCACACTACAAATGTTAAGTTTGATTAATATTAATCAAACAACTTTGATTGCGTTGCTTTTGTCCACGTTCTGCAAAACAGGTTGGGTCAGTTATCATGGAAGCATATGACATCATCAATATGTCATGACGTCATGACATTCCAGTTTGACGTCTAGTCATGCCAGTGTAACGTCACATCGGTCTAACAACTCTGAGAATTCACATAAAGAGAGAGTGCCTCAGAAAAGGACTGACAACTTTTGTATTTTACAATGTTGATGAACATTGGGTTTTCAGATTTGGGGGTCTTATTGAGCATGCTAACGCTGTCAGTTCCAAATACAAATTTCGGGCATCATATACCTAATAACACCTATTAATCTGAAAACTCATACTGTATTTGTCATAATAAGCACCCTGCATGCTCAGAAAATTGATAGAGGGGGCACTATTAAAACCATACTCAAGTTAAAATTGTTTTCAAAGATCTGGTGGACAAACTTAGTTCAATTGACGATGAAACTAAACCTTTAATAATAGTTACTGGGCAAAAATATGCCTTCTGTGGTGCTGTTTCTGTATCAGAAATTCTGTAATAGACACAAGAAAATATAGACTGTCTTGCACATTGTCAGTCTCATTAGGGGGCACTGATAAAGATAACTTTCAGATTGGTTCAGAAGTTGTTCAGATAAGATTTTTTGTTTTTTGTTCACTGATTTATAGATTTTCTCCCCCCAAATGACATGTACCTGTATTTGGACTTTGTCATTTTAAACTGTGATAATGGGACTTGTTCCTTGAAACTGGCTTGACAACATGTTTATTCTCCCTTATTATGTTTCAATGCAAGTTTCTAGAATAACATATTTTTTTTCTTTTATTCTGAAAAAATATTTTTTAAAAATGGCTTTGATTTTAATTTCGTCTTACCATTTTCTCAGTCTTTGGGGTCGGCAGATCAATAGGCCAATTAAAAAAAGAAGAAGTCTAATGTTCATCTCCCAAGTGGAAATGATTTTTGACCTGCATCGCATTGGGCTTCCTCCATAACCTCACACTGAAACTCAGCTCTCACTATCGACAAAAACAGCAAACATATGATTTGAAAGTTAAAATGATTGTTATGCTTTAAAATAGTACTTGTACATTGAAACTACCGTTGCAGCACTTGAAGGAGTGTTGTTAATGCTGCTGTAGACAATATTCAAACTATGACACTTCATCGAAAATCATGAAGTCAAAATAATAAGTATTTCGGAAAGTCCTCTGCCCGTATCCCACCTACAAAAGTTATATATGCATGCATTGCTGTTCAATCCCTTTAATTATATATATATTTGTTAGGGGGAATACGGGCGGAACGTTTACCACGATTTGGTACAATATATGATTCCAGATGAAGAAGCTGTATTTTGTCAAAGTGAACCAACAAATGCTTGCCAAATTTTGAACATACCATCACACCATTAAGGGTACTTAACGTTATCAAAATTCCATTATCATCATCCCTGACGTGTGTATTTATTTCGTAGGAACGGTTTGATTTTCTTTGCTAAACCATACTGTTAATTTCTCCATTTCCACCTCACACCGATTCAATATTGCAAAAAGCGTCGTAAAATCCTTAAGGATGTAGGATTATCTCCCTTGTGTTTACTGCGCATGTTCGTAGGCCAGGAAGTGGTGTTTGTTGAAATTGACAACCAAGTTCACATCAGCAAACGGTTGAGCATCGTTCACATTTAGGATGTTTTGAATATGTATGGGCTTCACTGATAACGGATTAACGAAGATAATACACATATGTGTAGGCACAGGGGGTCGATAACATAATACTAAGAACGCAAGGAGCACCTGTGTTGAACGTGTGTTCACTGTTTACATTCCTGATTCCATCATCAAATCAGCCGAAAGTAGACACACAAATACCAAAATGCTTAAACAGAAAGAGGTTATACATCTGCTAGACATATCAAACCTTCCAGGTAAGATAACTGACATATATGATTCGAATGTACTAACACACTTTAACTTGGCCTATGTATTTTTACATTAAATCAATTGAATGATTTTACTGCGCTTCGTTTCTTGTCACACTCAAATTTGAAAATCAAATTGTTAATCTATGTTGTTATAAAAAAGTCGTCATTGTGCTTTGTATTACTACCAAGGGAAGGCACTACTAAGAACAAGTTTATAATCCATGTCATTGCACAAACCAACTGTAAATGACAGCCGTATGATAAATATAATTCATTTGTTTTGTTGCATCTTGTTACCTATATAAAAATTAAGTTTGCATATGTGACCCAATTATCAGTGTCAAATGGAACAGCCGATTTTGTCATAACAGCCCATTTGTCTGGTCAAAAAGGACCACTGATAGTCTAAACGGATCAGTGAAATATCAGATCGAAAACAACAAGTTTTTACTTATATAAATACTCATTCATTTTGTTTTCATTTTATATGCATTATCCCTTTTACTTCATATATACACGCACACATACATGAAAAGACAAATCAGTTATTGCGTATCACCCACATACTTTGTTTCAAAGCTAGTTTTTAATGTTCCTATTCATTGTACATGTACATTGTTAACGGCATTATTCCACAACTACTGCGGTCACCGTCAACTTGGACCGTGTCTTCTGTGTCTCATCTGCCCCACAACTACAAGCTCTATCTGGATGACCGTCAACTCCTCAATAAGCAGTCAAATCAAACCAATTTTTAGTTGAAGCAACTGAGTGTGTAGGCAATTAAATATATCCACGAGCGAATTCATAATGAACACTGCATGATAGGTGCTTGCAATTAATTAATTTTGATAATCGTATCACCAGATATTTTGACTTTACTTTAATTGCGTATTCTAAGTATTTTTCATGATGCAGAATATTACAAATTACAATTGCGATATTTGACTGACAAAATTTCTGGGGTGTCATTAACATGATTAAACGAGTAGTAAGTCATTTATTTTAGCAAGTGTATCATCTTGCATCAATACAGAAAAAAACCTATCATGTATTGTATAGTTGCATAAAAACTTGCGTACCGGTGCACCGATGTATAGTTTCAACCCTTTACTTTGTATTTAAATAAAGATATGGTCTTTATTTTCAATCTGATATTTTGCTGGTCTGACAAAATTGGTTGGTCTGTGTTGGCACTGGTCCTTCCAGACCGGCACCCAAATAGGAAACCAGGTCACATTATGGTGTAAATGTTGTGATGACATTCACATGGTGATAGAGCAGCCCCAAAAGTCAAGTCCTGTTGATGTTACTGAAGTTACAGTACTCTAAGTATATTGGCACACTTGTAAGTAATGTAGAAACCACAACTCATTATTTAACAACATCAATGAAGTAAGATCAGTATTTGAAATTGCGGAGGGGTGCATTTGCAAAAAATGGCCTTTCAAGTAGATATTTTCTTTCGTGGCATACGGGATTCTGAAATGTCAGGGTAGAAAATAAACTAGAATTTCTGTGTTTCTGGATCTGATGTCTATTTGAGACCAGGTGGTTTGATTTGGTTTTGACTTTTAACAGCCTGACATCTAGGTTCAGTGTGTATTTAATTAAGGAAATATGGCATTCATAGTCACTTTTTTAACAGGATCCCTAAAGAGCAGACAACTAGCAGCAGGGCCAAAGGATATACGAAAGGTAACTTATTGTGTTTTGTATTTTTTTCCCCTTTTTACGGTGCATGTACAGTTTAAACATTGTTCTAGAAACACGGCTTCATATGCGAAGGCAAAGGTTAAACAAAGCCTGTGTTGCAGGTAACATGGATCCAGCAGGTATAGATCGGTAGGTAGGGTTCTTTTTTGTTATTTTATTTTGTGTTTACAATGTTTGGACTGGTGGCTTTTTGACTACTGATGTTAGTTGCAATGTTTCTCGAAATACCATTTAAATAGCTACTGCAACAATAATATGCAGAAACATCCAATATGTTTTTCAAATGTAAAATATGGCTTTCTTGACAGCTGTTTCCTGTCAGATAAAAGAATTTGGGTCACAAGTGAAACATTTGTTTGGTCAGGTTACCTGAAACACAAGAATTTTTTTTTTTTATGGTCGAAAGCAAATTCTTAAATGTGCCATTTATGCATTGGCAATTTAGCAATATGGTGTTACCAGCACAAGTACTAACTAGAAGTAGAGAAGTAGATTCAATGGAATTCAATATATGCAAAAGGAACCCATCTGTTCATATCATATATCTCTATAAAGAATCTTGCAATTCCATTGGTTAATCCATAGCTCATGATGAAACAATACATTTCAATTAAGACCCCAAAATCATGTGACAATGACCTTGAATATTGACTCGTGACATGATTAGTTTCGACCTGTCACGTGATGAATATTGACTCGTCTTCGAGAAAACAAGATGGCGTCTGGTATGAACATTTCAAGGTCTGCAGCTAAGTTACTGTAATGAAACAGATGATGGTTTAATGGATTCATAAACTTTAAAGTGAATTTCAGTATAACAAAGCGATTGATAATTTTTGATGAGGTCAATATGCGAAAACAAAGACCCTTGGACCTGACACCTTCGGTGGTCTGACCGGACAGAGGCAGCCGGTCAAAGTCTGGTCTGACCACCTCAGGGGTCGGTTCCGACAGTCCTTTTTTTTTGCATATCTATCTCGTCAAAAGTAATTATTTGTATAATATAGATGTTTCAGGCCACAGTGAGGCAGGAACAATCCTGTATTAATGGGATCTTTTACAGCATCGGACACATCTATTATGCCTTGGTAGAGTGAAACATGATTATTTTCTTTCAGTCCATGATACAAGCTGGTGACAAACAAAGTGAGGATGTCAGGATAAGTGCCGCCATTGAGATACAGCGACGTGTTCGGGGATACAAAGTCAGGTATTACATGTTTTACTTTTAACTCACCTGGATTATAAGCATGAAAAGTCAAGGTGAGCTTCTTAGAACACACTGACTGATACAGCTGTTACTCCCATACGTGGATGCCAATGACATCAAAGTTTGTTCAAATGGTTATCCACTTTTTATTTAAAATTCCACCATGACCTTGAGGAATGCTCTTATCTTATTGGTCAGTCCAATGTTTCAAATCACAATAGCATTTCTCTAATTCAAGAAACTGCACCACAATGGTGGCCAATGTTTAAACTAAAGTACCTCTTTCATAATAGTGGTCAGACTGTGCCAGACACTTTTGGACCCGTGAATTCCGGGGTAGAATAGGTCTTCAGCAACCCATGCTTGCCGTAAGAGGCGACTATGCTTGTCGTAAGAGGCGACTAAGGGGATCGGGTGGTCAGGCTCGCTGACTTGGTTGATGCATATCATTGATCCCAATTGCGTGGATTGATGCTCATGATTATTAATCACTGGATTGTCTAGTCCAGATTCGATTTTTTACAGACCACTGTTATATAGCTGGAATATTGCTGAATGAGGCGTTAAACAACAAACAAAACAAAAAAAAGACACTTTTGTGTCTGCTAGTCTGAACTTGTCTCTGGTATCATATGCTGTAGACTTAAGTGTTGATATATGGAGCAAACAAAGGTTTGCCATGCACTGGCTAACGTTGCAGACTGCTGATGTCAAGTTGTGGTTCCTCAAATAATTATTTGAAAATGTATCACAATACATTTTGGGCAGTAGGATAAAACTCCCACATGGGGATTCCAGGTTAGAACTGGTCCCGAGCATCCTACACTGGTCATCAGGTGACTGAATGGATTGGTGAGTGCATGTCATCATATCCCGATGACGTGGATTGTTGCTCATGATATCAGTCACTGGATTGTCTTATCCAGGCTCAATTATTTACAGGCCCCTGTCTTTCCGATGAACACAAACAAACAAACAACAAACAAACATGGACCAGACAATCTAGTGATTGACATGGCTTGCTGAAGAACATGAAAAACCCAATTGACTAAACACAAACAAACATGAAAACCTAATTGACTAAACACAAACAAACAAACATGATAAACTTAATTGACATTCAGGGACACCAGAGAGCTTAAATGTGTCACTTCTCTATCACATGGTTGTGATGTAATATTTATTACATCACCATCCAATGTTGTGATGTCAAAAAGACACAAAATAGTTGTGTGTGGTTTGGAACCAATGAAACCAATTGCAATGTTTTGTGCTTTCTTTCTGTCTGTCCCCCCTGTGAAGATCCAGGGTAGAATAGGTCTTGAGCAACACATCATTGCCACAAAGGGTGACTATGCTTGTCGTATGAGGCAACTAACAGAATCAGGTGGTCAGGCTCACTGACCGGGTGATGCATGACATCATATCCCAATTGCATGGATTGACGCTCATGATGTCAATCACTGGATTGTCAGGTCCAGACTTGATAATTTACAGACTGCCACAATACAGCTGGAATATTGCTGTGTGTGGTGTTAAACAACTAACAAAGAAATAAAACTTTCTTTGTGTCCATATCATGTTTGCTTGTATAATAATTGTCCTACTTTTCACCATTATGATGGGGTGGTGGGGTAGCCTGGTAGTTAAAGTGTTCACTTGTCACGCTGAAGATTCAAGTTCTATTCCCCACATGGGTACAATGTGTGAAGCCCATTTCTGGTGTCCCCCGCCGTGATATTGCTGGAATATTGCTGAAAGCGACATAATAAACCATCCTCACTCACTCACTCACTCACTCACTCACTCACTCACTCACTCATTATGATATATCCCAGGTGTGCTGTGTATAATGCTGTTGAACCCAAGACCAGCAATACCGCCGTCTACAGCGACAGCAAACAGCACCTACAACGTCTGAAGGATGTTGAGAACCTGCTTGACTACATCACCGTTGATGATTACCTAGACGAGGTAGAGATGATGTCAACCCTTATATCAGTGGTCTCAAAAACCATTTGGAACCGTGTAACATTTTGTCAAATATCGTCATAGCTAATACAATGTAATATGTGACATTTATTTTGATTGGCTGACAATTTGTGGTTAATTATCTTTTTATTTATCCAATTAATTCTAGATATCATAAAGTCTAGAAGTTGGAAACTGAGAATGACAATCACACTGATCCATTGACTGGAGTAATAGTGTCATGCCATGAGCATTCACAGGATTTGCTGAATATACATGGACTTGATCCTTCATCTAGGAACCCTGTCGTTAAAAAAATAGATGAAGTTGTTATCCTATGAAAAGATTAATGTCTTCATGTAAATATGATACCGTGATAAATCTCTGGGCTGCTCAGATACCTGACATGAAACAACAGTATCACCCTGTTCATATCTGCCCCATCCTGTGAAGATCTGGGTTAGAATAGGTCTTCAGCAACCCATGTTTGTCATAAGAGGCGACTATGCTTGATGTCAGAGGAGACTATGCTTGTCGTAAGAGGCGACTAACAGGATCGGGTGGTCAGGCTCGCTGACTTGGTTGATGCATGTCATCGTATCCCAATTGCGTGGATTGATGCTCATGATGTCAATCACTGGATCACAGACTTGATTATTTACAGACCACCATCTGCATCATGTAGCTGGAATATAGCATACGATACATCAATATCTCGATATACAATGACATCCCAAGTCAAAGCGGCAAACCCAACTCCCTCTGTCCCTATTCATATGAATCAGTTCATGCCATGTTCCTCAGGAAGAGCCGCCCACTGAGGACAAGATGATGATAGCCTATGAAGAATATATGAGGAAACTGGAGTCGATTGGAGTGGCGTCTGAAGAGATACCCCAGTAAGTTCAACTGTCACAGATGTCTATATGTTTATTACCCATAAGGTTAGAAATAACTGTGTTTATAAAAGTTGTATATGCACTCGTGCAAATATCACTTCGCATGCATCAGTGTATTGTTTATGTCATCTGGACGGCATTGTTGTGACATAAGGTCGGAATGACGTCATAGCTGAACTGGATGGCATAGACAATTGTGGTCTTCTATACCCGCAGTCGTGATCAGTGCTTTTTGTCTAAAGGGGCTCTCAAAAGAATTAAGAAATAATGGGTAATAAAGAAATTATTATTCTCTATATGTATTACGCTGATTTTACGAAACTTGTGTAAGAATTCTTGTATTACTCCTCTCTCACTCGGGAAATACAAATATTCTGACACTCATAAAGTAAAATCAGTATGACACTCATGCTTGTATAATAATCTCTATTTATCAAGCATTATTTCATTACACGTTCTTTATGCTCATGTGAATTAACCTTTCACATGTTTAGAACATGTGTCTTTCAGATTTGGTATTCATAAACATTTTATATAATTGTGTTGGAGGTGGTTTTAACTCAAAGAGTTAATCTGTGTTATTCTGAATATGTGACATTGCAAGAAATGTGTTCAACTTGGAATATTAAACACAATCATGTGACTTGCAGAGTGTCAGATATTTATTGTTGTGCCCCTTGATAATGTAAGTGATAGGTTTTGAAATCCTAGATCCCTGCAAATGATGTAAGTGATGGGTTTGAATCCAAGATTCACCCCACTTATGACCCAGAAATTCATTCACAAATAAATTTTCCGTTTGTAATTGATTCACAAAACGTCGGAATTGCAGAAGTGAGTTTTCTCTCACTTTGTTATCTCCCCTGTATCCATGACTACAATGACTACAAGGTGTGATCAATTCTTGACATATCTGTTTTTTCAATTCTGTTCCAGGTTTGATGAGTTTTGCACAGTATTTCTTCAGATTTGGGAGAGCAAAAAACCTCAAGAGTCATCAAGAGCAACTAACTCACCATCACCACGACTGCAACAGCGACACTATCAACACCAACAGCGACAAGACATGTTCCCACAGCTGTCCCCACAGAAGAGCCTCGTTGTGGTCAAGAAGAAACGAGAAGGGCCAATACCAGAAACAGATGCTGTGATAATTATTCAGAGAGCTTGGAGAAGGCACATTGTAAGTTGAAGGCACATTGAAAGTTGACGGCACTTTGTAAGTTGACGGCACATTATAAGTTGACGGCACTTTGTAAGTTGACGGCACATTATAAGTTGACGGCACTTTGTAAGTTGATGGCACATTATAAGTTGAAGGCACGTTGTAAGTTGAAGGCACATTATAAGTTGAAGACACTTTGTTAGTTGACGGCACATTGTAAGTTGAAGGCACATTGTAAGTTGAAGGCACATTATAAGTTGAAGGCACATTGTAAGTTGAAGGCACATTGTAAGTTGATGGCACATTGTAAGTTGACGGCACATTGTAAGTTGATGGCACATTGTAAGTTGACGGCACATTGTAAGTTGAAGGCACATTGTAAGTTGATGGCACATTGTAAGTTGATGGCACATTGTAAGTTGATGGCACATTGCTCTGTCAACTGTCAAACAGTTGCACAAGATTGTCAGCTCTTTGTTTTTTTCGTTCAAAAGATATTGTAAAATAATGAGTTTGTGCTGCAATCTGGTTGAAAAATGTTTAATGGAATTCAAAGCCAGGAAATGTTCTGAACTTGTCACTGTGTATACACACCTTGCCATCTGTTCATTATGAAATTGGCCACCTCTGTGGTTGAGTGGCTAGTGTGTCTGTCTACCAGGAGAGCGGAAGGTCAGGCATTCGATCCCTGGACTTGTCATACCACAAGACGTTAAAAGGTGGAACTTGTTACTCACCCTTGTGCTAGGCATTAGAAGGATAAAACAAGGACTGGCTCGGAGTCAGTATACTGTGTCTGAGTCACTACACGTCACTATATAAGAGCCATAATCTGAACTAATCAATGTTAAACCCTGTTCACCTCACTAACAAAGAATTTTCCATGAATCAAATTCTCAGCAACCAGATAACCTCAAACAGAAATTTTGATGTGTGGAAGATTTAAATATACCACTCAACATTTCATAGGGATATTTCTGTATGTATAAAGAAATAACAAATGTCCCGATCAAAATTTGAGTCATATATTCAAAGACTTACCAGTCTTACAGGCTGCCATGATTTTGATGGTATATTGTGACAGTTCCTTAACACAACACTCACTCAACCCCGTCAATGTAGGACATCTTTATACTATTGTAAAATAACCAATCTTTCCTGTTTAATGTGTGTAAGAATGAAAGTCAAGGGGATGGTGTATTGCCCCAATGATAAAAGTCAAAGATTTAAGGGGTCTCCAAATTTAAATACTGCAGGAGAAACCCTCAGAGACCCCAGGGCCTTCTTTTATTTCAAACACTGCTGTCTCATTTTACCATTGTGAAAAGCTTGGAGTCTTCTATCAAATAGTGCTTTACAAAGTCAGCTCAGTTATTGGTATTCTCTGTACCAATTCTATTCCAATCGTTAATCACTGTCCCTGTCGAAGTGTCATGTAACCATTACTGCAGATCTATTTTTCTGGTCTCAGTTCTGGGAATGGGATTTACTCATGTATCAGGAGTTTCCGAGAATAAAATTGTCAATTATAACAAAAAATATTTTATAAAATAAAGTAGACACAATTTATGGAAAGCAACTTCTTTATTTTACTGTAATAATGGCGCTTCAGTATTGATCCTTATATCAACTGTCGGTATTGCTGTTACAGTAAAAGAAAGAAGTTGTTATCTGTAAGTTGTGTTTACATTGTCATCCGTCAACTTCTATGAAATGCCTATCAGACAATTAAAAAAATAACCAACTGTTTTTCTGTGCAGGACATCCAGGTATATCGTTACTACCGAGACCTGATCAACTTCCGGACCAGGGGAGACCCGGGTCTCATGCTGAGATGCATCAACCCCAACGAGGCCAAGATGCTGGATTCGGCAGCGGGCATCCATGTGCGCTTCCGTCTCGCTGGAGTGAGTGGGAACATTGTAGGGGACTAGACATACAAGCATCAGATTGGGAAAGAAAATGTCCTGTCCACAAGTGAATCAGCTGTCATTATTACGGAGTTGTCGTGCCCAGAGAATGTTCATCTGTGTACTTAAAAAGCCCCTGATTGTCCTCTTTGTTTTCATGTCAACACTCCCCAATTGCTTCTTCATTTGTTTCAGTAATATTTACTTGGTAAATAGTATTATAATCATGAAGATCTGAAAAATGTTAATACTATATATGCCATTATAAGCGCCCTGGGTACTTCGAAAATTTGACAATGGGGAGCCATACTCAATGAGTTAAATAGAGAACAAACTTTCAAACTAATTATGATGAAACTAAAACATTTTCCATTCTTATTACTTGGCAATTATATTCCCAATTCTATATAGGTATGTTTTCTGTAAAAGAATCTGTAATATACGCAAGAAAATAGGGATTGTGTGCAACGTTCTGGTACCAGGTCTTTCTCTTTAACATATTATACACTTGCTTTCTTGTTGGAATAGAAAGTTAGTGCTTTTCAGATTGTCTTTTTCCACTTGAAGTAGATGGCTGTATAAAAATCAACTAAAAAAAGCATTGTCTGAAGATGAGAGTTGCCGAAGCATCACTTTATAGAGGAGGCCGCCTCTGTGGTCTAGTGGTAGAGTGTCAGCCTGGAGAGTGGAAGGTCTGGGGTTCGATCCCGGCCGCGTCATTCCAAAAGACATTGAAATATGGTACTTCTTGTTACCCTGCCTTACGCTGCTCGGCATTAAGGGGCTAAAACAAGGACTGGTCGGCTTGGAGTCAGTATACTGTGTCTGAGTGGGGTATTCATTTTAAACTGCGGCATGGTATCTCAGTGGGCTAGCACTATAAAATCGGCATCGGTCCCGACTAGTACAAGCAGCCACACACACACACACATGCATCCCCGCTATATAAGTGCAATAATCTCGGACGCGACTTTAAACCCCATTTCACCTTATCATCTATATGGAGTCATACTAACTACCTCTCTTGTTGACAGGAAAGATTTCCCCCTAACATCTACTACAAGATCTTCACCCACCGCACCATCGTGGACATGTGTGCCAACAGCCCAAAAGACTACACCCGACCTGAGGCTAAGCAAACCAAGGCCAAGGACAAACACACCAAAAACAGGGCAGTGATTGGGCCAGGCACAGGTCAGTACCAAAATGTACACTTGAAACAATAATTGGCTTGTATTTACTGCTCTTTTGGGATAAATTAGATAGGTTTAGCACTGCAATTCTTTTTGTTAAATGACAGACCCACACAAAATGAAATAAAGAACATTTTGACATTCCCAATTGAGCTTTTTCAACAAATCTTTTTGTATCTGTAAATAGTTTAGAGTGTTTTTTTGCACTATTTGTTATTTACCCTCAGGGGGTTGCCCAGTTGTCTAGGGCGCCGCAATTCACTGTGCAGAGTTGCGTCCCTTGGCTACACATTAAACCTATGATTGTGGGTTCGCCCCGATTATGTTTCTAGGTTTGTCAGCACCACTCGTGCTCGTGGGTTTCACCGAAGTGGTAAACGTGTAAGACTTGCATCACTTCGGGCTTTCCTCCCACAATAAGCTGACAGATATAACTGGAAAACTGTTAAAAGCAGTGCTAAACCAAACTCACTCCCTATTTAACCTCACAGCGGTTCCTGAAAATTTGCCAGAAATATTGATTATGAAGCTGTCATGCTTGTTTGCTTGTCACATTAATCAAACCAATGTAATGTTTCCAGGAGTCGATGTACTGCTCTGTACTTCAACATTGACTTGATAGACCGAGATTATAAATTGTTCAGTCCCTTAATCTAGGCCCGGTATGCACAAAGCAGTGTTAGCTGGGAGCTGTGGTTTACCTGGGTTATATATTCAGGATCCAGGGGACTCTACAGCTTTGCTTATAGTCCCAGTTGGGGGACCCAGAGAAATGTAAAAAATGGAATAAATTTCTCAACGGGAGAAAAAATCCCTTATACCCCACCATGAGGAAGACATACTGCACATGGATTTCTGAGATGCAAAACAAATCCCTTATACCCCACCATGAGCAAGACATACTGCACATGGATTTCTGAGAGGCAGAATAAATCCCTTATACCCCACCATGAGCAAGACATACTGCACATGGATTTCTGAGATGCAGAATATATCCCTTATACCCGACCATGAGCAAGACATACTGTGCATGGATTTCTGAGATGCAGAATATATCCCTTATACCCGACCATGAGCAAGACATACTGCACATGGATTTCTGAGATGCAGAATAAATCCCTTAAACCCCACCATGAGCAAGACATACTGCACATGGATTTCTGAGATACAGAATATATCCCTTATACCCCACCATGAGGAAGACATACTGTGCATGGATTTCTGAGATGCAGAATAAATCCCTTATACCCCACCATGAGCAAAAGGCTGCAAGTTTTTTCCCCGACTCAATAAAAGTCACATGACATAGCTCAATTTAACCTCAGCTCAATCAAACAGCTGTTTTCTATCAATTTTGAATTTGTTTTAATCCTTTTACAATGTCATATTGAAACATGTCGGTAAAATTAATTTGTTGTAGCAGGATCACTTTGGGTACATGGGTTTTTTATGCATCCCTTGTTAGGTTTTTATATATAAAAGGAGGGACACTTAAAACCCCATGTACCCCTAGTGATCCTGCTACAACTTATAATGTACATAAATTATTTTCAAATTATGAAATATCATACAAATATTTTCGGAGTCCCAGTGTAGAGTGAATCCTGTTGTTGTTGTAAGGGGCGACTGTATAGATAAGTGGTCAGGCTCGATGTTTTGGTTAATTTCGTGTCATCGGATCGATGCTCATAACATCAAGTAGGGCTGGGACGGGTAACACGGGTACTCGGGTCAGGTGGGTACCGAGTAGGGCCCGGACACCCACAAGACTTCCCAGACCCGTGGTTTAATGACAAAAGGTATCTAAAACTCTATGTTTAAACTACAAGCCACTAATGTTACTACTACGCCCATTCCTTCTGACTGTTATATGTTTGAATAAAAATAAAACTTCAGTCAACTTCAGTGTATACACCAGATGGTTTCATACATGTATCAAAACACATTTTACTATAGCTACGGTCAAACTTTTCCCAATCTGACAGTTTTCAGCTACCTCTTGAGACCTACAGCGGGTACCCGGGTAGGGTCGGGTAATAGGGGGCTGGGTACCCGGGTAGTAAATTTGGACTTGTCCCAGCCCTAACATCAAGCACTGGTTTGTCTGGCCCAGGCTGACATGATATGGCTGGAATAGTGCTACATACAAACATGAATATTGTGTTGTGTTTTTCCATTCCAGACAAAGATGGGTGGTATCAGAGGGTTGAGAACAATGGCTGGCGTCTGGTGTCTGACCGTCTGATCCATCACATTATGTCTGACCCAGTCACGTGGCAGACGTCCAACAAGAAATATGAATTCCACCATGATAAGGTAACCAGTCACCTCAAGAAATCAAATTTCGATCAAGGTTGTAAATCATGTTAGGTTTGTTCCCCCAGTAAAATCAGACACCATTTTATTCCTTGGGTGAGTGAGTGAGTGAGTGAGTATGGTTTTTACGCCGCTTTTAGCAATATTCCAGCAATATCACGGCAGTTATGCCTAGGGCCTCAGGATAGAAGAGGATTTTGTTGCCCAATTTTTGTTGAGAAGGACAACCAACGTTATGACTGACATGTCTTTAGAGAGTTTAGTGTGGTATGGTGTCATAGAATGTTAATATGAGTTGTGGCTGTGGTAACCTAGGAGGCTGATATCAGTTGTTGCTATGGTGATCACCTAGAAGGCTGAATATTTATTATAAGGCCAGAATCAGGACAAATCTTATTTGAACCTATTATGGGATTCTGGAATTCCTGATTGACTTAAGTCAGCAATATGAATTGAGGTGCCATAGAAGACTAGGTCACCCATGCCCCCTTGAATGGTAGTGGTTGCTATGGTGACATTAAGTTTGATATTGTGATGACCTTGAGGCTGAAAGCTAGTGGTTGCTATGGTGATGCCCTGTTTGGTTGAAGGTAAGTGGCTCAAACAAATGTTCCACATTTCTTCTAGCTGCTCCTGGCTCCTGGCATGTTAACATCTCGTAGAATGAAATAAACATACTGTTTAATTTCCATAAACAATTTATTATGTTTGCCTTTGCATCATGTCATATGTTTTGAATGATTCTTCTGATTACAGTTAGCGAGGAAACAAGATGTGGAGAAGAGACGGAAGCAGAAGAAGATAGACTGGATGAAGAAGATGTAAGTTGTGGATGATGGATCCATGGTTATCTAGTGTACTGGTATTATATCACCATTCAATTTCGATAAATACCCAGGATCTATTTGCCACCATATATTTGTTTTGAATCCGGTTCGAATGACACGACACTTGGAATAGCCATCCATTGAAATTACCCTGATCTTTCATGATTGAAACCGACCCAGTGAAGATCTGGGTTAGAATATGTCTTCAGAAACCCATGCTTGTCGTAAGAGGCAGGAACGGGATCAGGGGGACAGGCTTCCTGACTTGGTTGATGCATGTCATTGTATCCCAATTACATGGATCATTGCACATGATGTTAATCACTGGATTGTCTAGTGCAAACTCGATTATTTACAGACTGGCCTCATAAAGCTGAAATATTGCCAGTGCAGCATTAAACAACAAACAAAAACAAACAAAACATGATTGAAACGAAAACAAAATCACCTGTGCTGGCCTCATCTTGTTGCTGGTACGGTGTAATTTCTTTCTGCGCATAATATTCGAATTCTTTTCTCCAAAATACTGAATCCGCTAGAGGGGGGTGCGCATTATACTCGGGTGGGCACTTTACTCAAGAAAATATGGTATATGTATCGAGGGTTCTCTTGGATGAAGTCCCAATTCTAATTTAGATCTATGCCAAACTTTTATTCAGAGTGAGTCGGAATGCTGTTCAAATATGACAGAAGAGATGGTGACGTCACTTCTGGCACAAAGATTTGTTGGGTTCAGGGTATTTGTCTGTATAGAATGGAGATATTGTACACTGTAAAAATCGTGAACATCATGTGGAGCTTCAGGTCTTATATTTTTTATTAATTATTTATAAAATTTATACTTTAAGTTATACTTTTTGCTTTACCAAATGTCTTTTCATGATAATTTCCGACCGATTCCATTCCTCAAAAAACTTTTGTTATCCAGGTAGACTGTTCAGTGCGGCTTCTTGGAAAAAGAATGTTAATTTATAAAAGATGTGTCCACAAGGTCATATGTTTTGTTGACGTGAGCAGGTACCGGGATGGCATGTTGAAGGCCAAGGCTGATGACTACGAGACCGTGAAGCTGATAGAGGGCGCTGCGGCGGGGATGGTGGCGACTGTGGAGGCGTCAGGACCAGAAGCGCTGGAGGAGTGGGAGGTGGATGAACTACTGGACTGGACCACCAGTCTCAACTTTGACGAGTAGGTGGAATACAACATTGTTAGATTTGTCAGAGTTGCAGTGAAAGAATGATGTGCCATTTCTTGTTTTCCTCCACTTGTGAGGAACTAACAACTACACATGTGACCAGTCTTGTCACATGTCTTGACCAGTCTTGACCAATAATTACTCTTGTGGTGCCTGAGATTTTGTAAGAAGAAGTTAAATATATAATTTTGGGACTGAGGACAGGTCCAGTGTTGGTATTTCCTTTTCGTAAAACCTAAGGCAAAATTATTTATTTGTAGTATTTTCAGGAACAGTTATTTTTTAAATCCCCTGCCTTCCAAGGGTTAGAAATTAACACTAGCCCGCTAGCCCAGGGCTAGTACAAATTCCAGTGGGCTAGTCCAAATTTCCCTATTGATTTAACATTACAACGGCATTCTATCTTGACCTGGGCTAGTAAAGCTTTTCCCAAAAAATATTAAATGTTAGTATGCAATTGAATGATTGAAGTGGTTTGTATGATTTAACCTATCAATTCTTGTTTTGGTTTACATCTATGTCTTAATTAGTGGTGTTACACAGTTGTACACAAGAATCTGTTGTCTTTGTTTCAGCTACTGGACAACATGGAAGGACCTTGCCACCAGCTCTCATTCAGAGGCCAAAATATGTGAGAATTGTGCTTTGATATGTTCATTTGGAAAATACATCTTTGAAATATGCCGATGTGAATAGATATATCCTTATTGTTGAGGTAAAGTAAGTTAAAGTAAGTAAGTCACCGTTTGTAGTCATCTGAGCAGCCATGAAGCATTGTTGGACAGAATAGATCCTCAGTACCCCCGTGTGTGTCTCCCTGAAGGGGATTCTAGGGTAGAATAGATCCCCAATACCCCCATGTGTGTCTCCCTAAGGGGATTCTGGGGTAGAATAGATCCCCAATACCCCCATGTGTTCTCCCTGAGGGGATTCTGGGGTAGAATAGATCCCCAATACCCCCATGTGTGTCTCCCTAAGGGGATTCTGGGGATAGAATAGATCCCCAGTACCCCCACGTGTGTCTCCCTAAGGGGATTCTGGGGTAGAATAGATCCTCAGTACCCCCATGTGTCTCCCTGAGGGGATTCTGGGGTAGAATAGATCCCCAATACCCCCATGCGTGTCTCCCTCAGGGGATTCTGGGGTAGAATAGATCCCCAATTCCCCCATGCGTGTCTCCCTAAGGGGATTCTGGGGTAGAATAGATCCTCAGTACCCCCATGTGTGTCTCCCTGAGGGGATTCTGGGGTAGAATAGATCCCCATTTGTGTCTCCCTGAGGGGATTCTGGGGTAGAATAGATCCTCAGTACCCCCATGCTTGTCTCCCTGAGGGGATTCTGGGGTAGAATAGATCCCCAGTACCTCCATGTGTGGCTCCCTGAGTGGATTCTTGGGGTAGAATAGATCCCCAGTACCTCCATGTATGTCTCCCTGAGGGGATTCTGGGGTAGAATAGATCCTCAGTACCCCCATGTGTGTCTCCCTGAAGGGATTCTGGGGTATAATAGATCCTCAGTACCCCCATGCTTGTCTCCCTGAGGGGATTTTTGGGGTAGAATAGATCTCCAGTACCCCCTATGCGTGTCTCCCTAAGGGGATTCTGGGGGAAGAATAGATCCCCAATACCTCCATGCATGTCTCCCTAAGGGGATTCTGGGGGTAGAATAGATCCCCAGTACCCCCATGCTTGTCTCCCTGAGGGGATTCTGGGGGTAGAATAGATCCCCAGTACCTCCATGTGTGTCTCCCTAAGGGGATTCTGGGGGTAGAATAGATCCCCAGTACCTCCATGTATGTCTCCCTAAGGGGATTCTGGGGGTAGAATAGATCCCCAGTACCTCCATGCGTGTCTCCCTAAGGGGATTCTAGAGGTAGAATAGATCCCCAGTACCTCCATGTGTGTCTCTCTAAGGGGATTCTGGGGTAGAATAGATCCCCAGTACTTCACTGTGTGTCTCCCTGAGGGGATTCTGGGGTAGAATAGATCCCCAGTACCTCCATGTGTGTCTCCCTCAGGGGATTCTGGGGGTAGAATAGATCCCCAGTCTCCCTCAGGGGATTCTGGGGGTAGAATAGATCCCCAGTACCTCCATGTGTGTCTCCCTGAGTGGATTCTTGGGGTAGAATAGATCCCCAGTACCTCCATGTATGTCTCCCTAAGGGGATTCTGTGGGTAGAATAGATCCCCAGTACCTCCATGCGTGTCTCCCTAAGGAGATTCTGGGGGTAGAATAGATCCCCAGTACCTCCATGCGTGTCTCCCTGAGTGGATTCTGGGGGTACAATAGATCCCCAGTACCTCCATGCGTGTCTCCCTAAGGAGATTATGGGGGTAGAATAGATCCCCAGTACCTCAATGCGTGTCTCCCTAAGGAGATTATGGGGTAGAATAGATCCCCAGTACCTCCATGTGTTACTCCCTAAGGAGATTATGGGGTAGAATAGATCCCCAGTACCTCCATGCGTGTCTCCCTAAGGAGATTATGGGGGTAGAATAGATCCCCAGTACCTCAATGTGTGCCTCCCTAAGGGGATTCTGGGGGTAGAATAGATCCCCAGTACCTCCATGTATGTCTCCCTAAGGGGATTCTAGAGGTAGAATAGATCCCCAGTACCTCCATGTGTGTCTCCCTAAGGGGATTCTGGGGGTAGAATAGATCCCCAGTACCTCCATGTATGTCTCCCTAAGGGGATTCTGGGGGTAGAATAGATCCCCAGTACCTCCATGCGTGTCTCCCTAAGGGGATTCTAGAGGTAGAATAGATCCCCAGTACCTCCATGTGTGTCTCTCTAAGGGGATTCTGGGGTAGAATAGATCCCCAGTACTTCCATGTGTGTCTCCCTGAGGGGATTCTGGGGTAGAATAGATCCCCAGTACTTCCATGTGTGTCTCCCTCAGGGGATTCTGGGGTTAGAATAGATCCCCAGTCTCCCTCAGGGGATTCTGGGGGTAGAATAGATCCCCAGTACCTCCATGTGTGTCTCCCTGAGTGGATTCTTGGGGTAGAATAGATCCCCAGTTCCTCCATGTATGTCTCCCTAAGGGGATTCTGGGGGTAGAATAGATCCCCAGTACCTCCATGCGTGTCTCCCTAAGGAGATTCTGGGGGTAGAATAGATCCCCAGTACTCTCCATGCGTGTCTCCCTGAGTGGATTCTGGGGGTAGAATAGATCCCCAGTACCTCCATGCGTCTCTCCCTAAGGAGATTATGGGGGTAGAATAGATCCCCAGTACCTCCATGCGTGTCTCCCTAAGGAGATTATGGGGTAGAATAGATCCTCAGTACCTCCATGTGTGTCTCCCTAAGGAGATTATGGGGGTAGAATAGATCCCCAGTACCTCCATGTGTCTCCCTAAGGAGATGATAGGGGTAGAATAGATCCCCAGTACCTCAATGCGTGTCTCCCTAAGGAGATTATGGGGTAGAATAGATCCCCAGTACCTCCATGTGTTACTCCCTAAGGAGATTATGGGGTAGAATAGATCCCCAGTACCTCCATGCGTGTCTCCCTAAGGAGATTATGGGGGTAGAATAGATCCCCAGTACCTCAATGTGTGCCTCCCTAAGGGGATTCTGGGGGTAGAATAGATCCCCAGTACCTCCATGTATGTCTCCCTAAGGGGATTCTAGAGGTAGAATAGATCCCCAGTACCTCCATGTGTGTCTCCCTAAGGGGATTCTGGGGGTAGAATAGATCCCCAGTACCTCCATGTATGTCTCCTTAAGGGGATTCTGGGGGTAGAATAGATCCCCAGTACCTCCATGCGTGTCTCCCTAAGGGGATTCTAGAGGTAGAATAGATCCCCAGTACCTCCATGTGTGTCTCTCTAAGGGGATTCTGGGGTAGAATAGATCCCCAGTACTTCCATGTGTGTCTCCCTGAGGGGATTCTGGGGTAGAATAGATCCCCAGTACTTCCATGTGTGTCTCCCTCAGGGGATTCTGGGGTTAGAATAGATCCCCAGTCTCCCTCAGGGGATTCTGGGGGTAGAATAGATCCCCAGTACCTCCATGTGTGTCTCCCTGAGTGGATTCTTGGGGTAGAATAGATCCCCAGTTCCTCCATGTATGTCTCCCTAAGGGGATTCTGGGGGTAGAATAGATCCCCAGTACCTCCATGCGTGTCTCCCTAAGGAGATTCTGGGGGTAGAATAGATCCCCAGTACTCTCCATGCGTGTCTCCCTGAGTGGATTCTGGGGGTAGAATAGATCCCCAGTACCTCCATGCGTCTCTCCCTAAGGAGATTATGGGGGTAGAATAGATCCCCAGTACCTCCATGCGTGTCTCCCTAAGGAGATTATGGGGTAGAATAGATCCCCAGTACCTCCATGTGTGTCTCCCTAAGGAGATGATAGGGGTAGAATAGATCCCCAGTACCTCAATGCGTGTCTCCCTAAGGGGATTCTGGGGGAAGAATAGATCCCCAGTACCTCCATGCTGGTCTCCCTAAGGGGATTCTGGGGGTAGAATAGATCCTCAGTACCCCCATGCTTGTCTCCCTAAAGGGATTCTGGGGGCAGAATAGGTCCCCAGTACCCCAATGCTTGTCTCCCTAAGTGGATTCTAGAGGTAGAATAGATCCCCAGTACCTCCATGTGTGTCTCTCTAAGGGGATTCTGGGGTAGAATAGATCCCCAGTACTTCCATGTGTGTCTCCCTGAAGGGATTCTGGGGTAGAATAGATCCCCAGTCTCCCTGAGGGGATTCTGGGGGTAGAATAGATCCCCAGTACCTCCATGTGTGTCTCCCTGAGTGGATTCTTGGGGTAGAATAGATCCCCAGTACCTCCATGTATGTCTCCCTAAGGGGATTCTGGGGGTAGAATAGATCCCCAGTACCTCCATGCGTGTCTCTCTAAGGAGATTCTGGGGGTAGACTAGATCCCCAGTACCTCCATGTGTGTCTCCCTGAGTGGATTCTGGGGGTAGAATGGATCCCCAGTACCTCCATGTATGTCTCCCTAAGGGGATTCTGGGGGTAGAATAGATCCCCTGTACCTCCATGCGTGTCTCCCTGAGTGGATTCTGGGGGTAGAATAGATCCCCAGTACCTCCATGCGTGTCTCCCTAAGGAGATTATGGGGTCGGAATAGATCCCCAGTACCTCCATGCGTGTCTCCCTAAGGAGATTATGGGGTAGAATAGATCCCCAGTACCTCCATGGCTGCTCCCTAAGGAGATTATGGGGGTAGAATAGATCCCCAGTACCTCAATGCGTGTCTCCCTAAGGGGATTCTGGGGGTAGAATAGATCCCCAGTACCTCCATGTATGTCTCCCTAAGGGGATTCTGGGGGAAGAATAGATCCCCAGTACCTCCATGCGTGTCTCCCTAAGGAGATTATGGGGGTAGAATAGATCCCCAGTACCTCCATGCGTGTCTCTCTGAGGGGATTCTGGGGGAAGAATAGATCCCCAGTACCTCCATGTGTGTCTCTCTGAGGGGATTCTGGGGGTAGAATAGATCCCCAGTACTTCCATGTATGTCTCTCTGAGGGGATTCTGGGGGAAGAATAGATCCCCAGTACCTCCATGTGTGTCTCTCTGAGGGGATTCTGGGGGTAGAATAGATCCCCAGTACCTCCATGTATGTCTCCCTAAGGGGATTCTGGGGGAAGAATAGATCCCCAGTACCTCCATGCTGGTCTCCCTAAAGGGATTCTGGGGGTAGAATAGGTCCCCAGTACCCCCATGCGTGTCTCCCTAAGTGGACTTCGGCAGCGTTAGAAATTGGCACTAGTCCTGTAGTACTTTCCAAAGTGCCCAATAATAAAGGTATCATAAGGACTAATAGAAATTTGCCATTTTTAAGGGTTTTGCTGTATGTTATCATAATAAGGATTAGTGGAGTAAAACTGTTAGTTTCTAGCGCTGTTTGGGCAGAATAGATCCCTTGTAGACAACTAAGGGGATTGATAGTTGATATTGAATGTGGAAAGTACTTGGTCCAGTGACAACTATCGTAGAACAACCCACTCAATCATGACCTGATGTAGTGTCATCACACCCAACTGGCAAAGTTGGTTGGTTGTATAACGCCACACTCAGCATTATTCCAGCTATATGACGGCAGTCTGTAAATAATCAAATCTGTACCAGACAATCCAGTGATTGATATCATGAGCATCGATCCACGCAATGGCAAACACCGGTACGAAACAACGGTCCAGGGGGCGCTGCGGAATTTCCGTCCTTGTTGCTAGCTCCGTATGCTATTGTTTACATACAAAATGCCTTAGCGCTGTTGCGTACGGCAATGTGACAGTCGTTCTGACGGCTATGGTTTTCCTCAAGATCCGGATATTTGCATAAAATGGCGCGTGGCGATTAGAAGAGAGGATCTGGCATCCAAGAAATTATGGAAACCAAGTCCATACTCAGTGGTTTGTCGTAATCACTTCCTTGACAGCGACTACAAGCCATCGGACACCGGTAAGCGTCATTAGCAACGAAGTTAGTAACCGAATGAACGGACTAATGTTATTATTGTCCTGTACCTCAGAATCTGGTATTGGTGACCCACCAAATGCAATACAATATTCAGTAATTGTGATATGTAAATCAATCATGCATATATTGTATTAGTCACGGTATATTTTTTTTATCTGGGTGCACAATATTGGGCTCACCCAAATATTGGCAGAAAAAAATATACCAGTCGTCGTCTGTGCCGCATTTTACTGGAAAAAATAAATAAAAAAATTGTCCTAATATTAATTATATGTATTGCGATGAATGACTTTCAGTCAATTCTTTTTTACGTGTTAAGTTAAATTTTACATAATTAGAATCTATTTAAATTATTCCCACCCTGAAGTTATGCCAGTCTTGAGTAGGCTTATATATGCAAAAAACTGTTGAAGTTGATGTTCGATCTATTTAGGAGTAGACCAAATATAGTTCTATTACTATTATAGAGTTTTATACTATTAAATGAAGTTGTCTTAATAATAATAGATGTTCAAGCTTAGATTTCATTCCCATAAATTTGTCCCAACTAAAATAAACACCTTTTTTAAAATTTTGCTCATTTTTTTTGAATAATTTGCTTATGTCCTCATTGATAATATTTGTTCATGAATTTACCATGTTTATTGTTACTGTGTGAACAATAACTAAATTCCTTATTACGATAAAACCTTAATTGATGATATTTTGAAATAATTCTATATATTTTATTTTCAGGAAAGAAAAGACGATTGAAGAGGGGTTGCAATACCAACAGTGTTCTCCTTTAAGAAAGTGAATGAACCAAGGAAACCTAGACACTATGTTATAGATGTGGAAGATGTTCCTGATCTGGGAAGTGAGGTTGAAATTTGTTCACCAGGATGTGATGAAATTATTTGTCAGTCAGATGCTGTTGATCATATAGAAGATGTGGCCATACAGTGCAGCTTGTTGTCGGAATCAAGCTCCAGATTCTCGATTCATCACATAACTGATAATGACAAAGCAGTTTTGTATTACACTGGTTTTGACAATTATGATCATTTTATGTATTTCTTTCATGTACTTGGCCCCTCTGTCAATCATCTTTCATATCAGTGTTCTTTGATACCACCAGAAGATCAGCTTTTTATGACTTTGTTAAAATTCAGACAGGCAAGAGATGATTTTGACCTTTCCATGTTGTTTCATATCAGTGAAAGTACTGTAATTCTCACATGGACAAACTTTTTGTACTTCCAACTGACTGAGCTAAGCATATGGGCATCACATGACACCTTTCAAGATACAATGCCAGAAAATTTCAAGGAGCGCTTCCCATCAACAAGGGTCATTCTAGATGCAACTGAGACTCCGATTTGTAAGCCAGGCAATGTAGATTACCAGGGGGCCACTTTCTCAAGGTACAAGAACAGGAACACTCTGAAAACTATGATTGGTTGTTCTCCTCGAGGTCTTGTTACCTATGTTAGTGACAGTTATGGTGGATCAACAAGTGACAGGCAGATTATTGAGAGGTCAGATTTGTGCATGCCAGGTGTGTTTTGTGCAGGAGACAGTATTATGGCGGACAGAGGCATTATGGTGCAGGACATATTTTCATCTTCAGATGTAAAAGTCTACACTCCGACAATGCTCAAGGGTCGAAGTCAGTTTGAACCCCAAGAGGTAGTCCACGACCACAGAGTATCATCCAAGAGAATTCATATTGAGCGTGTTATTGGACTTGGCAAAACTTACAAAATTCTTAAGAGGGAGCTTCATCCATCAAAAGTTCCACTAGGCACTAGAATTGTTCGAATTTGCTACATGTTGTCAAACTTTCGCCTAAGCATTGTAAACCGACTTGCATGAATAAATGTCCATTCTAAACATACTTCACACATTCATGTATGTTTGTATGACCTAGTGTTGTCTGTTCATAGCATTGAAAGTACAACAGTTTACTGCTAGTAGACAGGTGTGATTGTCTACCGTGACTGTATGGTGGGTATTAGACACGGCTCACTGCTGTATGATTACTGTTTACTCTGTTTCTTAATGATCTTGTTCAACTAATACAATCCGGAAACTGCAAAGGTATGTTTGTGAATGAGTTAGTTGATAAAATTAGCACATTGATGTTTGCTGATGGCATTTTGAATGCAAGTGACGCTATTGTCAAATTGCAGAAATCAGATGTAGCAAGCTTTTGTGGCAAATATGTTATGAATGTAAATTTAGATGAAACAATTATGATTGTATTTTGCAGAGGAGGACTTTTCAAACAAATTGAAAAATAGTGGTTCAAAGGTGAAATACTTTAAATTGTATCAGCATACAAGTGCTTGTGGATATTTGACACCACAAAGTCTTCATGGGGTTTATTGTTGACAGAATGATTGTGCCAGTCATTGGTTATGGACCAGGTATGTGGGGTTATTCACAAGTTCAGACAGTTTAAAGTGTACACATGAGAACATTGTCTGTTAACACAAGTACAAATAAAGCGGTTGTTATAGTACAAGGATGTTTGTGGATTATGCACACAAAGTAAGCATATTTATGTAGAAATGTTTATAGATTGTGGATCAATATTTAGCAACAAACATGTAACCGTACTTTGGGTTGAATTCTGAATACAAACCTAGAACTTGAAAGTACAACTGGAATGTGTGAGAAATGTTCAAATATAACAACTTTATTGTGTTTTAACAATTGAAATGATGAATATATGTACATAACACTGTACCCATGATATTACATAATGAAAAAATACCATTGAATGTCTCACATTTGTTTGTTGATCTGTGCTTAGGATCTCTCTCTCTTACCACTTTAACAATGAATGCAATAGTACAACACCATCACACGGTTGTCAGACAGACATTCAGTCATGTAATTTCATTGCAAAGGAGCTCCACCACATTCCCAAGGTCAGTGTTCGAAATATACATCGGTCAGTATACCCATAGATGACAGATTTGTTCAAAGATGTTTTACAAGCTGATAATTTCCTTGATAAATGTATCACCATCTGTCACCACTGAGTCTCTGGGAACTCGGTGTGATAGCAGTAATAGCTTCTGGATGACTGGTTGTATTTTGTAATTTTATATTGCGTATATGCGTATATGAGTATATCTCACTGCTTCAGATAACATGTTTGGGCCTACAGTTTTTCCATTAGGCCTACAGCTAAGAATAGAAGTAAGTACTTTACACATGGTGTCAATCAGGGATATACCTACCGGTACTCATTTGTATCATTCTCATCACCAGATTTCAATAGTTGAAAAGAACAAACTTTTATTCCTTAACTGTGAAAAGTCACTGATGTCAAATAATTTTTGAAAAGCGAGGCAAAAGTAAGTTGGATAAGACTCTTAGTACTTTTTAGATACACAGTCTTCACATGGATGTATTAATCCACAAAAGGATGTCTGTTCGTGAATCTTAACAAATGTAGTGAGTAGCAATGAAAGACTCAAAGAATAATGAGAGTCTGGGAATCAAACTTCCTGTACAGTATTCCTCATCGAGTGATATTTTCTGAACAAAGAAGTCTTTGAACGTACAAACAGCAAATAAGCAGTATTTTCGCTTTGATAGATACATCTGACCCTGCACCTGAAAGTAGTAATGACAGTTTTCTTTCAGTTGCATGAGGCCATTTCTCTCACAAAGATAAGGAAAGAGTTTCCCAGGAGCAATGACCTCATTTCTAGCACTGTAAGGACATTTAACCTCAACAATGGTGTTAGAATCAATGACACCGTCTGGGGTTGCTGCAAGGAAAGGGAGTTCAGAGTCAACAAACATTCCACAACTGTGAACATGAACATTACAGGCTATCTCAAGTTTGGCAATAGCTTTGGGTTCCTGCTGTAACCCATGCCTCACAGAGTTACAAACTAGTTTTCTTCCAGAGACAATTTGTTCACATAATTTAGTTTTGTTTCTCCTTGTAGTACATTTGCAAATTGTCCCAAACTGAGATGCTGTCAACCTCCATCTCCTCTCTTCATGCCACAAGCTACACTTGGCCTGCTTTCTTGTCTTTGACTCTAAGTCTGCAGCCTGGTCATCTGTAATCTGTCAAACACACAAAAACTTATCAATAAAATTCTTGAAACCCCTTTACAAATCAGAACAAAACAATTCAATCAGATAACATGGCTAAAACAGTTTAACCATATCAAAAGGTTAATATATACGGTACTATTTATTTTGATATATTTTAGTCTGATACATTGAGTGAATGCATACACCACTGGCTTTGCCAGAGACCATGGGCTTTGCTTTTGCATACATGTAGTCATTATAGCCCCAGTTCATGCTCTGTAGACGATTGACATAGCATAATGGGTAAAAGATATTTATCCTTGCTTTATTTACGATTTCACCAACATGCACGGGTTTTCATTCAATAAAATGAAATTTGCACACCCCTGACGTTTCGTTTATCGATAACAACAATTTTCATTCAAAGACTGTTCGAAGATTCAAAGCAAACTGAAACAGAATTGGCAAGTCTCTTGTACAATTACATACCTTTCAATCAAATCGATCTTCTTCCCGCGTGTAGTTGCTCCACTGCATCGCAACTCTGTCTTCAGCTTCTCAACTGTCAAACCGCTGTAGTGCGACATGTTTACATTAGCAACACTTCCGGGACGGAAATTCCGACGCGCCACCTGGCGGATTAGTGTACCGGTGTTTGCCATTGGGATACGTTGACATGCATCAACCAAGTCAGTGAGCCTGACCACCCGATCCCGGCAAAGACCAAGGATGAGACTGATGTCTGCTTTTCATACCAACAAACTTTATTACAAGAGTCAGTCTCATCACGTTCTGTGACCTCAGTGCATAAGATATATCTCTCTTTTCAGCTGACAGACTGAGAATAGCCACAAACAATATGGACCCTTACGAGTTCTCGCTGTCAACTGGCCCATCTCGCTTCCAGTCAACTCGGCAATCCCACAATACACCAGTGTCGACCAGTTCAGGAACCAAGATCCATGTTCATGTGAACAGCTGAGATGATTCAGGAGGAGACCCTCTATGTCTTCATGTCTCAACAGGATGAAATACATCTTCTCACATTGTTGGACAACTATTTCAAGGAGGCAGGCTTTTTTGTGTATGACTGTTCTATCTGCCAGTGTTCAATATGAAGGGACTACGACTGTGATAACATTTCATGTGTGTACATATCCTACGACTCATTTCTATTTTCTCTTCCACTTTTGTGGAGAAAAGTTACCCTTCTACTGACTGGTACATTCAACATGTTGACTGATGTGTGGTATATTTGGCATACTGCAGTGACATATGGTGTTTTGTAATTGTAAATAAAGTATAGTGTGATGTGATCAGTCATGTTAAATGAGCTATAATCCAGACCTGGATATTCTGGAAACCCATCTTTAAGACCACAAGGGGTACAAATGATTGTTCAAGTTCTGTAAAGCCAATGATTTAGATGCCAGTAAGGCACCTTACAAGCTCCAATGGGCAAGTTTCTGGCGGAAATTTTCCCCAAGTGATGAAGTCATGCCAAAGTCAGCTGGTAGACAGCCATACATACAGTTTGTGTACTAGCCCAAATTGTCAAAAGTTAAAGGTTAGAGGTCATTTGATAATGACAAAACTTAGCTCAGGAACTGGTTTCTGGATGATAACTTTCAGAAATACTGATAAATAAGATCCTTTTTTTTAGTCAGGTCACATGTAAATGAAGGTCATATGTAAAAAAAGGTCAATATGCTCCAACTGAACACAGCTCTTGTATCGTTCTCCATTTTAACATTATTAGTTTAATTATGGACTACATGTAGTTCTTTGAACCATCAGTGAAAATAACGAGCCGGCCCTACACAAATGTTTTTAATCTATGACCTTGCACCTCAGACGAGGCAACTGTGGGATTTGTATGATGACAAGCCAATAATTGGTCCTGTATAATTTTTTGCTGCTATAAGTTTTACTATACCAAATAAGGTCAGTTTGATTATATGTATGACATATTTATGTTTACAAGTGTTATTGAGTGTGTTGATTTTAATTTTGACATACAGTATACATGATTGTGAGTGGTTATTCATATTCACTTTGCCCAAAGACGTTAACTGAACATGTCATGAAATGTTTAGTTTCACTATTGAAATTAAAATAAAAAATTCATATAATGTCCATATTTTGTGTCATTATTGAAAAAAGTGTTACAGCACTGTTGCTCACATTCAAATGTTATAAGTCATGAAATCGTCAGCAAACAAATAAGAATGTTAACTTGCAACACATCACACCATAAACTCACTTGAATCCTGGTGAGAAAACACATTTTTGCTTTTTGCTGATTCAATTTCAGATTTTAGCAAAATCACAGTGAAACCTCTGAAAATGATTGATGTAAAGAAATAAGACGTGTCAACAAACTTGGTAGTATTTTGTTTATTATTTTATTGTAAGTGGTACAGTTCAATATCACATTTACATAACAAAATATTGACCACATAATGTACAGAGGGCAACACCCTATCAAACTGGCATATACATTTATTGCTCGTTGATATTTCAATTTAGTTATGATTTTTGTATACTTTACCTTAAGAAAGGTAAGGTTATTCAATTTTATCTCCAGAAAAAGACATATCAAATTCGTCGAGATCTTTCAATCTTTGGCCTTTTAAATTATGAACACACACAAGAGGACAGCTACCCCATTTATTAAATACTATAAAAAAAATAAATAATTGTTTATGCAAACTATATCTCAATACAATGGGTACGATAATTAATGCAGTAAATATTACAAGAGCCTTAAATTATAAACAATTATGAATAATGTTTTTCAAATTTTAAAGATAAATTTTATTTTTCAAAATGAAAAAAAATGAATTTGGGAATATTTAATGGTGGAACAATATTGTTTTAGATATATTATTTTACAAACCTTTGTATAAAATGTCTACAAGGATAAATGAGTGGTAGCCTAATAGTATGTGGCTATCAGAGCGTCAGTGACATTAAATGCACCAGTGGTATTACAAATATACCATAAACATCAATAAATATCTAGTAGTGAGGTATCTCTTACACAGCTTGGGCAGAAGCACAACACATATATACAGTCTTGTAGCCAGCAACTGCAGTATAAAGCAAAGCTTTTGTAATTCTAAAGTTTGTGCAGACAGATTCTACATTTATGCTACATTGACATTCATGTTTGTAAATATTTTAAAATATTAAATGAACATTCACATATAAATAATTCTAGATTTCCAAGCATGGTTTGTAAAATATTCAAATATTTTAAGTCTACTGCACCATTAACTGAAACAGGAATTTCTGGTGATTCTAAAATTGAAATTTGTGGTATTTTTATGATGGAATATTCAATTGCTGCAGTCATTCTGATGGTTGCTGAACATGTCTGAAATGCATCACGAGTTGTCTTGTCTTGTTGGTCGCAAGCACCGCCAGGTCAGAAGACTCCCCAATCCAGGGCTTGTTGTAAGAGGAGACAGTGGATTGTGTGGTCACAATGGCTGTACATAATGGCTAGTTCCAGGATGGTACCCCATCTGGATCCATCAAAACAGCACCGCGACCTGACACATTCCGTGTCGGTCCAAGGCCGTGGATTTGTACTCACACTATCAACCGCTAGTTTCGTCACTCTGTGTCTTCTTGATCTTGATGATGATGATGATGATGAACAGTTAATGATTCTGAGTGATACAATATCTTCATCAACTTACAATCCATATTGTCCAGGTGTCATAAGAATGAATTCAGCATTGAAACTCATGTACCGTATTCAATCTATTAAACCCCGTTCCAATAAGGGTCCCCATACGTTTTGAAAACAAAATTTCAAGTATCAAATAAATTCATATTTTGTAAATATTCAAAGTTTAATCTAGTTGTAATGAAATTGGAAAGGTAACCAACCTTGACACTCTTCTGTGTGCCCGGGGTGCTTATAAAGTTGAATACGGTAACTAGCAACTGAAGTGGAATGATGCAGGAAGCTGGCTTAAAATCTACCCTCTCTAAAACAATGTACATAAACATTCAATAACAACTTTACTATCTACAATGTACAATGAAAGCACTTTACAACTTGATGAGGACCCCCTGCCTCAAAGCACACCCTCCCATCCTAGAAATAATGAAACAGTCTTTTCTATGATGGAAAATACCCTATGCAAGAGGTGAAAATATCGAACAGCCAGTATATTTCACATCAAAATAAAGGAACATCTCATTATTTGAACCAGGGGTTTCAGGTGCGTCACGTCTCATCCCAAGGAGACTGCAGAAACACAGAGTGGGTCTTACCTAGTTACAGGTGCTGATGTCCAGAAAACTAATATCTTGCAAATACTAAATTTATAAATGAGCCCTAACTGCAGCAACAGTATGTCAAACCCGATTTGCTTGCATGAGATTATTTTTGAAAATATATTTACAATTACCACAATAATCACCAATGTGATGTGTGTCATACACCGAGGTAACATAAATTTATTGATCATTGTCTTCAAAACTTATTGAATGAGACATAACAAAACATTGCTGACTGCATTAGTTGTCACCACAATCTCATACGCAAGCTCAAATATGATAAGTCGTCACCTAAACCTTTCACAAATCACTAATAATCAATTCACAAGTTGAAATTCTAGCCTTTACCTGACGCAACGCTGCAGAACAATGGCTGCAAGTTGACAACTGCCTGGTATTCCAGAATAATGTGAACACAGAACACGTCTGAACACTGAAAACCGTAATCAGTCTAATAATTCAAATAGGTAAGATGGACGACATTTCCAAATAAAGGGAGACAACATTCAGTAAAAAATTACAGACGTCAAAATAATTGGATTCTAATATACAACTCAACATTTCCTAAGGACCATAATAGTCATCTTTGTGAAAGGTGCGGTCGTTAGCAAATATTAAGTAGGTATATTTCGGTTACCAAATAGTACCCATTTTGGGTATATTTTTAGTGTGTACATTATTAGAATAACTACGGCATGTGCTGTGGAGTTAACTCTGTAGAGTGTCTTCAACTAACAGTTATTTTGTGTGCTTGCCATATTAGAAATCAAGTATTGATGTAATCATATGTGTCAAATATTTATCATTCTGTTTTACTTTGAAATTTAACTGTGATATTTCATTTTGAATTACTCAATTATAAAGATTAATATCTGGAAACAGATGTACTTAGGAGAAATGGTTGATATTTCTTACTGACACATCTTTTAATATCATTAATATTTTTCAGGGAATATACATATTGTTTACCAACAATGTAAATTTTACATTTTAAAGTATATCATGTGAATTTAGTAAAGCTTTTAATGCAGTAAGTATTTCTGTTAGAGTTTTTCTGTTATGGATAGTGAACAAAATCTTGACAGCTTATGAGTAAAATTAATATTGGAGTTTAAAATTATGATTAAAATTACATCAAACAGATAGTAAAATCCCTGATACAGAACTTGTGATTTATAAAGAAAATCTTGTGACCCAGACATGGCAAATAAAAACATCATATTATGGTATTTGAAAAACATGGATAACAAAATATCCTGGTAATAAGTAACTGTATTACAAGTATGCTTACACAGTTCATGAATGTGCACAGAATGAACCAGTAGGTTCCGACATTATTGCTGTGACTCTGCATATTTGGAGTTACCTCCCTTAGACCAGCTAAGCAATAAGTGGTGTCAAGCAGTGACAGGATATGTTGGTGGTGCATGGTGCACAGAGTGATTATTTTGACTGTCGCAGCTGAGAGTATTAACTCAGTATTATAAAGTGCACTTACTTAAAGATAGCAGTGCAATTATTAGATCACTCACTTGAAGAAACAAAATTCATCCATGACTTTCCTTGAAAAGTGCACAGTGCAAGTTCATGTTATTTTCCTTAAAGAAAATATCATAATTTATATATCATTCAATACCCTTTGTGATGTACTTAAGGCACATAACCTGTTAAATTGGAACACACGGTAGTGGACAAGCATTGGGTTACAGATACAGGTGGCGTTACATACATGCAGAGCGCAGGGTTAGTATCGCACACCTGCAATGGTGCTAGGTGGATGGCGGCATATACAGGCAGGACTGGCGTCGGTATACGGAGCTAGCTGGATGCATGCATGAACACAATGTCACAGTTCTAACAAGGCACATACAGACACAAGGTACATCTATATACAGAAGGCAGGTTAGCCAACAGTCTTCCAACAGGGGACCAACAACTGCATCTAACTGAAAGTCTTGTCGAGTCTCGGCAACAGACGCTCTGAAATTCATCAGTCGTACACACTGAAGCTCTGTCCTCTATGGTCACAAGACTGAGTTTTGATATGATAGCTTGCTCTTGCTTGGCAAGAAAGTAACCTCTTCCCCATGAGAGGTCAAGGCACGATGTATTGAAGTCTTGCTGCCGATTGGTTACTAGAGGTCACATGGTTGCAGGTGCGCAAACATTGATTGGTTAGTAGCGCCGATGGTAGAGCATAAACCTACGCATATCCTTCTCCAGCTGAAACAGTACATAAATTAACCCTTATTATTCCCGTTCTGGACATTGCAACGATGATATTACCCATGGTGCCATGTCTTTGGTTGCAACCCGAGACACTATGCCACACGCAGTTTAACCCTTCCAACAGTGACTGTCTACAACTACACAATACTGTGCTGTTAGAGTAGAACCTGCTTTTGAAAGGGTTAAAGCTACAGTATTTGCACAAACGAACAGAAAAGCGGTGATGAAACACAGAAGCTATCTAATAAAGCGAGAATTCCAACATCAAAAGAAAACATACAGATATTAAACTAAAAAAACGGTAATAATGAGATCATATTATATATTTGTGTTATTATTTCTTTGAGTAAGAAATGTCCGCCATTACTAGTTTCACCATAGATACAGCACCATGTAATATTAGTCACACAACTAACTTCATAATATTCATGCAAAAGAAAATAATCTAAGCAAACAGAATTAGCATGACTGAACAGCTTGTCAAATCAACCGCTGAAGTAAGGAGAGCAACAGGAAAAGGGCTAAATGTTTGGATTTAGAGAGATTCTTAGGAAAAGTAGAACTTTAGATACATGCTTCTGCAATGTATTTAATTCATGCCATGCAGAAATGGAAATTAATTCGGATGGATGCAAACTTGTCGGGAGAGATTGGATTGCTTTCATCTGTCACTGCCTTTATGCCCACCATTACTATGTGGATTCTTCACCCTACCTACAGTGTTTGTGTCATAAAGTAAGTTTATCTATTCTTCTAGCCTCATCTAAAATGTACTGTTAGACTCATACATCTTCATTTGGGCACATCGGCAAACTGCAGAACCGCTTCTCCCTCCGGGCTGCACAGGGAATGCCGCCATGTTTGGCCTTCTGCAGGACCTTCCGGCGCCGGACCTGGACCGATTTCTTACCGCATGTTGCAGAGCACTCCTGCCAGTCTGCCCACTGACTCAACTCGCAGTCAATAGCTGAAGAACAGATCATTGACAGACATTAATCATTCTTGATTATCCAGCATATTATATCTCATTTCTGTGATATTACCCTGGAGCTTTCACCAAGCTTTGTTTGAGTGACTGATGCTAAAAATAGACAGCCGATCAAATTGCATTGTTCTTTCATGACTGAACCTAGAGACAATATCGCTAGAATTTGCTTAACTTTTGTGGTCTCAAATACACGGCAGTCTCCTCCTTCCTGAAACAGTATGCAGGAAACATCTTTTCCAGCTAAACTTTCATTAATAACAGTCTCCTGATTTTGATTAAAGATAACAAGGGTTTGTTTGTTGCTTAATGCCACTCTCAGCAATATTTCAGCTATATGACTGCAGTCTGTTAATAATCGAGTCTGGACCAGACAATCCAGTGATTAACATCATGAGCATCAATCTATGCAATTGGGATACGATGGATGACATCACCAAGTCAGCGAACCTGGCCACCCGATCCCGTTAGTCGCCTCTTATGACAAGCATAGTCACCTATTATGGCAAACATGGGATGCTGAAGACCTATTCTACTCCAGATCTTCACCAGTCAACAAGGGTTTAATATGGCTGCGAATTTGAATGCAGATCTAAGCCGAACTTGCGTCCATGTTCAGAAGTGTATTTTGGATGGTTGGTGATTTCAAGATCACAAACAAGATTCTTCAACAATTCTGTGCTAGGTTGGTGATAATAGAGTTGAATATGGTGATGTCACTTCTGAAACTAAGCTACGGTGGGTCCACGGTATTTATCAATAGAAAGGGGAGCTATAATATAGTAATGACTTTCCCAGGATATATGCTTAGTGCTAATTTTGTTCTTTGTGATACTGTTGTACTCAGTGTGTGCACCTTGTTTGAAGGTTTCTGTTATGAAATCTTCTGGGTTGTGAACCAAGTATAACAGTACTGGGGGACTGCCCTATTACCCGACCCTACCTGTTACCCACTGAAGATCTCTAGAGTTGGGTACAAGATGTCTGATTGGGAATTATTTTATCAAGCATACACTGAAGTTGACTGAAGCTTTATCTTTGTTCAAACATATAAAAGTCAGAAGAAACGAAAAAATTAGTGACTTGTAGTGTAACCATGGAGTTTTATAGTTATTGTCATTAAACAATATATCACATGATATAACTCCCTCCTCCCACGGACCCGCATCTCATGGCTACTTACGACATCTATCCACTTTACACTTCTTCTTCTTCATGAGTTTCCTAGGACACTTCCGGCCACCATTCTGGGGCTGCACCTTGACCATCCTCGTCTTGGTCATCATACCCTTGCCACATGTGACTGAACACTCCGACCAATCAGACCACGGGGTGACCATGCAGTTGACCCCTGACCCAGTATGCTCCTTCCTGTGCCGTCTCTTCCTCCGCTCCATCTTCTTCTTCTGCTTCATCATCCTCCGCTCCTTCCTCCTGCGTTTGATCTCATCTGACAGCGCCCTCTCCATCTTCAAGTTGGCCGACTGCTGCATCATCTTCTTCTTCATCATCAGCGTCTTCAGGTCCATGTGTGAGAACGTCAGAGACTGTCCTTCCCTGTCTGCGTTGGCTTCCATCTGCTGTTTCTTCATCATGGCTTGTTTCTTCTGCATCTCCTGCTTCTGCATCAACTGTTTCTGCATCATCTGTTTCTTCATCAACATCTGTTTCTCAATCATCATCTGCTTGCGGTTCACTTCCACTGCAGTTCAGGAAAACGTGGGTTAGTATTGCATGTAATCTGCAGTAATATAACTAACTAACTAATATAATATAAGGGGATTGGTTCAGTACACAAAAAAGCAAAATGTCCATTCCAATGACACCTTCCATGAAGGTTTCTCAAAGACACTACCATTTCCACGCCCGACCCTTAAGATGATAAAAACGTGGGCTATTATTGCAAGTGATCTGCAGTAATAAGTGAGTGAGTATGGTTTTACGCCGCTTTTAGCAATACCCAGTATTCCAGCATTATCACGGGGGGGGGGACCCCAGAAAAGGGCTTCACACATCGTACCCATATCGGGATTAGAACCCGGGTCTTCGGTGTGAAGAGCAAACGCTTTAACCACTAGGCTAACCGACCTGCCGTGCAGTAATAGGTGAGGTGAGGTGAAATTGGGTTTAACGTCGCGTCCAAGATTATTGCACTTATATAGCGACGTGCATGTACGTGTGTGTGTTTGTGTGGCTGCTTGTACTAGTCCGGACTGATGCCGATTTATAGTGCTAGCTCACTGAGATACCATGCTGCAGTTTAACATGAATACCCCACTCAGACACAGTATACTGACTCCGAGCCGACCAGTCCTTGTTTTAGCCCCTTAATGCCGAGCGCCAGACAGGGTAACAACAAGTACCATCTTTTAACGTCTTTTGGTATGACGCGGCCGGGGATCGAACCCCGGACCTTCCGCTCTCCGGGCGGACGCTCTACCACAAGACCACGGATCCGTGCAGTAATACAATCTTCAGGGGTTGGTTCAGTAGATAAAGAAGCAATATGTTCATTCCAGTCAATGTGACCTTCAATGAAGGATACTCAAAAACACGACCACTTCAACGCCCAACCCTAAAGATGATATGTACCAAATTTCATCTGACGACTGTAAACATCATCATGAACATGACACAGTTTCAGGTGTGTGACCTTGAGAGAAAATTTGACCTTCAGTATCAGTTACAAGTATTTCAAGAACATTCCCAGTAGGGTCGCAACAACAAAAATATTTATGCTATTCACTGAAACTGTGTGGCAGTGATCTGATATTGTTATAAGGAGGGAGGTATCACTTGTCAAACATAAGCATTCAAATCATATACCACTGCATGCATTTAACTTAAAAATATCTGCAGGAAAAGAGAATTTTGAGAAAAACTGACAAACATACTCTTTGAATGACCTTCACCATGATCTTGACCTCAGATGTAGATCACTCATGACCTTTTATAACCATATGTACCAAGTTTAATTGAACTACAATAAATGCTTTTCCAGTTCTAAAGAAATTGCAAGCTATGACCTTGACCTTTGACCCGACTGATCATTACCTAAAAATAATTCCCAAGGGTAATAAAAGAATATATGTGATATGATATCCCAGAGATGTACAAGTGGAACATGGTTTCAAAAGCAAAGAGTGACAGTGCTGACGGACAATTTCTGACAAAACCTTAACGCATCCCCATTTACATGGGGCTTTATAATATTTACAAATGCTTACTAACATGTAGACAAAGACCTACAAACATTAAAGTAACATTACGAAAATAGAATTATAATGGAGTGATTATGTTACAGTTGTTATTGGCAATATTTCAGTCATATCATGGCTTTGGAAACCAAGAATGAGCTTCACACATTGTACACATGTGGAGAATAGCACCCGGAGCGTCAGTGAACATTTTTATCATTAGGCTTCCGCTGTGTCCAAAATAAAATGATCAGCATGACAAGAAACCTTAACATAAATACAGCTTCTCTTGAACATTAACAGGGTTCCGAAAATGATAGCCTCAGGTTTTTTAATTCACTGGAACTGAAGTTTACGTTTCTATTGACATTTTAATGAACAAGCTACTGAACTTACTCATGTGCTCAGCACACAGCTCCACACATTCTTCTTGTGTGTCAAACTTGTTCTCATTTCCACGGCAACCTCCATAGGTAAATGCCTGACATTTCTGCATGGAGGCGTTGTAGAACCACCTGATGAACATGCCCCGGCAGGGACCAGTATCAGCATCCTCGTTGCAGATGACTGAAAGAAGGGCAGGAGTTACAAGTGTTATTGTAGCATTCGTGTCATAATCTGACAACCTGTCACAGATGCAGGGTCCGAACCTATGCCTTAAAGACAAGGGTTTCTTGTCATACCATATTAAAGGGACAGCACTATTGATAGACATAATGTAATAAACAAAATACTGCATTTACGTTTCTATTTGTTTTATCTAAACTACACCTTGCTGAAAGTGGTTAGTGGTTATCCACTAAGAAAACGTTCACAATTTTATAACATAATCTGAGCTACTCAAATTCAAAAAACTATCGCAATACTACTGCAACACTTGTAACGCCAGTCGAACCTCCTTGTGTTGAAGTCGTGTTGACATGGAAAAAGTTTGAGTTATCAGGGTTCACAACTTCAGGTGAATTTTATGCTTAATTTGTACACATTGGTCTCTCAGATGAGTTTGAGACAACAAGAATTGAACACACCCAAGTTTGACACAACGAGGTTTGACTGTATATAGTAAAAGTACTGCATGTTATTTTTAACAACAGTAATACTTTTGCAATACTTGTAACCATATAGTGATAGTACCTCAATAGTTGTGACTATAAAGTAACGGTACTGCAATATCATTTTTAACAACCTGACTACCATTGCCATAGTACACTAGTCATCCTTACTCACCCGTGTAGTTCTTCATCTTGGCTGCCATGTCACAGTCGGGGATGATGCCTCTACAAAGATCCTTCTCCTGAAGATGTACACCGCAATCATCTGTCTTCTGGGACTTCCTCAGGAACATCCTCCACCTCTCCTTCATCCCCAGGCCGCAGGTCCGGCTGCACGGTGACCAGTCGGACCACGGCGTCACGGCGCACATGTCGCTGGGATCAACCTCCTTGGCATGCCGGAACTTGAAGCTCTGCATCTTGCGGCGCTTGGCGTTGCAGCCCGAGTTTCCAACACACGTCTCCTTCTCCATCATCTCCACATTGCACATGGACTGGGTGATGCCAGGGTTCTTGAACATCCGGCGGCGCTGACGCATGCCGTTCCCACATGGGTTGGAGCAGTCTCCCCATTCATTCCACTGACTGGTAGCACATTTCTCCATTTCTATAAAACAGTTGACAAAAAATTGTATTCAGAAACCTGAATGAATGTACTTATTTCAAACAATTCTGACTCCTACAACAAAGCCTGCTAAACAATTTGATGCTAAGTTCCAAATCTTAACTTCTATTGTTTCCTCAGTACTGTTTTTAATGGGCCCACTGGCACAAAGCGATCTAAGTGCTAAGATGATCGTAACTCCCATACTTTAACATAGGATTACAATAGTCGTAGCACTAAGATTGCTTTGAGCAAGTGGGCCCTGGTCATCAGTACAATCTCACCTATGGGACATAAATCTCCCTTCTAAAGTGTCAGTTTTATGAGAAATTATCTCTTCATTTAAACCTTACAATCAATATGCCCTACTCTCATCCTCTATGCCAACGTTCATCCACTATGCCCAACTCAAAGTCTCTATGGATGACTCCGATCTTCTATGCCAACTCTCATCCACTATTCCAGACTGTAACCCAGTGTGTTTGGCTCTGACCCCTGATGCCCAACTGTGCCCCTGGATGTACCCAGCTGTGCCCCCGGATGTACCCAGCTGTGTCCCTGGATGTACCCAGCTGTTCCCCTGGATGTACCCAGCTGTGCCCCTGGATGTACCCAGCTGTGCCCCTGGATGTACCCAGCTGTGTCCCTGGATGTACCCAGCTGTGCCCCTGGATGTACCCAACTGAGCCCCTGGATGTACCCAGCTGAGCCCCTGGATGTACCAAGCTGTGCCCCTGGATGTACCCAGCTGTGCCCCTGGATGTACCCAGCTGTGCCCCTGGATGTACCCAGCTGTGCCCCTGGATGTACCCAGCTGTGCCCCTGGATGTACCCAACTGAGCCCCTGGATGTACCCAGCTGTGCCCCTGGATGTACCCAGCTGTGCCCCTGGATGTACCCAGCTGTGCCCCTGGATGTACCCAGCTGTGCCCCTGGATGTACCCAGCTGTGCCCCTGGATGTACCCAACTGAGCCCCTGGATGTACCCAGCTGTGCCCCTGGATGTACCCAGCTGTGCCCCTGGATGTACCCAGCTGTGCCCCTGGATGTACCCAGCTGAGCCCCCGGATGTACCCAGCTGTGCCCCCGGATGTACCCAGCTGTTCCCCCGGATGTACCCAGCTGTGCCCCTGGATGTACCCAACTGTGCCCCTGGATGTACCTAGCTGTTCCCCTGGATGTACCCAGCTATGTCCCTGGATGTACCCAACTGTGACCCTCTCTGTCCACTTACGTTGCTTCTTCTGCATCATCATCTTTTTCTTCATCTCGCTGACCAGTTCATCGGTGCTGGGTGACTTTTCTGCAGAGTTTGCCTCACCATGATCACTTGAGCATGCCTCATAAGTTTTCTTCAGAATCAACCTTCCCATCGGTTTGATTGGCTGAGACCCAAAGAATGGTGAAGCTCGATTTCTGATGATAGAGTTGGTGATGGCATGGATAGACTCCCTTGGGTAGGTATTTTCATTTGGAGACTGAAATAGACATGTTTCACTTAGAATTGATCAGAATCGGTGGTATACTTTACCCAATTATTTACAGGCCACCTAGATATACTGTATTCGACATAATAAGCGCCCTGGGCGCTCTCAAAATTAGAAATAGGGGGCTCTTATTAAAATATTATTTTGTTGAAAAAAAACAGAGTTGAAAGATAAATTTTGTGGTTTATGCCGACAGCCTGAAATATTTATATACGAGAGATATATTTTTCCAGAATTTAATTGCCCATAATTAAGGGTACATATAACACACGAGTGCGTACCGGTATTATACGCGAATAAATAAGTATTGTGTAAATTGATCAATCGGAAAGGGTGCTAATTGGGATTGTTCACAAGCCAATATATTAGCAAATATCGCCGTGGGCACTTATTAGAGTGGGGCGCTTATTACGTCGAATACGGTAATTGTCAACTGACAGTCCAAGCAAGATGGATTAAAGTCAATCAAATAAAAGCGACAAAACCCTTTCCCTATTCATAAGAAATCTCGATTTTACAACTCCAACTAAATCATACAAAATGTTATAATGTATATCATTGTCTACACAGAGCCAATGCCTCAGTTTCGCATACTACACATACCACAATGTCAAGACATCAACTGTAAATCGGCCTGGGACGAGAGAGAGCAGAGTTCCTCTTAAAGGGGCTCTCTGCTTAGCTGTCAGTACACCATGTTCACATGATCAATGGAAGTTGGTCTTACTATAAACTGCATTTCATTGGTTGATATTTGCATAAGATTTATGATGCAGTTATCCCAAAATAATTCCTTTGAGCCCCCATTGAATGACATTTGAAAAAACTTTACTGAGGTTGCTGAACCTAAGCCATCTCACATTTTCAATAAAAATAGGGCTGTTTTTTTCTTGAAAAAAATATCCTACGCTTTTTTTCACTGTCTTAAAAACACATGCAGTTACCAAACACCAATAATTGAATTTAAAAATACATATATATCATATCCTTAAACCATAACTCAGACTTAAAAACTAATTTGTTTCTAAAAATAGAACAATTCATAATGAAACCTTCAAAGATATTTCACGTCTCAACTAATTTCTATTTGACTTATTGACAAAAAGTTATTTTCTCCGGAAGTCTGTGGTTACAATAAATTAACCATTATGTCATTCTGCATATATTTGTGGTATGTTCTGTCTGGTGCCGTGTGTGTCTGACTCCACAGCGACCTCCCTACATCATAAAGCTGTTTTCGGCTCCACTCTCATCAGATCGTACACAGATAGCGAAACAGGAGCTTGTCAGAGCCCATTCACAAGTCACAGGTAGAATTGCCAGTCTAGACACCAAAGCAATTTATTTCTTTACTTAAAACAAGGAGAGCAGCTGAATTGCTTCAGGAATCATTAAAGAACAGGCATTCTTAAACACACATGTGTTGAGGCAGATTGAGAACAATGAGGTCATGGACACACTGACAAGGAATCCGGGAGGTCGAAAATTGTGATTCCTTAATTTGTAAACCAATTCTATTATATTGATCTGAATAATACATGACAGGCTGCATTGACACTTATTGTTTGGCAAACTGGGAACATTCAGCATTTAGAATGTCAAGTCTTTTATTCAGTCACTTTTTTGAAGACACAAATCATATGGGCATAAGCCAAAGTTTGAAGTCACAAATCATATGGGCATAAGCCAAAGTTTGAAGTCACAAATCATATGGGCATAAGCCAAAGTTTGAAGTCACAAATCATATGGGCCTAAATCAAGGTTTGAAGTCACCAATCATATGGGCATAAGCCAAAGTTTGAAGTCACAAATCATATGGGCATAAGTCAAAGTTTGAAGTAAAAAATCATATGAGGCATAAGTCAAGGTTTGAAGTCACAAATCATATGGGCCTAAGTCAAGGTTTGAAGTCACAAATCATATGGGCCTAAGTCAAGGTTTGAAGTCACAAATCATATGGGCCTAAGTCAAGGTTTGAAGACACAAATCATATGAGGCATAAGCCAAAGTTTGAAGTCACAAATCATATGGGCCTAAGTCAAGGTTTGAAGTCACAAATCATATAAGGCATAAGCCAAAGTTTGAAGTCACAAATCATATGGGCATAAGCCAAAGTTTGAAGTCACAAATCATATGGGCCTAAGGCAAGGTTTGAAGTAAAAAATCATATGAGGCATAAGTCAAGGTTTGAAGTCACAAATCATATGGGCCTAAGTCAAGGTTTGAATTAAAAAATCATATGAGGCATAAGTCAAGGTTTGAAGTCACAAATCATATAAGGCATAAGCCAAGGTTTGAAGTCACAAATCATATGGGCATAAGCCAAGGTGTGAAGACAGACAATGGTCAAGTCAGTCTGTAGATCTGGTATTAAGTCATACATATCCCTCTGTCTTCTATCATATAAACAAGCATTCAACTCAAGGAATAGTCAGAATGAAGAAGACTTCTTTTCTATCTCAACTTTTCATTTCTTTATTATCAGCACTTCAGTGTATTTTTTCCCTCCAATTCGCATACCTCGTATGACACCCCGCTGTCAGTACCAGCGTCCCAGGGGTACAGGTCAATCTCCTGGGTGTCGGCCCAGGTACAGTTCTTCTGGCACATGTCAAGGGCACTAATTCCTGCAAAATAAAAACAGTATCACTACAGTGTCACAGACAACCAATCCATGCAAGTCAGCAGGATGGACAGAATGGATCGACTTGATTTGATTGATAGATGGGACATATTTGATTAAAAGATTAAGTCAACATGACGCCTTTCTCTGTCTAATCCTGAGTCTGGACTGGGCCCATTCACCGCAAGGCAGTATATATAGTGTTAATTTTGTATGACTCTCTTCTCAAGAAAGGGTCTCAACGTGGTGGGAAGAGATAGTTACCGGTATTTGGGCTACCTTTAACATTCAGTAGAGCTACCAGAAAATTGTTGTACTGAATTCTACAGGTGCCTTAGAGTGCCTTTTTATTTCAAACATTTTTACTCAAACATTGTAATAAAAAAATACTTTTGCAAAAAGGTGTACATTTGTAAATATAGTTTCTCCGTGTTTGATTAAATAGGGTTGTTGGATTCATGATCAAAAGGATAAAAACTATGACCTTACCTAAACACCAGTCGGGACTGGGCCCAATCATGGTGAGGAGAGAAAGAAGATGCTTCTTGGAGTTGACGGTGAAGACCGCGTCCACGGAGTCGAGGATCCGGTCGGGCCCCCACAGGGAGTCTGTCTTCACCACAGTCCGGATCTTCTTGCTCTGTGAGACAAGCAGGCACTTCCATTACAAGCCTGTACTTCAATAACTTGTTGTACAGGTCATTACCATAGTGTTTTAAACTGAGTTTTACTTTAACATTGGCCCATCAATTTGCTATGCACACTTGTTCGTTAGGTGTACGAGCATCTAGGGATGGGACGAGTCCAAATTTATTACCCGGGTACCCAACCCCCTATAACCCGACCCTACCATGCCTACCCGGGTACCCACTGGAGGTCTCAAGAGAGAGGTAAAACATGTCCGATTGGGAATAGTTTAACCATACTCCTGTCAAAATGAATTTAGATACACGTATAAACCGGTCTGGTCATGCATACACTGAAGTTGACTGATGTTTTATCATCATGCAAACATAAAAAGTCAGAAGGAATGTGTGCAAAGTCAGAAAGAAATGTGAACATTTATCACTTATAGTGTTACCATAGAGTTCAAGATAATTTTTGCCATTAAACAATATAATCAAGTGACTAACCACGGGTCCGGGTAGTCCTGTGGGTACCCGGGTCCTACTCAGCACCCACCCGACCTGGGTACCCGAGTTACCCAGCCAAGCCCTACAAGAATCATATGATCATGGGTTCGAATCCCAGATTTTCCCTGATTGTGTTTCTCGGTTTGTTAGTACCAGGCCCATGGTTGTGAGTTTCAACACAGTGGTAAACCACTTTCCTCTCTCAGCAAGCTGACATGCCGTGATATAACTGAAATACTGGTCAAAGCAGCATTAAACCAAACTCACTCACTGCTAGAAGTTATAGGAATGCTGTTGTTATTATTATTATTATTTATGATAATTTAACAAGAATTGTTTTTCTGTACGATATGTTTATTTCAGAGACTAGACGCCACTCTTCTCTACTGATACCTTTCTCAAACACACCAGACTTTCATACAAGTACGGTATCTTTATTTAGTAACAAAATGATAGAAATATTGCATTAAGAGTACAGCTGCTATCTCAGATGATAAAATGTAACTTATAAACATGACAAAACATGTATTTGATGCTCTATCTTTGTTACTAAGAAACAGATCAGTCATGTGATATCTGTTTATCCTAAGATAGACCGAATCTTTATCATAAAACAGGAATATTGCACTTACGAAACATGCAATCCAAACATATAAATAAAGGCTGCATTCCACCCGATCCAAATAGATCTGACATTTAACATCCAACACACACAAGGACCAAAAACAGAAAAAACAAACAAACAGAAATCCTTCTCCTTTGAATTACACTTCCTGTGAGGTGACATCCAGGGCAAGAGGAGGAGGACTATAAAACTAAACTCCGGCCTAGATGCTGCTACCAGACAAGGTCGAGAATCCCATTTCACTGCCATAGTCTTTATCTTGAAATATATGTCTCATTGGTGGTGTAAATATGTAATATTAGTGTTTAACATGACAGTTTCAGACTGGTGATGGAGAAACGTATCTCCTTGGAGATTATGACACTGAGTCGGAGATAAGATGTCTAGAGTTACACGTTTGAAAGCTTCATTCAACCAGCCATGCTTTCTTTACATTGTCTCTGTTTTTCAAGTTTCTCATTTCTTTTTAATGGTATTTTGACACAAGCAATTATTTATTTACAATTACTCCTAATTAAGTTGAAGCATATCAACCAGCTATCACTTATCATGATTTAAAGTGTAAAGTTTCAACTTCAGCTGTTCAGATAATTATTGCCTAAGGTCAAAAGTTGATGCTTTAGTCTAAATTGGTAGTACTCTACTATTGAAAGGGAATTTAGGAGGCGTTTTCATGTTAACTAACAGCCTACATATTTTGTATGCATTACAAATTGGAAAGGTGATAGCCATTTATCTAAATTGTCAGAGCTGCTTCTTTCTGCCACTTGCCAAATCATAGTGAGTGAGTGAGAGAGTGAGTGAGTGAGTGAGTGAGTGAGTGAGTGAGTGAGTGAGTGAGTGAGTGAGTGAGTGAAGCCTCAGACAGCTTCCACTTCGGTGAAGCCCATGATCGCTGATAAGGTTAATGATAAACCTAGAAACATAATCAGGGTGAATTGGGATCAGAACCCACGATCACAGGTTGCTGGCTTGCCCAAAAGATACAACTCTGCATAACAAACGCTAGCTGCTGCGACTTAGATGACTGGGCCGCCTGTGCCCCCATGAATCATTATAATGTCTTTATTGGATGATATACAATAAGGCAAAGAGTGACTGCTTATTAAAATGGAATGTAGAAGATAAACATTACATTTGTGGGTGTTATTGAGTTATATAAGATATAAGTATTATAGAACATTGTTCTATCATGATGTAATTTCTGGAGATTTGAACATGCGCTCGCAACGTGATGACATTGTAAGTTGGACAACATTAGTTTTAGTGAGTTGTTCCCCATAGATGTAGCTGGGCAACGTAGATAAACCCAACCACCAAAAGTGGGAGAAATATGACAATAGGTATTGGCAGAACAGGTTCAGATTATCAATGTGAACTTATGAGAATATCCAGGAACTACCAAACTTAAATCCCCTGTTCATAAAATGGACTTGTCCAACATTACCGTGATCAGATTTTTATCACAGAGTCATCATTATTACAGGTAGGTTGTCCAGAGGTTTCATTTGCAACCAACTGTATTAGCTGGAGGTATCAAATATTAACAATTTCCAGGCATCAAATACTCAATAACATCTACAAATTGGAACGCACATAATGTTTATGAACATTATAAAAAACAAAAGTTATCAGTAATTTTTTGGAGCATTCTCTCTGTACATGAACTCTCTCAGTTGTGAAAAAGACATGATGTCACTCTCGAATGCTATGATGTCCCATTGGAATATGACACAATGGATGACATCACATCACATGATCTCGTGATAACTGAACTGTTCAGGTTTGCAGAATATTGAAAAAAAAACCTGATAAATATTGATCACACTTATATTTCAATTAGTGTGCAATCCATTTCGCCAAGCCAAATGGCTTGTTCTTCAAATTTGGAATTGATAAAAAAAACAACTTAATAATACAAAGTATTAATAAACGAAGAAAAGTTCAAAAGATTTCTAGGCTTTGAATCCCATTTAGAAATGTTTTTCAAGCAATCAGACAGCAGCACACCCTCCTATTTGTTGAACAATCTAGATTTATGTTATTTCAGAGCTTTCCTTGTGATGGACACTGTCTTGTGATATATAAGATGGAAATATGGAATGCTCAATCAGCCAAGAATAAGATTACGTGTTTGATAAATGTCTGCAAAACATACAAAATATCAAAGAAATACATTGCCGAACTGGATGGATATCTGTTGAAAATAGTTTCTTTATGGGTCACAAGAAGTCAAATGCGGTCAATATTTGGACAGTACAAAATCATAAATTCATATTCCTTCAATGTAAACACATTCATTGTATATCTTTACCTATCTAAATATCATTATACACAGATGTTTGGTTAAAGAAAAGATGAAAGTATCTTTTCCCATGAATGTTTCTTGTGAATGATCTTTATGTTTTAAGATCAAAATCTGGACAACTAACCATCCACAGAAAATATTTGTGCAAGGATTTCATGCTTTTTGTGACACAAAGACTGAAACGCTGAAGAGTCTGATACATAAACTGTACTGTATATGCTTGCTATCTATCATCACAACATGGGAGTGTTCACTATAGTTGATTATTCCATACCTGTAAGTACCTGTTACAATGGCCTGACCCTAATTACTGCACACAGCACCTAGTGACATTTCCCTTCAGAATGCAGGACCAAGATGAAACATTTAGAGTTATCTCCCCTTGCTCCCATGACCTTTGTGACCCTTCCACACCCTCATTTGACAAGTCTCACCTCATACACGGCTCCTTGTCCATATTAATCAAACTGTGTGCATACTTGTAAGATCTGGGCAAAAAGTCACAGCTGACATTCGTGGAACATGCCACCATCGCTGACAATCAGCAGAGTTGAGAGGGATGCATATTTGTAATTCTGTTCAACACTGGTATGAGAATGCTTGTAATTGCAAGAGGGCACCTCCAGTGTTGCTTTGTAGTCAATATTGACACAATGTAGCCATTCGTCCCTCCTTCCTAATTACCCCGGGAACCCCCTGCCACGTGTAAACATCATATTGCTTTCTTCTTAGCTAAATAGCAAAACTATTCGCCTATCAACACGTCCACAACTGTTTTACCTTCGCACCAGTCATCATTACTTTATTGAGGTTGACCTGATATTGACTTGACCTGCACCAAGTTTTTGTTGAGAAAAGTTGCCACGTATTCCAAAGTACTGTCTTAACCCAGCAGTCACATCTTATAAGCTTTGTAGAATTTGTTGCAGAGTTGCGTCCCTTGTGTTCGCCGGAAACCTATGATTGTGGGTTCGAATCCCGGTTCACCCCAATTATGTTTCTAAGTTTGTCAGCACCATACCCATGCTCGTGGGTTTCACCGAAGTGGTAAACGTCTGAGACCTGCATCACTTTGGGCTTTCCTCCCACATTAAGCTGACACGCCGCAAGATAACTGGAATACTGTTAAAAGCGGCGTTTAACCCAAATCACTCACCCACTCACTGTAGAATTTGTATAGTGCAATATGCGTACCTGGGAAGCTTTGAAATGAATTATAAAGTTCTTCCATAAATTCCTGAATACTACTTCAGACACAATTCCATCTAAGAGTCACTGTCATGGGTTTTCATACTTGATAATTCACTGAAAGATCTGTAGGCATTTGCTATTAAAATTATAAATAATACTTGATAACTGCTTAGTGTGTAGGCACCACAAAACTCTATCCTAATATGGACGAATTGGGTGTCCTTTAACTTCTTTTGAGAAGTACACTTTGACTAATCCCGTTATTGGTCAGCAAAAATGTTTTAACTATAACTATGTTGTTTGTTGTTGTTTAAATCCGCACTTAGCAATATTCCAGCAATGTGACGGCGGTCTGTAATACTGAATGTTGTATTGTAGTTAGAACCCACAGCCTTTTGTAAGGCCGCACCACCTGCATGGCTGTCGTTCAACCAAGTGTGAACCTGACATCAACTTTCTCCCAGTCATGTCACTAGATGGTAGTGACGCATGAGAGCTAGCTGCACGAGCAACTCCACACAATCAAGTCCTCAATAGCTAGAGTTATCCATTCTTGCTGCTACCTACCCATGAAATCAGGAGATATAGACAAGGGCATTATTACATGGCTGGTTAGTTTGCACCCAGTTAAAATAACATTTAGTATGTTCTTAAGAGACACAATGTCCATCATTTTTATACCGTTTTAAGTATGCTGATGCAGACAATACTCACATTTCTCTTCATGTCTTCTGTAAGGGAGCGGGAAGAGCCATATTCACAGACCTCTCGCACAGCTTCGGAGGCCATACCGCCGTAGTCCCAGATGCGATAGTCGTTACTGTGGGAGGCACCCACAATGTTGGACCAATGCAGAAGAAATGAACCTGTAATGTAGTAGAGTTATGTCCCTTAGATGAATGTAGTAGAGTTATGTCCCTTAGAGGAATGTAGTAGAGTCATGGCCCTAAGACGAATGTAGTAGAGTCATGGCCCTAAGAGGAATGTAGTAGAGTTATGTCCCTTAGATGAATGTAGTAGAGTTGTGGCCCTTAGAGGAATGTGGTGGAGTCATGGCCCTAAGACGAATGTAGTAGAGTCATGGCCCTAAGAGGAATGTAGTAGAGTCATGGCCCTTAGATGAATGTAGTAGAGTTATGTCCCTTAGATGAATGTAGTAGAGTTGTGGCCCTTAGAGGAATGTAGTAGAGTCATGGCCCTAAGACGAATGTAGTAGAGTCATGGCCCTAAGAGGAATGTAGTAGAGTCATGGCCATTAGAGTAATGTAGTAGAGTTATGTCCCTTAGAGGAATGTAGTAGAGTTATGTCCCTTAGAGGAATGTAGTAGAGTCATGGCCCTTAGAGGAATGTAGTAGAGTCATGGCCCTAAGAGTAATGTAGTAGAGTTATGTCCCTTAGAGGAATGTAGTAGAGTTATGTCCCTTAGAGGAATGTAGTAGAGTCATGGCCCTAAGACGAATGTAGTAGTCATGGCCCTAAGAGGAATGTAGTAGAGTTATGTCCCTTAGATGAATGTAGTAGAGTTGTGGCCCTTAGAGGAATGTGGTGGAGTCATGGCCCTAAGACGAATGTAGTAGAGTCATGGCCCTAAGACGAATGTAGTAGAGTCATGGCCCTAAGAGGAATGTAGTAGAGTCATGGCCCTTAGATGAATGTAGTAGAGTTATGTCCCTTAGATGAATGTAGTAGAGTTGTGGCCCTTAGAGGAATGTAGTAGAGTCATGGCCCTAAGACGAATGTAGTAGAGTCATGGCCCTAAGAGGAATGTAGTAGAGTCATGGCCATTAGAGTAATGTAGTAGAGTTATGTCCCTTAGAGGAATGTAGTAGAGTTATGTCCCTTAGAGGAATGTAGTAGAGTCATGGCCCTTAGAGGAATGTAGTAGAGTTATGTCCCTTAGAGGAATGTAGTAGAGTCAGGGCCCTAAGAGTAATGTAGTAGAGTTATGTCCCTTAGATGAATGTAGTAGAGTCATGGCCCTTAGAGGAATGTAGTAGAGTTATGGCCCTTAGAGGAATGTAGTAGAGTTATGTCCCTTAGAGGAATGTAGTAGAGTCATTGCCCTAAGACGAATGTAGTAGAGTCATGGCCCTTAGAGTAATGTAGTAGAGTTATGTCCCTTAGAGGAATGTAGTACAGTCAGGGCCCTTAGAGGAATGTAGTAGAGTTGTGGCCCTTAGAGGAATGTAGTAGAGTTATGTCCCTTAGAGGAATGTAGTAGAGTTGTGGCCCTTACAGGAATGAAACCAGCCTAACATAAATGAATTTAAAGAGGTTGCATACAAAAAACAAAAAATTAAAGAAATGGGTATATTTGGTATCATTTTGTTGGAAAATATGTCCTGAATCAAATTACGCAATAAAAAAACCAAGTCACCACAGCATTTTTTGACTAAGTGGCGCCATCTAGAGGCACCGGATGATAAAATCATTTTGCCAATAAAATGGTCATTTTAAAGTTTGATCATTAAATGAGTGCTTTTAAATAGACATATTACAGTATTGATATGACACAAAACAGAAAAATGAAAATTCAAGTCAAAACATTTTTAATTTCACATATCATTTGACTTTAAAAAAAAGCACATTTTCCAAAAAAATTGATTCATCAGTCAAAAAAGCATTTTTTCAAAATATAACCGCTGAACGAAACAATTAATCTTAACAAAGCGACGTTATTTGAATACTACTAATGATCAATGTTGTATGTATTTACACAAGATCTCCTGCTGACATTCATACAAACCACATTAACAGTGCTATTTTCCATCTACATATTTAAATGGCTTAAATTAATTTCACGTTTTTTAAAATGACCTTTAAATTTCATTGTCGGAATATTTGCCGACTTTTAATGATTGACTCCAACAAAACTTACTGTCTCCGGTTGGGAAGTTTTTGGGATGCGTATGACGTGACCACAGCCCTTTGAATGTGATGACATACTTGGCGTGCCCACAGGCGCAACATTCCTCCTTCTGTTGCAGCGGGGACGGAGCGTTCTCCGGAACATTGGCCACAGAATCCTGCTGGGTCACTGAAAATAACAGAAGCATTCTTTCTGAATACGACAAGCATGGGTACAGAGAACATATTCTGCCCAGGAAGACCCAATAGTCATATTAAACTAGAAGCTCAAAGTCGGAGACCATCCTTGGGGGGGGGGGAGATAGGATTATTTTGAACAAATAATTTGTTTCCTGAAAATATAGAAAAAATACTTTTTGCCTGAGGTTTTAATTTATTATTTAAAATATTCACTTGATATGCTGTATGTCCTAAAGAGAATATTGTTTGGCGCCACCTTTCAGAGAAAGAAAAACTGTATGTCTGCATGCAGTGACCGAAACTTTGTTGTGTCTTTAAAAAATAAAACCTTTCACCTGTGTACCCTACACATAGATTCATCCTGCTGTAAATACTGTCAAGTCAGCAGTAAGTTCATGACTGACAGGAATTAATTATGTAAACTTTATCGAAAATCTTCATTTTGAGTGTTTTTAAACAACTGCCACAACTAGCTCAGGCCACACACAGCTGAATGTAAACACACTCCCGACTGCCAGAAACATGTTACTGCCAACTTGTGAAAGTCAAACAAATAAATAATCATTTGTCCCAAATTGATTTAATTGACAAGTGTACATGTTAACCAAACCAAGCATTTTCCTTTTTCTCAGTTCCTTCACAGACAGATTTCAGCTCAAAGACTTATTTCTTACATGAACATGGTCGCCAGATTGAAACAACATGTCATCCAATATCTGCTTCCTATCTCGCCAGCTTCACTGGATGTCTCCCTGTAACCAGGTGCAGATTCCCAGATAATCACTCAACTCGACAATCATCCAATCAGCAACATCGGTAATACCTCTATTCTACGTCTGCCACCATTGCTTTATGCGAATGCACCCAAATTTATGTTTGCGGGCTATATCAGATATCCTGTAGAAAACATGATAGTTTCCCTCCAACACATTCAGATAATCTACAGTGCAGATGATACTTTCCTAAATCTGAATGCTATCTCCATTATCTGCAGTCACTAAACCTGAAAAGGAGCAGAGTTATTTAGATGAGTGATTCTAATCCCCTCATTGTTATATTCAAGATTGACTTTCATTGAGGCCCTGTTTAGGAGCATCAAAGGTAACAGTGAAGATCCTCTATGATTAGGTATATACAGACTACCTTATCAGTCCCTCATCCTTTGGGAAGCATATTAGGTGCACTACACAACAAGTGCATTTGGGTAGCAAAAACGTGACCTCATCACAAAAACTGGTACTTTCAAACAAGTCTTAGATTTAATGTTTGATAAAGTACGTTGAGGTTCATTTCAGGTATGGCAATAAAGAGCTTTAAAGATAATCCTTAGATACTTAGCAAAAAACATTTCACATCAAGCAGGTTATATTCAAACCAACTTTGGTCAAACAATTGTTGTAGATAAGTTTGATTTATCATATTCTAACATCATGCGGTTCTGCCAACACCCTTCTCCTTCATTACAAATACATTTCATTGGGAAAGATGGTTCGGATACCAATATGTTGTGAGGTGAGGTGAGGTGAAATTGGGTTTAACGTCGTGTCCAAGATTATTGCACTTAAATAGTGACGTGCATGCACGTGTGTGTGCGGGGCTGCTTGTACTAGTGCGGACTGATGCCGATTTATATTGCTAGCTCACTGAGATACCATGCCACAGTTTAACATGAATACCCCACTCAGACACAGTATACCGACTCAGAGCCAACCAGTCCTTGTTTTAGCCCCTTAATGCCGAGCGCCAGACAGGGTAACAACAAGTACCATCTTTTAACGTCTTTTGGAATGACGCGGCTGGGGAGCAAAACCCCGGACCTTCCGCTCTCCATGGAGGCGGTCCAATATGTTGTGAAAAAGATGCCAAAACATGTTCAGCATGTTTCATACAGCTATCACAGGCTCTGATAGAAGAGTTCCATACAATGGTGTTCTCAAGTAGAATGTGGAAAAATGACTTTGGAAACCATCATGGGTGGTAACTGAACTCTATTACAACTTTCTGCCCTTCTACACAAGTAAATACCACAGCTCATTAAAACCCTATCACTTATCAGTTCCGGAGATTTTCACTGGGTAACCTTCTAAAAATTAATCCACCATTCGGGGAAGAAACATGGTGGCTCATGTTTCTTTTCATTCACTCCAGGAGCTGCTATTTCCAACTTGAGAGAGGACAAAGCAATATACACTGACTGATATGGCCAGTGATGTCTCCCTGTAGTTTTTGTAGCTCACACTCAGAAATACCTGTTGAACTGATCGCTTTCTCTTCCTGGCACAAAAGCTTTCCCTCCACAAAACAGTACCGATACTTTCTCATCACCAAAACCATTCTTTTTTCGTCCTGTCTTAATTGCCTCTCTTCCCTAACTTAATTACTCTCTCTACTTACCAAAATGTCTTTCTATTTCTCCTGTGATAGTTCAATTTCAGTCACCTTCCTTCTTCTCCAATTGATTTAATTCCTATCTCTTCTTAACATAATTGGGGGCACGGGTGGCCCAGTCATCTAAAGTGCTCTGATTCGCTGTGCGGAGTTGCACCCCTTGGGCACGCCAGAAACCTATGATTGTGGGTTCGATTCCCGGTTCGCCCCGATTATGTTTCTAGGTTTGTCAGGTGGGTTTCACCAAAGTGCTAAACGTCTAAGACCTGCATCAGTTTGGGCTTGCCTCCCACATTAAGCTGACACGCCGTGATATAACTGGAATACTGTTAAAATCGGCGTTAAACCCAACTCCCTCACTCATAACATAATTCCCTTCTCTTTTGTGATATTTGTATTTTTCTTCTAAGATACCCTGGTCGCATGATACATAAAGATGTTAAAAGATAGTACTTGTTGTAACCTGCCTGGCACTTGGCATTAATATACTCTGTCTTAGTGGTGTATTCATGGTAAACTGTGGCATGGTATCTCAGTGGGCTAGTGCTAAAGTCTGGACTAATACAAGCAGACACACACCCATGCACATTGCTATACAAGTGAAATAATCCTGAACACAACATTCCACCCCATTCCACCTCACCTCACTAAGACCTTACTCTTAACTCTCTACAAATACAGTCCTTCCCTAATCCTAATTTTGAACAAATGCAAACAAAACACAATTGTCTGGGAAAATTGCAGCGAAAGCATGTTCTCTACAATGTCAAACTTCTATCTTGTGTGTTGGCTGACGTGGGGTGTTAAAAACCTGGCTCCACTGAGGAACTTCACAGCCGAAATTCCATATGTCAACCTGTAGATCATTTTAACTACAGCTGTTTAAATTGTTTGTAGGCAACGTCTACTCCAACACACCATATTTATTTACACTGCTATATTGATTTCAGGAAATTACATAGATATGTCTCTCTCTGCCAGATAGTTTAAACAACATACCAAAACAGCAAGGAGCAACTATCACTAGTTTAAATGTTTACACAATTTCCGAGATGTTGAAAACCATTTAAACTGAAGCCAACACCTAAATACATATCCCCTGACTCATGCACAGATTCCCAAAAAATAGTCCGTCTTAAGAAACTAATTTCTAACCAATGACATGCAATTATAACCGGTATGACTTCAAACTTTAGAGATCATGATGAGGATCAGTAGGTGGAGATTTTCCCACAGTATGCAGTAAAGCATGAAGCAAGTATTAAACACAGACCTGCAGAGTACAAGACCTAGAGGTTGTGACTACAACCAATACAGGTAATATAACAAATATTTGCATAAATTCTTTAGACCCCATATAACTCACCTTCTACCTTACATTGTCCAGTTAACAAATATCCCCAGGATTTATCTGTTTTTATCAGGTACTCAGGCAACAGGTAAGCATCCGCCCTAACATTTTTGAAAATATTAACTCTCCAAGGGAGACAATCATTTTTGGTTTAATTGTAAGCATCATTACCAGATTTCCTGTAAAGGGTCTGGGGTTTATCACAAGAGAACTGAAATAGTCCAGCAGCATGGTTCAGCATGGCAATAGACTGCATAGCCTCGCATCTCTTGCCGATCAACGGTTGGCATTATTAACCCAGCAGGTTGAGGACGAGCTATGAAGCCACTGAGTGATCTAAGTGTTTATCATATACCCGTGTGGTACGGCTATATAACGCCCTATGATCCGTCACAGATAAAGCACACTTACCTGCTCAGCAAGATATGAATAAACAGATTTTTCCTTGCCAAGTACAGTGTTTTCAGTTTCCATACCCCACAAAGCAAAGATGACATGTTTATTTCAAGAGCATAGGAAGATGGGATCTCGACAAACCAGCCTTTGACAGGAAGCAACAAATTACATGATTGCGTCTTACACAGCTTGGGGCTGATTGAAACACGTTGATGCAAAAAAATGCTTTTGGTAGTATTTCAGAGTTCTGCTGCATTCCCACAAAATGCTAATATGAAGTGATGTTGGTTTGCCTGTATCATGGCGAGATATTGTACAGAAATCGTTTGTCAGTTCATGTAGATTAGGAATCTATTGACAGTGAAATACACAGGCTTACTCCCACTGAGAGAGGCAAGGTGGGAACATGCTTTACAAACAGAATTCGGGTGTGATAACATCTTATAAATGTCTACAATTTCAATGCAAATATGATTACCCTGAGTGCCTTATTGAATATCTGATTAAATAGATATGCTAAAAGTGACACTTGCATATTTTTTATACATAACTGAAATGTTTTAGAAGGCTGGTAAACTACAAGTGATGGGAAGATTGCTAAATTCAACAATTACTTTTTACAGTGAAAACAGTTTGCAACTTAAGATTTGAACACAGTTGATTTTCTATGATTTGGTAAGAATCTCTAATTTGAAAGTTGTGAAAGTTGAAAGTCTGGTTTCTTGTTCGTCTTTCTCAATACAGAGTTTTGGTTCCTCTCTTGGCCAGTGAGTGAGTGAGTGAGTGAGTGAGTGAGTGAGTGAGTGAGTGATCGAGTGAGTGAGTGAGTGAGTGAGTGAGTGAGTGAGTGAGTGAGAGCCCATGATCATGGGTATGGAAATGACAAACCTAGAAACATAATCAGGGTGAACTGAGATCAGAACCCACAATCACAGGTTGCTGGAGTGCCCAAAAGATACAACTCTGCATAACAAACGCTAGCTGCTGCGACTTAGATGACTGGGTCACCAGAGCAAGCAAGTTTTTTTAACAGTATTCCAGTTATATCATAACGTGTAAGCCCTAAGTGATGCAGGTCTCAGACAGTTACCACTTTGGTGAAGCCCACAAGCATGGGTATGGTGCTGACAAGCCAAGAAACATAATCAGGAGAACCAGTATTCGAACCCACTTCCATGGGTTTCAAAGGGACGCAACTCTGCACAGGAAATTGCAGCATCTCAGACAACTGGGCCACCCGTGCCCCAAATTTCACATTAAGTCAACATTAACATTAATCCTGGATTACTTCCAAATAAAAAAGTGAGTGAGTGAGTATGGTTTTATGCTGCTTTTAGCAATATTCCAGCAATATCATGGCGGGGGATGCCAGAAATGGGCTTCAAACATGTCGGGATTCGAACCTGGGCCTGCAGCATGACGAGTGAACCCTTTACCACTAGGCTACCTGATTGCCCCTCCAAATATAATAGGCATCATCACACAAATCTGCTAAAACCATAACTTGACAGAGAATACTTCCATGTCTTCATTATCATCAACCCCTTCAAATTTCTTCACAGTGCATCCATCATAACATTTCTGGATTCTAGTTTTCTAAAAAAAGCTATTTGATCGTGTACACATCACCCCAATAAATCCTACATCAGATTCGTATCACCCATCATATCTTTCAAGCCTACTACTTGAAGGAGCCAAAAGTATAATCAGGATTAATTTTCTGAGTTTAATGCACAATTTCCCCTAGACAGGTCACAGTTGTGACGCATCTCAAGATTTGTCCTTTAAGATAAACTTTACGATATGACGTCAAACCTCGGCAAAGCCACATCAAAGCTGAGTGCACCCTTGCTACCAAGATTGTGATGCACATGGGGAGACCGTCATCTACCCGTCAACTATAACCTGACAGACGAGATTAACTTTTTCCACATTCTTAAGTTGGCAAGTTTTCACTGATTACATGTAATTGTCACAAGCTCCATAAATGACCATGGGTTTCTTAAGATGAGGCAAGAAATTAGCTAATAATTTGATGGTATCAAGTTGATCTAACTAACCTGTCAAGTTCATGTCACGGTACCACTAACGGATACATGTTTAAACCAGGTGCTGTGACTGTAGATCAACTGTGAATACAACACATATACCCCAGCAAACCTGTGCCACATCACTGCATGTATTCACAGTTCTCAGGAGATGAACGGTTATGGTAATTTGTTTTCACCATCCCAATGCTTATCCTTGAATCTAGGATTTATTTGGGATTCTAAACAAAGTGCTCTTGGCAGGCAATTTGGGCAAAAAATGTTATTTTGGTAAAAATTTGGATTTTTTAAAGTTCTTATTGTCCTAACTTCAGAGGTATTTTAACATTATATTCTGAGATTGCATATATACTATAACTTAGCATTAAACCTCTTCCTTTTATTGGTCTTGTTAATCCGTGAAATACAGGTTATCTCTGCAAAGTTATTAAATTGGTTACTTTCTCAAATACATGTACTCAAATACACATAATTTAGAATTTTTCTCGTTGCTTTGATTATTTTCTCGTTATTTCAATTTTTTTCTCTAAATTTCAAATCTTTGAGATAAACTTAAAATAATGAGAAATAATCGAAATCATGAGAGAAAACTTGAAGTCACGAGAAAATAATTGAAATTACGAAAATATCATCAAAGTAATGAGAAAAAACTCGAAATTTAGAGAAAATAAACAAATAATTGCAATAATGTGAACTTTCAATTTAAAAATATACATATGCTTACAAGGTAGCACCATTAGGCTTTCGTACTGAGCAAGTCTGGATAAATCCCTGTGAATCAAGCCCCATGTCGCAAAGATTGATTATTTTGGTGTATAAGGATGTAATATGTTACCAGGATGCATTATCTTGAAGATTCTATAACAAAAACAAACACTTGCCCACTGTTTGACATTTCGCTAACAGCAGTCAGGTAAAAAACTGAGCAGTTTCTTGGTTGCTAATTTTCCCCTTCATTCCAGACATAGAGGGGTTTCAAATCAGCCATTTGTTAGTCCTCCCTCATTAAAGAAGTATTAAATGTAGCTCTGAGCTGAATTCGATGGTACCTATTATCAAATCCGGATACTGTGACTCATTTCTGAGACACAGGTGTCCCTAAGTAAACAAGCAGGGATATCCTCTCCGGAGAGGAAGCTCTCTACCTTTTGTCAAGAACATGATTTTTGATATGCTTTCGATTTATCACCTGTCCAATTTAATCTGACTTCACTGTCATCTTTTTTAGTATTCCTTTTTCTCATTATATGTTTTATCATGTGATTTATCATCATCATCATCATCATCATCATCATCATCTAGGAAAAAACCTTATCGGTTCGTCATTGTAACTGTAATGGCACTATAACTCAATCCAAGTCATTGTATCCATCACTGCTCCATCAACACTACAGCACTATATGACACTACAAGAACACTAAATGAGACTGTGTACTCGCTTTCCTCACAGACCAGCTGAGGGTGCCGTCCATCAACACTACAGTACTACAGCACTATATGACACTACAAGAACACTAAATGAGACTGTGTACTTACTTTCCTCACAGACCAGCTTGGTGAGGGTGCCATCCCTCAACACCCGAGCACTACATGACACTACAAGAACACTAAATGAGACTGTGTACTTACTTTCCTCACAGACCAGCTTGGTGAGGGTGCCATCCATCAACACTACAGTACTACAGCACTATATGACACTACAAGAACACTAAATGAGATTGTGTACTCACTTTCCTTACAGAACAGCTGAGGGTGCCGTCCATCAACACTACAGTACTACAGCACTATATGACACTACAAGAACACTAAATGAGACTGTGTACTCACTTTCCTCACAGACCAGCTGAGGGTGCCGTCCATCAACACTACAGTACTACAGCACTATATGACACTACAAGAACACTAAATGAGACTGTGTACTTACTTTCCTCACAGACCAGCTTGGTGAAGGTGCCGTCCATCAACACTACAGCACTACAAGAACACTACAAGAACACTAAATGAGACTGTGTACTCACTTTCCTCACAGACCAGCTTGGTGAGGGTGCCGTTGTCCTTGTACCAGACCCGAGACGACTCGATCACTGTAGTCCTGAAATCACACAACACAATGATAATCTATGACACCAGAGATATAAATTCATCACTGCGAATGACGTCTGTTGTCCTGAAAAGGAACTAAACAGAATACAAATATTTCTGGTTCAGCTCTTCAAATTTAAGTTTTGTAAAAATGATCACAATACAGACACTTCAGTACACTTTAAATGTGCAGTAAATCAACTATAATATAAATGCAAATTGGTATTTAAGGCCATATAAAAACAATTATAAAATTTGAATCCCTACCCTCCTCACATGATACAGTACCTACAGACAAAGAAAACCACTATGTGGGTTGCCGTGTCTCTTTACTTGATGAAGGGCTGTGGGGTAGCCTCTAGGTTAAAGCGTTTGCTTGTCACGCCAAAGGCTGGGTTCGATTCCCCACATGGGTACAATGTGTGAAGCTCATTACTGGTGTTCCCCGCCGTGATATTGCTGGAATATTGCTACAAGCGGCGTAAAACCATACTTACTCACTCACTTTTTATTTAATAATACATCATATAAACAAGTCTTTGAATGGCATTTAGAAGTGATACACATACAAGAGCGAATATATGGATATCAACTTCTTGATTATCAGGAACACCTGGAACACGAGGTGACACATATACACAGTTCTACCAACATTCTTCAGCAGCTAATGTACACGAACGCCTAGAACACACACACACACACACACACACACACACACACACACACACACACACACACACACACACACACAAACACACACACACACTTCCCCTTTTGAGAAGTTTGGATGAAAATCTAACAAATAATTTATTGTGGCCTAAACAGTCTATCTTCAGTTGGTTAAGGTGTAAATCAGGTGGGATAAAATTGTCAACAGTGATAGTAAATACACGTGTGAACACAAAACAACAGCACAATAAACAAATTTCAGGCACACTTGGTGACAATCAAGACCTAAATCTGCCAATCTTTGCATTCAATATTCTAAAGTCCAACAATCACGCCACGACAACACTTCAGGTAGACTGCCTCGTGTCATTCTCAATTGAAATACTTCATAATTATTTTCAAAAAATCATAAATGACAGGTCTATTTTAGCACATATTTACAGGTCAGGGCAGTCTTTACTTAACGTTCATGTTTTGTTTGTTTATTTTTAAAGAAAATGTCTTAAACAAACAATGATTCAAAAGCCATAATCTGCCATGCATTCTGGAGATTTTTCAAAACATTCCACAGCTAGGATCAGTTTGAATAGGCATATCATCCCTGATTGTTAAAACTAAAAAGTATGGTAAAGCATGTAGCCAATAAACACAACTTCAAACCAAAATTTCACAAAAAAGAGGCTGAATATGAACCATTGCACCTGAATTTTCAACAAAAATGGCTTCTTCTGACAAAAGAATTTCCAGCATCTTGTCATCAAGAGTATGATCTGAATCTTATATAAAGTGACAAGTGTAACAACAGATACAAATTCATTTCTTTCAGCCCAGAACAAGCTCTGGAATGTCCTCTACCCCAGTATGTTAATGTCTGTCACAAGGGTGGTCCATCAGACCAGCATCCCAACTAGGAACAATATTGGTCCTGGGTTATCACAATGTAACACTGTTAGGTCAGGGATGACTGCATCAATGTGACACCGTTTTTGTTGTTAATCTTCCGGGAAATCACAACTGAGAACCTCTTCACTACTGCAGCTAATATCATCTGACAGATTCTCAAAAAGGAGAAATTAAACAAGCTGATATAATACGTCAACTGGGGACATGAGCATCGCACTGATGTGAGAAAAGCTTAAGTAGTGTGTACATTACTATACAATAAGCCAATGGAAGGATGGGTAATGTGTGTGCAATGTTTATGTTCGTTCAATGAAAACATTCAACACAAACCTATCTACCATGATTAGCCCGATACACTCTCAACAACCACGATGCTCGAGTGTCTGAAATAACACCATTTTGTTCCTTCATGTCGTCCATCTTGTTTAAAGAGAGCTATGATTTGTGAAGTTACACCACACAAACAAAGAGAGAAATAAACACTAGAACAAAGTCTATATAATCTGGAAATGGCATCCACGGTATCAAATGGTTTCTTGCCAAACACAAACTTAAACAACTCATGTTTTGAGACAAACTTTAGGACTGTACAGAGCTTCTTCCTCACTTTTCTGTAAAATAAACTGGGATCTGTTACATCTTCTACTTCTATAGCACAGACAGTAGCACCTACATTCCTCTACACTTCTATAGCATAGACAGTAGCACCTATATTCCTCTACACTTCTATAGCACAGACAGTAGCACCTATATTCCTCTACATTTCTATAGCACAGACAGTAGCACCTATATTCCTCTACACTTCTCTAGCACAGACAGTAGCACCTATATTCCTCTTCACTTCTATAGCACAGACAGTAGCACCTATATTCCTCTACACTTCTATAGCACAGACAGTAGCACCTACATTCCTCTACACTTCTCTAGCACAGACAGTAGCACCTATATTCCTCTTCACTTCTATAGCACAGACAGTAGCACCTATATTCCTCTACACTTCTATAGCACAGACAGTAGCACCTACATTCCTCTACACTTCTATAGCATAGACAGCAGCACCTATATTCCTCTACACTTCTCTAGCACAGACAGTAGCACCTATATTCCTCTACACTTCTCTAGCACAGACAGTAGCACCTATATTCCTCTACACTTCTATAGCACAGACAGTAGCACCTATATTCCTCTACACTTCTCTAGCAGAGACAGTAGCACCTATATTCCTCTTCACTTCTATAGCACAGACAGTAGCACCTATATTCCTCTACACTTCTATAGCACAGACAGTAGCACCTACATTCCTCTACACTTCTATAGCATAGACAGCAGCACCTATATTCCTCTACACTTCTATAGCACAGACAGCAGCACCTACATTCCTCTACACTTCTATAGCACAGACAGTAGCACCTATGTTCCTCTACACTTCTATAGCACAGACAGTAGCACCTATGTTCATCTACACTTCTATAGCACAGACAGTAGCACCTATATTCCTCTACACTTCTATAGCACAGACAGTAGCACCTATATTCCTCTACACTTCTCTAGCACAGACAGTAGCACCTATATTCCTCTACACTTCTATAGCACAGACAGTAACACCTATATTCCTCTACACTTCTCTAGCACAGACAGTAGCACCTATATTCCTCTACACTTCTATAGCACATACAGTAAAACCGACATTCCTATACACTTGTAAGCACATATAGTAAAACCTACATTCTTCTACACTTGTAAGCACATACAGTAAAACCTACATTCTTCTACACTTTTAAGCACATACAGTAGCACCTAAACTCCTCTACACTTCTATAGCACATACAGTTAAACCCCAATTCCTATAGACTTTTAAGCACATACACTTGTACCCATATTCTTTCAGTTCTTTTATACTTTTACTATAGATAGTATAACCTACTATAGACAGTATAACCTACCTTATTCTTGCTGACCTTTCAGTGTGCTGGAGTGAGTGAGTGAGTGAGTCTGGTTTTACGCCGCTTTTAGCAATATTCCAGCAATATCACAGCGGGGGACACCAGAAATGAGCTTCACACATTGTACCCATGTCGGGAATCGAACCCAGGTCTTTGGCGTGACGAGTGAATGCTTTAACCACTAGGCTACCCGACTGCCCCCACTATGCTGGAACACTGTATTGTCATGGTTAACAAAGGATTCATGCCTATGTTTTTTCTTTACTGCGTCATATTTATCTACCCCAGTACATCCAAACAATGTAAAATAGAATGCTTATTATGAACCACCATTCCTAATGATCATGGTAGATATAATAACACACCAATCCCAAGAGTGTGGTGCATTTCTACATTCCCTGCATTCTTAACAATTAACTTCAAACTTAGACTGCTATCATAAAACAAGTTAATGATGAAAATGTTGCATATTCAGCAGTTTAAATATGCATGCAGGGCATTTATTTGCCGAAAACTTTGACATTTTGAGCTGATCAGCGATAATTAACCTCCTAACTTTCTCAACTCTCATTACTGTTTTTCCTGATAAACACAGCACAGTACATCCCATCACGAAAAACCTTTTGCTCAGAACTTTTGAAAACATTGGCTTCCAATGAAGAGGAAGGGCAAAAACTGTACAAGGTGTTTTCCATGTTTATTTAACTTCGAAAACTTCATCATTGAATGTTTATGTTCTTAAAAAATGTTTTAGATAAGTTTCGACATTTTCAACTTTTTATCAAAGAGTTACATTATGCATCTTTTAAAGAGAAAAGATTCAAAGTAATTCACAAAATATATTAAGATTTCTTCTCAATGAAGTTATCAGCAGCCCAGGCATCAGTGGCAGGTAGACTCATGTCACATCAGTAAGTACTTGGTGCAAGGAGAAACACTTACGTGTAGTCATTAGTATGTGATAACACTATGTGATAACACTATGAGATAATAAGGAATCAGAATTAGACATGGAGTGATGCCAATGGTTATAAGGCAGTCTGCAAGCAATATCATTCTGTATGATCATGTCTCCACAGCTTCAGAGATAAATATGTCTGATTCTTTGTACCAAACACACTCATCTTGTTCTTTTCAATATGTTTAAGTGGTATTCATTTGCTGTAATATCAACGAAGACAGGACTATCTTATGGATTGCAACTTCTTTGTTCTTTCAAATAAAGAATTGCTGGATAAATATACACTATCTCTTTACACAGTATTAAAAGAATAAAGTTGAAATCTAGAAGTCAATGCTGTCCTCACTGGTTCTTTTCAATCACAAAAAACACAAGCACTGTCATTCTCATTGTCTTGAGATAATAACGTTCTGAAATTCTCTAATTCCACGGTAGAGTACCTGTTTGATGCGACTCTTTACACAATGGTTGGGTAGTTGCAATGTCTGCCCTGGCCTGGGTATTATTGTGCTCCATGATTTGGATTGCTTGTCC